TAAATGTGATAAATGTGAAAATTATGAATAATCGCCGGTTATTATGAATAATTATTTTTTATTTTATTTTTAATTAAAACTTATATGCACATAGAACGGTGTACATAAGGCGGACTTAATTACCTCATGATTTAGTAAATGTGATTAATATGATATCATTTGTGTGTATAAAACTAAATAGGCGGCTTCGGGGTAGCCCAAGGGCCACCGCCGCCGCAACTTAAACTATTTTTCACTTTAAATCAAAACAATATGTTATGGGCATTATGGCAAACTCATTAATCTCACTTAAACTCATTATGCCAAATTATATGATGTCAAAACGTTCAAATGTGTGGCTATACACGAGCCGTTGTTCTCTTATATGATATTTGTTACTACTAAGGTTACATTATTAAATAATCACTGAAAAAATAATGTAATTCATTTATTACTTTTACCTCGACTGTCGGTAATATTATTCATAATAACCGGCGATTATTAATAATTTTCAATCTCATTTACCGTAACATACAGGGTGTCCCAAAAACAATGGATAACCCTGTAACCATNCTGAAAAAATCGATGACGTAATTTATGGACGGCCCCTTGTGAGTGATTGAATAAGTTGTCAAAGATGTGATAGTACATACAAATTGGGAGAGTCCAATCAAACTTGGGACAGTTGGAGGTTCTCGCTCCCAGAGTTTGAAGATATTTTCAGAAGAATGGGGTAAATTTTACAAATCTCCCAGTTGAATTGCCAAATACGAAAAATACACGAATGAAGGGTAATTTTATTATCGGAGCACAGATTTGAACCGCGTAATTCAGAAGAACTTGATCAACTTTTCCTCGGGTAAGTAGGTAGGTAAAGGTGGTCTCTGAACCTCGCGTCTCGTGCTGGACAACAAAGCAATTTGAAATTTTATATTTTGAAATCGTAATAACAACATAATTTTTCGCACTTGTGACTTTTCCTGAATACTTAGTAAAAAAAACTGAAAGACATACATACTTTACCTACCTACATGACAAAGATAACTCAATAGGTTACCTACTCCCAATATGAAAAGACGCCATTTGTCGCCTATATTGAATAGCAGCAGTAGTATCAGATACTTTTTTACGAGAACAAGAGGAATACACACCAACAAGTCTACATGAAGCTCACTACCTACTTACTTGATCCATAGGTTATCTCCATTCATTTCCACCGACACGCACTCTAATTCCCAAGCCCATTGATCCTCATATATCGTGGGCCCAAGGTCAGCTCATTGGCACTGACCCGCTGGACCCCGAGGATTACGCCTACCGATCACTGCGCCCCCACGCGGACGAAGAAGGAAACATCAGCGGTTACTATTTGACTACTTATATAAATAACTAGCTGACCCGGCGAACTTTGTTCCGCCTTAATGGCAATAAATAACGGGATAAAAAGTATCCTATGTCCTTCTCCTGGCTCTAAACTACCTCCCTGACAATTTTCAGCTAAATCGGTTCAGCCGTTCTTGAGTTATAAGTGGAGTAACTAACACGACTTTCTTTTATATATATAGATATTTAAACCAAGGAATGGAATAGCAGTCACCAAAAACTTGGACTATTGACAGGGTAAGTAATAAAACTCCTTCTTTCGTACAAAAGCTTGGAGCAGAGAAAGACGATGCCAAAAATTATTACCCTAGAAGAGCACGTTTAATTTCGGACCATAACTTAGTGCTAGTTGGCGTTCATAACTTACGGAACCACAGCCGGCGAAGTTTATCCATTACCAGCGCGAGGTTGGAACGGGCAGTATTTCTGTTCGACTACTTATGTAGGTAGTAATTTCGTCGAGGGCTTCGACGCGCATTTCCCAGAGGTGCGATTCTTCAATCGCCGAAGCCGGTGGCTTGCACCGGGCCTGGCTCCAATGAACATAGGGCTGGCAGAGATTAGAAACGACGACGGTACTGGAGTTTTATGAAATACTTAACTCCTTTATTCCTAGCGGAGCTGCAGGAATAAATGTGCTTGTGGATTATGGAACTGCTGAAACTTTAAAAATATTTTATACCACTGAAGTTACTTTTGAGCTTTTGTTTATCAGTCCCAGGCTGGGACTCCCAGCTACACGGATAACTGGGAGTTTTATTACTTCATGACACCATCTCTTAAATCGATCAAATCGCAGAACGAGCCACGACGAAATGTAATTTACTGACCTTAGACCTTTAGTTAAATCTAGACTATAATAAAGGACTGAAGTGTTACAAATGCTAAGTTGATTTGATGAACATATTAGCACAACCCTAACTGGCACAGATGGCCCAATTACTACTACAGCTAGATTGCACGTCTCGTGACATCGTCGCATGCTCGCTTGGTTTCCTGGATAGTAAGAAAAGGAATTTAGTATGCATCTTCATACTTTACTCGTACTTACCTAGCAATTACAGGCCCCTATTGCTCCTAATTTCGATGATATATTAATAAATTTAATTAATTACAAAGAAGTTTGAGACTTGATTACGCCAAACTATTGTTGTGATATACCCTATACTTTTGGGGTGAGGGGATGCTAGATGCTACGTGACGTGACCACGATTAACTTTTATCGCAGCATTTTGACGATTTTACGCTATAAGCCCTTTTATTTGTTGTCTAAAATAGTCGATAAGATTTTATCATCTCACTCATCCTAGCGCGGCTGGAGATGTTTTGATAAAAGTCCTACTGACCAATCATTCACTTTGTTCACTGCCTCTTGACTACACTGACNACCCATACAAATATGAGCCAGTCGTTGTAATATGACGTCACGCGCATAAAATGGCGGGCCGGCCGCCGCCTGCACTTTTAAAATTCAATATCTTGGAAACTAATTGACGTATCGAAATAATTCTTTCACGTGTGTTTTTTATTTTTAACAGAGAATACAGAAAGCTAAAAAACAAAATTAGTGAACATTCTTCATTCTACTGGCCTAATATAGAAAATCTGAAAGATAGTTTAACTTAATATTGGTATACTTACCTAACCTTAATTGGTACTTTACATGACAAGGATAACTCAGTACTAGCATTATGAATTTATACCATTGTAGGTATAATATAAAAAGTAGCAGCAGTATTGAATCCTTTTTTATCAGAACCAGAGGAATACACACCAGCAAGTCTACATGAAGCTCTCTACCTACTTACTTGAACCATAGGTTATTTCCATTCATCTCCACCGACACGCACACTAATTCCCAAGCCCATTGATCCTCATATATCGTGGGCCCAAGGTCAGCTCATTGGCACTGACCCGCTGGACCCCGAGGATTACGCCTACCGATCACTGCGCCCCCACGCGGACGAAGAAGGAAACATCAGCGGTTACTATTTGACAACTTAGATCAGTGGTTCTTAACCTTTAAGTCACGAGGGACCATTTTACCAAATTTCTGTCTTGTCAGGGACCACCTCATAATCGGTCAAAACCAGTTTGACTGCAAAAATCAGTTGAGCAAGGTGTGCAAGTGCACTTCGTGGACCACTTGGAATGCCTCCAGGGACCACCAGTGGTCCGCGGACCACCGGTTAAAAACCACTGACTTAGATAAATGATATTTAAACCAATGAATGGAATAGTTAGCAGAATAGCAGTCTCCAAAAACCTGGACTATTGACGCGGTAAGTAATAAAACTCCAGTCGTACAAAAGCTTGGAGCAGAGAAAGGCGATGCCAAAAATTATTACCCTAGAAGAGCACGTTTAATTTCGGACCATAACTTAGTGCTAGTTGGCGTTCATAACTTACGGAACCACAGCCGGCGAAGTTTATCCATTACCAGCGCGAGGTTGGAACGGGCAGTATTTCTGTTCGACTATGTAGGTAGTAATTTCGTCGAGGGCTTCGACGCGCATTTCCCAGAGGTGCGATTCTTCAATCGCCGAAGCCGGTGGCTTGCACCGGGCCTGGCTCCAAAGAACGTAGGGCTGGCAGAGATTAGAAACGACTCCAATACTGGAGTTTTATGAAATAACTCTTTTATTCCCAGCAGCTCCATGTGGCTGTGGATTATGGAACTGCTGAAATCTTTAAAATATTTTATACAGTGAAGTTACTTTTGAGCTTTTGTTTATCAGTCCCAGCCAGCAGCTACACGAGTAACTGGGAATTTAATTACTTCATGACACCATCTCTTAAATCGATGAAATCGTAGAATTAGCCACGACGAAATGTATTTTTTACTAACTTTAGTAAATAAATCTAGCCTATAATAAAGGACTGAAGTGTTACAAACGCTAAGTTGATTTGATGAACATATTAGCACAACCCTAACTGGCACAGATGGCCCAATTACTACAGCTAGATTGCACGTCTCGTGACATCGTCGCATGCTCGCTTGGTTTCCTGCATAGTAAGAAAAGGAATTTAGTATCTAAGCATCTTCATACTTTACTCGTACTTACGAGCAATTACAGGCCCCTATTGCTCCTAATTTTGATAACATATTAAGAAATTTAATTAATGACATAAAACTTTGAGACTTAATTACGCCAAACTATTGAAATATTGGGATACATCCTATAGTTTGGGGTGAGGGGATGCTACGTGACCACAATAAACTTTTATCGCAGCATTTTGACGACGACTAAAATAGTCTATAAAATTGTATCATGACACGCATCCTAGCCCGGCTGGAGATGTTCTGATAAGTCCTACTTGACCAATCATTCACTTTGTTCACTGCCTCTTGACCACACTGACCTATAAAAATATACTTCAATAGGTTAATGCATTAGCAAACCTTTTTTCGTTCAGCCGCTCTATTGGGGCGTTTAGGTAACGCAAATATTAGGACAGTCATTAACCTCGTATAGGCAGTATACTACAGCTCACAATATATCTGTACGTATTGTGTATTCTGTATCCATTTATTTTTGTCATATTTTACAGGAGATTTCATAATAATAAAATGGAAAAACTCACCGTCTCTCATCTGATCTTACTCAAGAGGTGGAAGGCATAAAAATAAAGACACCTGAAAATTTAGCAAGAGTTTAATAAAAAAATGCAAAATAAAAATATCTCCAAATATTGAGCCTTACACTAGGTCCTACATCCGAAATACATAAATTACACGCACTCACACAATCAGGGGATCTATGTTACACGCGGCCAATGGTAAATAGTCACACTCTGGTTTGTTACGGCAGCCAGACCAAAATGCTCACAAAATGGTCATCAAATGACACCCTGTCAATTAAACAACCTTTGGGTAGGGTCTCACTGTTAAATCGCCACAGAGATGCAACCAAACCAGTAACGATTGCACGTGTATTCTAGTTTCATCCAATTTCGCCGGCAGCAGCAATCATTTTACGCAAAAGCTAAATATGAAAAATCGCAACTTTTGGTCGCATTTTTGTGGCATATATTAACTTGGAATCTACATTTCACTTTTGGTCAGACTTCATGGATTTCCTAGTAATAAAATTACTTTGACTATGCCAATTTTGTATACAAATATTAAATGCATTTATTGGCACTGCTTTTCCAAATATATTAATAATAATAACACGAAAAAAATGCAATAAAATTGTATATTATGTAAGGTGTGGGGTTTGGAAATGAATTACTTATTGTCACTTCACAACTATGGTGCGGGAGTGGTTTGTTTGAAAGCCAACGCTGAAATCTATTTGTGCTTTTACGAACTTTTATGGTGTTCGGAACCGTGAAATTACCAAATAACAAAAATATCACTTCAAAAACGTTATCTTGAAATTTTCTAGATCAAAAACATATTATTTTGACATCATATAAATGTTCCAAATACCATAAAATGTGCGCATATTATTATTATCAGACTATTTCCAAACTTCATTTAAAATTTACACATAACATTCATATAAATAATTCATTTTAGAATACAAAAAAATCTCATCCACTCATTTTAAACGTTCCTCGAAAATTCAGTACTTACTGGTTACCAAAGGTGCGTACCCTTAAAATATACTGTAATACAGTGATTAGGTGACAAATGACAATACTTGATATGAATACGTGTGCTTTATACGCCGCTAAATTAAATTACATCGTGATTAAATCATTTAGAAAACTTACATTTCATTTATAATGAGTTTGTAGTATACTTCTCGATATTGTAGTATTATACACCAAATTGGTTACGACTTAAATAAAATAATTACACAAATCATAACTATAAAATAATAATGTTTAATACATTTAGACATATTTAAGACTTTATAAAGGATAACTTTTTGACTAGCGAATAAAATTACAACTATTAGTAATATTAAGTAATTAGAAAGATTGAAACTCCATTTCGTCCTGCTCGCGCGTTAATAAGTGTAAGCGAGAGGGCAATATTTCGGAGTTCGTGGTTTTTAGCCCCACTGATGTACCTAAGGACTTATCCAATTTATTTTTTAAATTATGAGATTCCATTCGTAATTACTTGACACCTCTATCAGTATAATAATGTGCGATAGAGATAGGTATAAATAGCTTGTGTCACCACTATAAAGAATATTTTGAGAGCCATTTCTTTGTATAATATTTACATGAGACTATTGAGAGAACGTTTGTTTAGACCACTCAATTAGTGTCATTTGAAAAACTGTAATTTAGAGATACGTCATAAGATAAGTCTGTACGTACCATACATGATGTTATTTAATCATGAACTAGCTCGTAGCTCTCCGAAATTAAGCGAGTGGTTAATTTCGACACCAATCGATTCTACGTCCACTAAAAATTTACATTAAATTTTCAAATATTTCAACTTGTAAATAAAGAATTCAAATGTTGACAAGAAAACAAACTCTTTGGCGTTTTGAGCAAAACGTGTCGTCTTATGGCATCCACTAGCGGTACTAATCTCGAGCATATCTATCTATACATGTTCTAGAATAACTACAAATACGTAGGATGAACGATATATTTTAAACAAAAAAGTTCAATGATAAGGTGCCCATTCACTTGGAGCAATCATGTGTAATGTATCCTGTATCTGTAAGATTCTATTTTGAGCGTACATGTTTCCATGAAAAGTTCAAAATCTAATCTTACATTACACGTGAACGCACCCATTGAATGAGCACCCTCACGAATCCTTGAAAGAACTAAAGTAACGTGCTAGAGGTTGTCTAAATATGTATTATGTTTTTACATTAACACGATTGTAAGTGATAAAAATATAGATTGGAAATTTGAAAATTTTGAGCATATATTTCAGTCAACAACTGATCTTTTTAAAGCCCGGTCCTTGAGCACGTAGAATTTTGTCCAATGACCCCTAGCTACCCATCCTTATCGCTCGCGCGTTATATTGCTGTCGCGACTGTGCGACTGGCACCCGCAGTGAGTGTGCGAGCGCGATAGCAACATAATTACGCGCATAAGGACGGGTAGCTTGGGGTCATTAGACAAAATTCTACGTGCTCACGGACCAGACTATAATATACATATTCATTTTACAAATTGAAAAACTGGCCATTTTTCATCCTACATACTTGCAATAACCCTAAAACAGTTGTATTAATGAGCACTATAGATACAATGATTACATTTTAACCTCAATTCCCTAATAAGTATGAGTACCCTATGTTTCCTTATGATACAAATAAAAGTACAAACACTATCTTTAATACATACAAAGTTTATAAATAAATGCATTTATATGGCGTGTGAGAACAATCAAATGTAACAGGCGAGGTTAACGCCCACAGTCACCAACGATGTTTTAACTGATTGGTTAAATTACGGAACAAATCGAACTACAATCAAACAATTTAGCTATAGTAGAAACATAGTTTGTAGAATGCGGGTAAAACAATAATAGGCACAATAATCAACGAAGAATAATTAGTAAGTCCAAAGTCATTCTAAGTGCACGTCTTCCCCAAGATCCACATTACAAAACGACCCCCAAAATTAAAACCGTAACCAAAAGTAAATCAGTTTAGAATTTAGATCAATCGCAGGACAAAATGTATGATTGTGATTGAAGCGAATTCTCAGCGTTGTTTCATAATACGGGCCTAAAATTATCAATTTTCGAATTGATTTTGAATTAAGCAACTTTAACCAATATTGCATAGATAATAATATGTGAACCAACCTCGCCTGTTGTAAAACAATATTATAAAGTGAGCATCGAGTGAGCACGGTTGCGTACGCTAAGTTTGGTCGTAACATCGAGATCACGGTTCTGTAGGGGTCTATTATAACCGTATTGAATTAGAAACTTGTCTAGAAACGTACAAATAATAAATAGGCATATTAATGTAGTCGTTGGATTTAGGCTAAAGTGACGTTCAAACAATAATGAGAGTATTTATTATCCTTATCGCTTGTAACATAATGTCTATTATTCAATACCATGTTATTTTGTTTGAACGTCATTTCAGCCTGATACTTTATATACACAGTGAATCAATTTACAGCATACCAATATCATAGAAATAAAATAATCAATCGAATACGAAAAAGATTTCCGCGATTCGTATTGGTCATTTGACTTCCAACAATCGAGGTGAGGCTGTGTGTAAAAATAATAATATATTCGTAAATATATTGCGGTAATTTTAATAAAATAAAATTGACCCCCAGTGTGTCGTTCTTTGCACATTGTTTATCTTGACACAATTTAATGACTGTTAAATAATATCGGTAATATACAAGAATCGCACCACATGTATACTTGTGAATATTATACAGTACCTATGTCACAACTAGGATTTAAATGTTATGTAAGCTAGTTTTATACCGACATTTATTTAAATTACTCCAGAAAAAGTTCTATAAAATATGTGTTCATTGGGTATAGGGTTGTGTATTGATTAGTTAAATTAAATTATAGATAATATTTATCTTTAAGATTGATTACTTGTGCATCGATTTTTTTAGTTCTTTTTAGGAAAGAGCTACTGTATTTATTTTAAAGTCAGAGAATGTCTGAGAATCAGAAATACTGCTGTGTGATCATGGTTTGTCAAACAAAATAAATATATCACCCAATACAATGTCAAACGTTTTATATTAGAATACAACATAGATGAATATCGAACTAAATACTCACGTTTTAAAATTTAAATTTAAAGCAGAGAGCCAAAGAGATCATTTCAACATACAATACCATATTGTGTAAATGGCCTAACATATTTTAGGTCATTTACACTATACGATACGACGCAAAGCCTGATAAATTATTAATTTACACATGGAAAAATTGATAAAATTGTCGAAGGACGGAGGGATTTACCAATTAAATTATTGCATTTTACCTAACACATACAACTTGGTAAACATTATGAAAACTAAAGAGTATTGCGTACCTGTATTCATTAGCCTCGTTCTGTGATTTTGAGTATCTACAAAGTTTAATACTTATTGCTTCAATAACTTAGTGTTTTCGATGGAATGTAATAAATAACTTTTATAAACCAGGTGAAGTAAATGTTAGATGGCTTGGTCGAATCATGAGCTTATGTTAGGACTATGTAAGGCCTATGGAATCGAAGCGAATACGATGCATTGTCAAAATGTGTGAAACATTCGAACAGCTTGGGACAATAATTTCCAATGGCCGTATTCACGAACACATTTCGTACAACACAAATGGAATGAAGCGTCCTTATTTTTAATTTTACAAAATCTTATCGTGTAAATGGAATCTCAGATATTGAGTTGTAGTTCTGGCCTATCTACTAACGATATTGCATTGTGCGCCTTAAAAACATAATATTCGACGTATTCTAGTACGAAAAGTATAAAAATACTTTCAGAAAATCCACGATTTATCTATGCTGGCGCTTTTGGGAAATATGTTAGTAGATTTGCCGATTTTCCGTACAAAAATCTTAACGGACGAAGCCACCGAGAGATCATTCGAAACGCCAATCGATTTAAGCCCCGCGACATCGGTATAACGTTACGAAATCGACAATGTAGTCGATATTTTATTAATATCAACCAGGTCCTACTCGTCCGGTCTAATAACTAATCGATCGTTTTAAATATAAATCGACTAAAATATCGGTTCGATATCAAAATTACAATAATAAGTATTATACAGTTTAGTTGATTTTTAAACTCATTTCTCAAAATCTAATTTTCAAAAAATGAGTTTCAAAATCAGCACTACCCAGTCCATTTGATGATTAAATTAACTAAGATCAGATATGATATAAAGAGTATCTTTATACCCATTAAATCACACTGTCTTTATGTTTCTGCAAGACAATCTAAGAGTTAGGAAATGTAAGCCATCGAAATTATAATCTCTAATCGAATACGGGAATCATTACTCTTCTGAATTTTATATTGAACTTTCTGCAATCAATTTCAATAGTCTGATCTGTTAACTTAATCATCGAATGAGACAATGGTTAGTCGATACATCGAATCTAAGGTAATCGGTATACAATCGATTAGGATACAACTAGTGGAATTGCACGCGCCGGCCTCACTGGTCCCACTNCTCCCATTCCGTTTCGTCCACGCCCTCCATGCTGTCTTGTTCCAATTTCAAATCCACCGCCATTTTGGCGCTCATGGACTTCATTATCTGTGGGAATTATTACTGTTTTACTATCTGTGGAATAGGGTAACGCCCCCTAGAGAGTTAGATTCTCTCGATTTATGATTATCTGGACCAATTCCCAGAACAAAAAGTGTCTCTCACCTTTTGTATTTGTTTGGCTAGGACTGGCTTAATTAACTAGAATTTTGAACACAATAAAAATTATATTCCGTGCGTCGAAAAGCATGTTAATAAACATTTGAGTGAGAAATTATAGTCTATCCAANGTCCCACTCCGTTTCGTCCACGCCCTCCATGCTGTCTTGTTCCAATTTCAAATCCACCGCCATTTTGGCGCTCATGGACTTCATTATCTGTGGGAATTATTACTATTTTATTATCTGTGGCCATTCAATCGTGTAACGCCTCTATAGTCGAGTGTTAGATTTTCTCGATTCAAGAGGTTCTGCAGAGTCGATTCTCGGATTGAAAAGTGTAAAATCACTGTTATTAGTTTCTACTTTGGCTATGACTGGCTTGAAAATAATAAACAATATTATGATTCCGTGCCCGGAGAGCACGTTAGATCGTTATTTTATTGAACAAGTTAAACGCCTATTGATAGCGGTTCATAAAGTCTGACAACTCACACGAGAGATCTATGAGAAAAATATATCAAAAACGTGATTTTCGCTTAAAAATCTACCACAGTCTTCATTTTCACATTCCGTGATTAAAGCCTCTGTTTGAGTACCAGCTAAAACAAGCTACATTTTTAAGAGAAACATCACATGGTGGTAGAGAGAGAGAAATAATGTTTAGAAGTTCAAGTTTCAAACATCACGTGCTAAAGAGTAAGATAGAGAAAGGGACAGACTAAAAACTTACGTTTTCCTGCTTCTGCTTGGCGTCGAGCGGCGTGTGTGAGCGGATGAGGTCGGGCTTCGGTTTCTGCGCCTCACGTGGTTCGCGGGCCACCGGTGATACAGTGGTATGCGCGGACACTGCACAACACAAGACATTAGTACTTTGACATTCAATTTTTTATTACATTTGAGGTACAGATACAATCGATATTACAGGGTGTAAGGTAAATGGGTATATGAGCCGACTCTAGCCCATGTTAACATGGTCATATAAATGCTATGGTGAAGTAAGAAATTTGATATCATCAACTTAATTTTTTAAATTTTCTTACAAATCGGATTTTATAAAATTTGTTTACATATATAAATAGTATGTTACTTCACCATACCATTTATATGCCCATGTTAACATGGGCTAGTGTCGGCTCATATACCCATTTACCTAACACCCTGTAGATCAAGCGGCAACCACGGGCCGGAAGATGGTGAGCAGTCTCCCCACTTATCTTTTTCAGAGCCACGCAAAAGCCGTAGTGCACGTCGACCCATTCATCATCATCATCATCATTTCAGCCATGAGACGTCCACTGCTGAACATAGGCCTCCCCCAATGCTTTCCATGTTGATCGATTGGTAGCGGCCTGCGTCCAGCGCTTCCTTGCTAGCTTTATGATGTCGTCGGTCCACCTTGTGGGTGGAGGTCCCACGCTGCGTTTTCCGGTACGCGGCGTCCATTCTAGAACCTTGCTGCCCCATCGGCCGTCAGTTCTGCGTACTACGTGCCCTGCCCGTTACCATCTCAGCTTGCTAATCCGTCGGGCTATGTCAGCGACTTTAGTTCGTTTACGGATCTCCTCATTTCTGATTGGATCTCGTAAAGAAACACCGAGCATAGCCCTCTCCATAGCACGCTGTGCAACGTCGACCCATTGGGTGTCGTGACTACTAGCTGGAGCAGGCCTGTTCATCTCCGCGAGTTTACATCGAAAACAAAACACGCACGATGGCCCACCTACAGGATACTATTCGACAAGGCCTCACATACGAGCGAACATTAACTCACGCACGCGTATTCTTGTGTATGATGGAAGAAAATAAAGAAAATGGTGTACTAAATACTGTGCAGTATTTAACTGCCTAAATAATAATAAAAACACAGAATGTACCTTTTTAAGTTGCCTCAAGACACTGAGAGGTAAATAAGTAGTTAATATTATTCTTGATAATTCATGCTCAATCATGTATTTCCTCCGCCATTTTCCGCAGTTTGGCACCTCACGTCACATTTTACCGAAGTCAGCCCTGTAGCTTCGGCGCAGTACCGATCACTGACGTTTGTCAACAAAATAGTGCTTGACTCTTGAGACAGGCTAAATTACACCATATTGTTTATGACATTGAGCATACATTTTTTTAAATGCCTTCGCGAAGTAAAACTTCTGTACGTAGTACTTATTATTATTCTGTGGCTGGAGCGACGATCTGATGAAGGTCCCGAGAAGTACCTGGATGAGGGTAGCGCAGGACCGGTCGTTATGGAAATCCTTGGGGGAGGCCTTTGTCCAGTGGACGTCATTTGGCTGAAACGAATAACACCACAGAATAATAATAAGTACTACGTACAGAAGTTTTACTTCAAGTATTTAAAAAAATGTATGCTCAATGTCATTAACAATATGGTGTAATTTAGCCTGTCTCAAGAGTCAAGCACTATTTTGTTGACAAACGTCAGTGATCGGTACTGCGCCGAAGCTACAGGGCTGACTTCGGNTCTTGTCGAATAGTATCCTGTAGGTGGGCCATCGTGCGTGTTTTGTTTTCGATGTAAACTTGCGGAGATAAACAGGCCTGCTACTAGGTGGAGCGACGATCTGGTGAAGGTCGCGAGAAGTACCTGGATGAGGGTAGCGCAGGACCGGTCCTTATGGAAATCCTTGGGGGAGGCTTTTGTCCAGCAGTGGACGTCATCGGGACTATTCCCACCTCTCGTTCCCACCACTGCAACTCCTGTGTAGCCAGGATCTACAGCTTGACCGCCACAAAAACCCAACCAATGAAGGTCAAGTTTGTCCCGGGGGAAAGTTAAACTGTCATTGGACCCGCAACGAAATTAATCAGAAGAACATAGNTTGGATAGACTATAGGAGCGCCTATTAGATATGTCTCAACACAGTTGTGACACAACAGCAAGAGATAAATATTTTTATAGAGTATATCTAAAACGTGATGTTTCCCTTAAAAATATTATTTCATTCTAAATTCTTACATTCGTGGATAAGGCTTGTTGTTTGTGTGCCAGCTGAAATAAGCTACATTTTCGAGATAAACATGTGATGTTTATCACATAGTAGAGATATAATGTTTTCAAATTCAAGTTACAAAAATCACTTGTTAAAGAGAGAGAGAGAGAGACAACACTTACGTTTTCCTGCTTCTGCTTGGCGTCGAGCGGCGTGTGTGAGCGGATGAGGTCGGGCTTCGGTTTCTGCGCCTCACGCGGCTCGCGGGCCACCGGTGATACAGTGGTATGCGCGGACACTGCACAACACAACATATATTAAGTACTTTGACGTTAAATTTTTTATTACATTTGAGGTACAGATACAAATCGATATAGATCAAGTGGCCACCACGGATCGGAAGACTTAGTGTGAGCAGTTTCCCCATTTATCTTCTTCAGGGCCACGCAAAAGTCGTAGTGCACGTCGATCCATTCATCATTATCATCATCATTTCAGCCATAGGACGTCCACTGATGAACACAGGCTTCCTCTAATGCTTTCCAAGTTGATCGATTGGTAGCGGCCTGCGTCCAGCGCTTCCCTGCTACCTTATGATGTCGTCGGTCCACCTTGTGGGTGGACGTCCCACATTGCGTTTTTTGGTACGCGGCGTCCATTCCAGAACCTTGCTGCCCCATCGGCCGTCAGTTCTGCGTACTACGTGCCCTGCCCAGTGCCACTTCAGCTTGCTAATTCGTCGGGTTATGTCAGCGACTTTAGTTAGCTTACGGATCTCCTCATTTCTGATTGAATCTCGTAAAGAAACACCGAGCATAGCCCTCTCCATAGCACGCTGTGCAACGTCAACCCATTGGTGGTCGTGACTAAAGCCCGGTCTGTGAGCACGTAGAATTTTGTCCAATGACCCCTAGCTACCCATCCTTATCGCTCGCGCGTAATTATATTGCTGTCGCGACTGTGCGACGGCGCCCGCAGTAAGTGTGCGAACGCGACAGCAACATAATTACGCGCGAGCGATAAGGATGGGTAGCTTGGGGTCATTGGACAAAATTCTACGTGCGCACGGACCAGACTATACTAGATGGAGCGACGATCTGGTGAAGGTCGCGAGAAGTACCTGGATGCGGGTAGCGCAGGACCGGTCGTTATGGAAACACTTGGAGGCTTTTGTCCAGCAGTGGACGTCATTTGGCTGAAACGAATAACACCACAGAATAATAATAAGTACTACGTACAGAAGTTTTACTTCGCGAAAGTATTTAAAAAAATGTATGCTCAATGTCATTAACAATATGGTGTAATTTAGCCTGTCTCAAGAGTCAAGCACCATTTTGTTGACAAACGTCAGTGATCGGCACTGCGCCGAAGCTATAGGGCTGACTTCGGTAAAATGATGTGACGTGAGGTGCCAAACTGCGGAAAATGGCGGAGGAAATACATGATTTAGCATGAATTATCATGAATAATATTAACTACTTATTTACCTCTCAGTGTCCAATGGGGAAGAGGCGTGAGATAGATAGATAAATTGTTTATTTGTTGTAACACACTTTTTTTTATTAGTTGCTATTGAAATTCAATTCAATATCGAAATAAAGTTAGTTAGTCAAGAAACACACTAGGTGACACCACTGGTATTTTGTTACACAGGTTAGTAATAATTTCAACAGTTGCAATATAACAAAAGTGACAAAACAACATAAGATAAAGATTACTAGCGTTTCAAATAGCTCCCTGCGTCAGTGTGATGTGTGCCGCAGCGATGCAAAACACTGATTTTCAGCTTTTGCTAGAGAACGCATGAAGCGTACAGGTACGGAATGAACCCGCTCGCTTTCGGAAACAATATCTACATTAGTATAAAATATATGATGAGACAAATAATCTAATGGTATAGTGTGCTTACTCTCTATGAAAGTGTTCTTTCACAGAAAGAAGCAGTGGAAAGGGGGAGCGAGAGACCTCAGCCGACACTCCGGTCATCCGCCGCCGACACCCTGGGCGCAAGAGGACAGCTTATGGTCTCCAACTGTCCCTTCCTAACAGGCCTCGGTCGCTAGACATGGAGGTGTCTGGTGGCGGCTAAGGACGAATGCTACAGACAACAGCCAATGACGATGTCCCGCGTTCCCTCATATCACTCATATGGATCATGGCAGAAACAGTCAGGTTTTTAGTGGGTGTAGGGGCTACCTANACACAAGAATACGCGTGCGTGAGTCAATGTTCGCTCGTATGTGAGACCTTGTCGAATAGTATCCTGTAGGTGGGCCATCGTGCGTGTTTTGTTTTCGATGTAAACTTGCGGAGATAAACAGGCCTGCTACTAGGTGGAGCGACGATCTGGTGAAGGTCGCGAGAAGTACCTGGATGAGGGTAGCGCAGGACCGGTCCTTATGGAAATCCTTGGGGGAGGCTTTTGTCCAGCAGTGGACGTCATCGGGACTATTCCCACCTCTCGTTCCCACCACTGCAACTCCTGTGTAGCCAGGATCTACAGCTTGACCGCCACAAAAACCCAACCAATGAAGGTCAAGTTTGTCCCGGGGGAAAGTTAAACTGTCATTGGACCCGCAACGAAATTAATCAGAAGAACATAGGAGGACGTCATTTGGCTGAAACGAATAACACTCACGAGGCTCCATGCCGGGCGGCTGCAGGCTGACGGTGCGCGGCGGCACGAGGCGGCCGGCCAGCCAGTCCGCGCCGCTCTGCCACGGCTCCCACGTCACCAGCGTCGGTGGGAACAGATCGTCTTGGAATAACTCGCTCTGAGGACATAAATTACAATTTTTTTTATGGTTTTTGGAGGATTGAGGATTTGGTCTACTGTCTCCAAGCTTACCAAACGGTTTAAAGAGGCCCGATTTCGAATATTTCTCCCTTAGGCCCGGTTTCCACCACGGCGGAGCGCAGAGGAGATGCGTTCTGAATTTGGTTATTCAACATACATCAAATCTCATTATTTCCACATAGGTATATTCTCTTCGCTCCGCACCGCGCTGCCGCCGCGCGCCGCTTTCAAATTCTATGGAAAAATGAGTCCGCCCAACATATCTTTCTTCTCCGCTTCGCTACGCTTTGATGGAAACCGGGCCTAACAAGAAAGTGGAGATGATCCAAAACTACACGTCTGAATAGCCGTGATCAGATAATCTATTACTGTGTGTTAGAATAAAATTAATATAATCTCACCTTTATTCTAGGCACCGTGAATGATAATGGTTCAATGGTACCATTTGTAAGCCGCAACGCTTTCGCGAACTCAACCTGTAACAATACCAAAATATTCAGTTAATCCAATGGTCACTAACTCGTGTATATTAATAAACTAGCGTTTATTAATATACGGGTTGAATTTTGCAAAATCCCGTCTTAGTAAGCAAGCACCTACGTTGTAAATGAAAAATTTACACTTTTAGCACTTGTAGTTTCTGAGATTTCGAAATGAGTGACCTTTTGCTTTTATATCTACTTATATTCTGAAAATATTATAAATGCGAAAGTTTGTATGGATGTCTGGATGTGAACATGTTTATTACTCTTTAACGCAAAAATTACTGAACGGATTTTGATGAAATTTTACAGTATTATTGTTTATAACCCAAAATAACATGTTATAGGGTATAATTTATGACGATCTGTGACAAACTAAATTCCACGCGGGTAAAGACGCGGACAAAAGTTAGTGTATAGATATTGGTAAAAACTAAATAATACGTTACCTTTTCAACAGCGCATATATTCTTCTGCAGGAACGCGATACCTTGATGTAAAGTCATGGCGCGGTGATGCGACAACGCGCATACGTATGGAGGCTCACACGTCACTTCGTAGCAGTAGATTGTGGAGTCACCCTGTTGGAATATAAGAATTTTAATATCAGTTAATGACTTGGATTTAACAACAGCGAAATTAATAAAAGTAGGTAGATAAATAACACAGAAACACAGTTGGGGCAGAAAAGTTCTTGATTGGCGACCACGGGCCAGAAAATTTAGAGTAGGCAGGCCCGCCACTAGGTGGACCGACGATCTGGTGAAGGTCGCGGCAGTTACAATCAGCGTCAAAAAGTTCATGACACCTAAAGTGGTCAATAAGTTTGATAACACAACCTTATTCCAATTTTGATAAAGCATGTTGCGAACATTGGCTACTTTTACTACGAACTATTTGACGCTGACTGTTTCGTCGTCTCGCCTCCTCCTCGCCTGAGGTAATTATGGAAATCCTTGGGGAGATATTTTTCCAGCGATGGGCGTCATTTGGCTGAAATGAACGCACTAATAAATAACACTGCATGTCACCAAAGAAATTTACACAACACCACAACGTCATCTAGATAGACGAATCCTACATGTACCATTTCATTTTCTTTATTAATTTTGTATCATGGCCGCCTTCACCGTTGTAATTCAAACCATGTAAGTCCTAAACATAAAGTTGAAATCAATTTTGAACATTCTTACCCGTCCAGTCAAGAAGAGAGTGCCTGAATCGTGGTCAATGTGTATCTGGAGGATCGCAGGCGACACGTCAAGTCCCACCGTGCAGATCGGGGCTGACAAATCTGACGCCTTGTACAGATATATCTGGCGCTCTGACACCCTGTTGAAATATTAAGATTACAAGCGCTGAACGTTTAGATTGTATTCTTCTAAAGGAGCGCCAACGATAGCGAACAAAAGTTATTCACACTGCCGCGTTCACGTTCCAGATATTTTCCTTGAAAAATTCCGCAATCTTAAAATCAGAAACGTCAAAATAATGCATTGAACGCCACGGCCAATGACAGGACGCGTCAATGTGAACATGCAGGCTGAACACATTGGTTTGACCGATGTTTTACACCAGTGATTTTTAACCTGTGGGTCGCGACCTCCTGGCGAAGCCTCTTTAAGGGGGTCGCGAGAGGTCGTAAAAACTACCTCGTATTCGGTCCCTAAAACATCTTTGTAACATTATAAAATGCATGAAAAAAACGAACAGTCGGTGGGTCGCAAAATATTTTTTGATACTAGGGGGGTCATAACATGAAAATGGTTGAAAAACACTGTTTTACACAATTCAACTATTAATAAGTGTTACAGTTCCAATAATTAGGAGCATTTTGAACTTTTTTTTACGTATCTAATGAGGGTTTTCGCGATTGAAAAATCCGCCAGACAAATGCTGCGTGATTGGTGGATTTTGACATATCTGTCAATGTCATGTCATGTCATTTTTATACAATATTTTTTTTAACATCTTGCTGTCGCAAAATAGAATCTATTACAACTGCAATAAGACGTCATCAACAAACAACTCACTTATCAAACCCGGTGACGACGAGATGCGTGGCGTTGAGAGCCCACACGACGCGCGCGCCGCGGCTGCCCGCTGGGCCCGGCCCACTGCGGAGAGGCTCCGTCGATGCGCGCGGCTTGTATATCTGGAAACGATATTAGATACTGAAATAACTTCAACCCATCGCGCCATTCGACTGTAAACCGTTTTAAATATCCGTCTATTCAAGTAAATAGAGCAGAATATACCGTCTATGCAGGTTACATTCTTAGAAAGTTGTTAGAGGCACGAAAAACGAGCATGTTATCAACCTGCATCGATATTCTAAATTCGAATACTGTAGATAATAATAGGATCGATATTTATCATTATGATTTCATTATCGGACCAATTTAATGATGAGAAAAGAAACAGAAAATTAAAAAACCATTTCCCAGAAATACCTTGCGAATGCAAGACATCAGTTAAAAAGTAAATATATTTACATAATGCAGCAGTACGCTTTATCCACTGTAAATTCGTACTGAATATCGACCTATTATTGTGAAGTGGTGAAATGTAAGTAAGAAATCTGGATACTAGAAACAAATGCGTAAACAAAATGGTCCAAGATAGAAAACGAAGAATAACTAGAACATTAAATTAATTGGGACACTCACTCTGATCAATCCATCCCTGCACACAGTAGCCAAGTACTCGCCACACGGCGACCAGTCAATGGAGAATATCTGATCGCCATGTCCAGTCAAGGTAATGGCCGCTACTGGAACTTCAGGGGTCAGGTCCCAAATCTTGATGGTCAGGTCATGAGCAGCGGTGGTCAGCAGGTTGGAAGCCGTCGGGTGGAAACGGATCAGGTAGATCTTGTCCGGGTGAGCGGCGAACGTGCGCTCCGGTTCGTTGGATGATTCTAGTAAACCTAGGTGTGGAAGAATAAATGTTATGAGTGATCGCTCAATGTACAAGAGATACTATTTAATATGTAGTGATGCATTTTTATTTATATTTTTATGATAAAAGCATAAGGCTGTTAAAAGGTATAAATACATTTTGCGATTTTTGCAAATCACGAATATGAGTCGTCATTTAAATAGTCTCACGCCAAATCCTGCAGCGGCGGGGGGTGTAGCAGAGTGTGGGGCACGATGACCCCCTCGTGACCCTCACCTAGAGACACAGTGAGCACTAGCTACTCGTTCACCATTAGACGATCATCATCAAAGAGGTCCCACGCCTAGTCCTGCAGCAGCATTTGGGGCACCATGCCCCCAGGGAGGGGCACGATGTCCCCCTCGCGGCCCCCACCTAGATACAGAGCCGCCGCTAGCTACTCGACACTCACCGCCTTTCTCTATTATCCATTCGCGCACCAGCCCGTCGTCGCAAGCAACCATTAGGCGATCGTCATCAAACGGGTCCCACGCCCAGTCCTGCAGCGGCGCGGGGTGCAGTAACGCGTGGGGCACCATACCGCCAGAGTGGGGGGCACGATGACCCCCACCTAGAGACACAGTGCGCACTAGCTACTCGTCACTCACCGCCTTCCTTTATTATCCACTCGCGCACCAGTCCGTCGTCGCAAGCAACCATTAGGCGATCGTCATCAAACGGGTCCCACGCCCAGTCCTGCTGCGACGCGGGATGCAGCAGTTCGTGGGGCACCATACCGCCTGGGTGGGGGGCACGATGACCTCACCTGACCCCCACCTAGAGACACAGTGCGCACTAGCTACTCGACACTCACCGCCTTCCTCTATTATCCACTCGCGCACCAGCCCGTCGTCACAAGCGACCATGAGGCGATCGTCATCGAAGGGGTCCCACGCCCAGTCCTGCAGCGGCGCGGGGTGCAGTAACGCGTGGGGCACCATGCCCCCCGGCAGAGGGGGTGCACCGCGCGCGCGGCGGGTGGCCCCCAGGGGCATGGTGATGATCCCCACGCGGCCTCCGCCCCCGCTGAGAGGAACGGCGCAATGGACGCCGTTAGCTACAAAAAAAAACTATTTATCAGACGGGCTAAGATGGGTGCCGTGATAAAATCTTTTCGATTAATTTAGACGACAAATGTATAGGATTTTCGCGTGAAGTCGACAAAAGCTTATCGCTGCGCGCATCTTAGGCCTACAGCGTTTAGGCTCTACTATACAGTAGCACGACCCCTAATTTATTAAGGCTGCTTACTGGTCAGACGAGTTAGAGCCCTTTCTAACGGCAATCCAGTTTTGCACCCTGCATTACTGGACCCAGCAAAACTGGACTTATGTGTTCACACGACATAGTATACCGTTTTTTGTGGTACGAGCATTTGCAAAAAACGTATGTAGGAAGCTGCTAATTGGAATCCTGTTTCAAAATAAAATCAATTTCCAAATAGGCAAAAACTCGTATTTTTTAATACCAGGAGTTGGGGATCATCAAAATAAGTACCATTTATCTTTTTATTCTATTTGCTACTGCACTTTATAGTTTGCTTCAAATCTTACCATAGAAACCATTGCACTCGCCAGAAACCTGTCTGCTGATGTTCTTGATGTTCTCCACATGCAGCGACTTGTGGGCGGGCGTGCCCTTCAAGTGACGGAACTTTGACACTTTACCTGTGGAACAACACTAGATTAAAATAGCTGTTTTGCCAGAACTCCCGCGAAATATTTTAGCCAGTCCTTTTTTTAATAGTTTATTTTCGTGATGATTATTCTAAGAAATCCTAAAAGATTCTTTATTCCAGTTAAATAGAGCCAAATAAAATAACTATCAAAATGTATAAATCTGACGCTTAACTGAGTCAAGTGCCTGAGGTATGAGAGCGACACGGGAGTGTATTTATAACGGCCAAAAGTCACCGAGACTTCAGATCTCCTTCAGATTTGTATGTTCTGTCACGTCATGATATCTGTCGCCCCTCTTAAGTCAAGCACTGACTCAGTTTAGCTCTACTATACCTATTACACAAACAAAAAGAAGCGAGAAATATAAAATCTTACCGAACACAGTAGAAGTCCTCTTTGTGGCAACATTGGGGACTGATGCTCTCTTGTCTTCACGGTCGGGACTCTTGCGGGACTTCAAGGAGTCTCTGCGTCTGAAATATTTTATTTTTATTAGCTTCATGAAAAGAAACACTTGTGATAAGAATATGTATTTGTGAAATTTGATTTTGAATCTATAAGCGGGTTTTCCACCACGAGTGGAGCGAACCTATTAACAGAGTAAATACAAATGAGTAGGTCATCTTCAAGGAAACGCACGGGCGCGGTTTGTATGTGAGCGCGCCAATATACGTATGCGGCGCGCACGCACACACTGACAAAATTTAGCGTGGATTAGCATAGCAACCACGACTGGCTCCCCAGCCAGTCGTGGTTGTGCCCAATTTTGTCAGTGTGTGCGTGCGCGCCGCATACGTATATTGGCGCGCTCACATACAAACCGCGCTCAGTGCGTTTCTATGAAGATGACCTACTCATTTGTATTACTACTCTGCTATTAACGATCCGTTTACCTCTCAATACAAAAATGCATTACCAACAAAAGTATAGCGAAAATGACAAAGAGAGTAAAAATGAGCTCGCTCGTCAAATCAATACCCCTGAACTCTTTCTCGGTAGAAAAGCAATCCTATTTTATGTACACAAAGACCGCTCCGCTAGACATCCTTGGTTCATTTCTCTGTGGTGGTGGAAAACGGGCTGTCTTTTTCTTTTTTTTTATGCATAACAAGGCAGGTATTTGACCGCAATCGCACCTGGTGTTAAGTGAGATGCAGTCTAGGATGGTACACATCTGCCGCTCTGCCGACCCGGATTATAGTGTTTAATACTTAGAAGCACATTTACTAAACATAGACATTTTATTTCATTTGTATCACCTACCTTAGCGGAGCGGGAGAGGGCGGGGTCTCAGATTCGACTGCAACGCTCACAGATCGCATCTCGTAAGCACGGCGGCGATCTGCTATGGATTGGTTGTTGCCACTGTGATAATACACATTCAATATTAAAATAGAGTAGGTATTCTTCATTCTTCTTCGCTTACTATGGGCCTCATAAGAAGGCTCAAGGTCACCCAAAGGGCGATGGAGCGGGCTATGCTCGGAGTTTCCCTGCGTGATCGAAACAGAAATGAGGAGATCCGCAGGAGAACCAAAGTAACCGACATAGCTCGCAGAATTGCTAAAATCAAGTGGCAGTGGGCGGGGCACATAGCTCNCGCCGCTACTGGAACCTCAGGGGTCAGGTCCCAAATCTTGATGGTCAGGTCGTGGGCAGCGGTCGTCAGCAGGTTGGAAGCCGTCGGGTGGAAACGGATCAGGTAGATCTTGTCCGGGTGAGCGGCGAAGGTCCGCTCCGGTTCGTTCGATGATTCTAGTAAACCTGGGGTGGATGATGGAAAAATTAAGGTAATGATTGATAGTAACTTATTGAATACTCAACAAACGGCCTATCTGACAGGCTATTTGTTTGCAGCCATGTATTTTTTAAAGATAAAATCATAAGGCTGCCAGGGAGCAGACGATTTATTTTTGGGTTAATGGGCATCTAACTAATAGTATGTATACTTTCGAGTTATTTTGATTACCTAATCCTATTTAGTGTATGAAAAACGTCATGCGTCCAAAGAGTTGTTACATTGAAAAAAAGACTAGAAACCGATAGGTAATCAAGTGATGTAATCGACTTATCGGGCGCAGGGCGAAGCCGCAGTGGGCAGCTCTATGACCCCCAAGCGGCCACCGCCCCCACCTAGACACGTTCCAGCGGGTATCACTTACCGCCTTCCTCTATTATCCACTCGCGCACCAGTCCGTCGTCGCAAGCAACCATTAGGCGATCGTCATCAAACGGGTCCCACGCCCAGTCCTGCAGCGGCGCGGGGTGCAGTAACGCGTGGGGCACCATGCCCCCCGGCAGGGGGGGCGCACCGCGCGCGCGGCGGGTGGCCCCCAGGGGCATGGTGATGATCCCCACGCGGCCTCCGCCCCCGCTGAGAGGAACGGCGCAATGGACGCCGTTAGCTACAAAAAAAACGGTTATCAGCCGGGCTAAGATGGGCGCCGTGATAAAAAAAAAATCGATGAATTTAGACAAATGTAAAGTCTGTTCGCCGAGAGTTAATAAAAAAAATTAAATATCAGAGGTTCTAAACTCATTATAAATTGCGGCCCGCTAATTATTTTTGTCGATATAATGAAAAAGTTTGGAGATTATCATTATTATCTCTTTTAAATTTACGGGAATTATTCCGGTTAGGGCATACGTGGGGATACGGATCAAACACGTGGCGTCCATGTGTTGGATAAAAAGTATTTCATTATTATCAAGTGGCTTATAGTGTATCCCAATGTTGGGCAAAGCCCTACCCACTGTCATACCATTCATTTCGGTCTTATGTAAAATAAATCTATTCCGTTTCACACATTGCGTTTCACACATTGCGGCCCGCCGGCCGGGGCGCTTGACGACAGCTGCGTGGCTCGGACCATGGTACTCAGTGCGCGTTGTGACAAACGACGCCCGCCATACAGAAAGCGATAATTAAGCGACAGTCGCTATTGCAAGACATTTCATAATATTTATCAACTCTCGGCGAACAGACTTTAAGGGTTTATCACGTGAAATCGATAAGATGGCGCGATAAAAGCTTATCGCGGCGCCCTAGGCCAACAGCCTCGAGCATTCGGGATGTACTTGTACTATACAGTAGCACAACCCTTTCCAATTTATCAAAGGCAATTAGTAGACTTGGCCTACATTCCCAGTTCTGGTAAGGCGAGTTAGAGGTTCGTAATGTAAAATGAAATAAGTTTTGAAATAGGCAAAAACGCATACCTGCTCACTCCACTATTAAGTCCTAACCACAAAAAAAGAAGACGTATCGTATCTTTATATTCTATTTGCTACTGCACTTTATAGTATGGTTTAAAACTTACCATAGAAACCATTGCACTCGCCAGAAACCTGTCTGCTGATGTTCTTGATGTTTTCCACATGCAGTGACTTGTGCGCGGGCGTGCCCTTCAAGTGACGGAACTTTGACACTTTGCCTGTGGAACAACACTAGATTAAAATAGCAGTCTTGCTAATTTTGCGAAATATTTTGGCAAGTCCTTTCTTTAAAAGAAAATTATTTTTACCATAATATTTTTTTGAAATCCTGCATTTAATTCCAGAAAATGAAATGGAGCCAAATAAAAATGCTATCTATAGGTCTAGCGCTAACTCAGTGCCTGAAGACTAAGTATGAAAGCAGCACGGGAGGGGTGACATTGACATATGACGTGACAGAGCATATAAATCTGAAACACATTTGAAGCCTCGCTGACGTTTGACGTCCCAAAAGCACTGAAGTTAAGCACTATCTATAAAAATAGAGAACAAAAATAAGCGAGAAATGGCAAATATAAAATCTTACCAAACACAGTAGAAGTCCTCTTTGTGGCAACATTGGGGACTGATGCTCTCTTGTCTTCACGGTCAGGACTCTTGCGGGACTTCAAGGAGTCTCTGCGTCTGAAATATTTTATTTTTATTAGGTTCATGAAAACAATACCGTGTACCATTACAGACGGTCTTTAAAAATATTAATTGCCCGTACTTGTGACATTTGTTTTTGAATCTAAAGCGGTTTTTCTACCACGAGCGGAACGAACCTATTAATGATCCGTCTACCTCGTAATACAAAAATGCATACATCTGTTTCCAGCAACAAAAAGTCTAGAGAAAATAACAAAGAGAATAAAAATGAGCTCGCTCATCAAATCAATACTCCCGAACTCTTTCTCCGTGGAAAAGCTATATTTTATGAACACAAAGACCGCTCCTCTTGACATCCCTGGTTCAGTCTCTTTGGCGGTGTAAAACGGGCTTTCATAAATTAGAACGGGCTTATATACGTTTTACACCGCTTTCATAAATTAGAACGGGCTTATCCTCTTTGTCAGTTTTGCGGTGCCCTTACGGGGGGTCATGTGTACAATGTACTTAAATTGTATTTTCCCACCTGTATTTACCATGTGACAAGCGAATAAATAAATAAGAAACACATTTACTAAACATAGAGATTTCGTTACTTTCATTTCGTTATAAATATTTGTATTTGTGTTTGTATCACTTACCTTAGCGGAGCGGGAGAGGGCGGAGTTTCGGACTCGACTGCAACGCTCACAGATCGCATTTCGTACGCGCGGCGGCGATCTGCTATGGATTGGTTGTTGCCACTGTGAAAAAAAAATCAATTTTAAAATATAGTACGTATTCTAATGAGATAAAGGCCAACTTCGCTAGCTCAATAAATGGTTCGTTTTTCTAATAAGTCACAACTCGATCGAGTTAACTGCGCACCTCGCTGGTATGCGACTCTCTCTCGCACTCACCCGCACACCACCCCGCGTTTGCCGCGTCCGTACCAAAGCGTGTGACGTCATAGCACCCGGTGCGCAGTTAACTTGGCCGGGTAGTAAGGACCAATTTCCCTCAAAAACAGCAGGCACTGATATCTTAGTACTCACTCAGTAGTCTCGAAGAGCTTTCTTCTTTCAGCAGTGCTCGGTGTCTTTGGTCGGTACCCCGAATCGGAAGAGTTGACTTCTTCTTCTAAGCTCGTGTCCGATTTTCCGTTTGTATATTCTTCTACAAAACACAAAAAAAAACAATCACAAAACTGCAGAGGCTACAGAATGATGTACAGCTATTTTAGTACATTCGTACACGCACTTTTCGTTGGAAAATAGCCGCTAATTTGTATTAGCACTTATCTGATCACTTATCGTTTCCACCCTGTAGTCAGATGAGCTGTCGTCTGTATATTGAGTGATTGGGGTACCTTTATTAGGAGCAACGTCTACGTCGCTAGTCGGCGAGAGAGACTTCTCTTTTTCCTCCACAGGCTCTTTGACGACCGGTGGAGTAGATACAGGAGTAGTGGCCGTGGGTCCCGAGAGAGGAGACGTTGCTGAAATATAGCATAACAGTTCACGTTGGTTGTTATCGCATAGATCGAAATAGAGGTTTTTCATTAACGATTCCGATTTCGAAAGTACGGAACTTTCGATTGATTTTGCGATTTCGATTTCGAACTCCGAATGACTGCACCTTCGATCTCGATTCTGATTTTTAATCGGAAGTTATATCGGAGGTCGATGTGCAGTGGCACAATACAGACACGTTTATACTTGTCACGCAGGGAACCTCCCGTTTCCCGCGCCATCTGTGGATTAGCTACTCATTTTCCTGTTTTGTTTCATTTACGGCATGTTGTGCGTTCGCATTTCATTTAAATAATGTAATATAATTTCTCCTACATACAATTTACATTATGTAGATGCTATCGATAATGTTAAAATGTCATTATCAATCACCTTTTCCGATTGATAGTTGTTACTCGACTAAAAACTCACATATACTCGGACTAAGCACTTACCAGAGTCCGATTTGGGCAGACCTGGCACAGCCGGCACTGAGAACACCTTGTCGAACGAGAACTCCTCGTTGCCAGTCGACGCTGAGAACGGCTTGGGACCGAGACGAGGCTGTCAAACACACAACACTTTAAATGACAGTAAATATCAAAGTAAATCACCTTGAATATGCATAGAGCCCTGCGCAAACGAGCGATTATCCAAGAGGTACGATTTGTCCATTGATATACACTCGCGAGCAAAACTATGGAATCACTTACATGAAGTTGTTTCCACGCGAACTTGTGTACTAACGAATTTGTTAGTAACAAAAAAGTGGCACCATTTTAAAGATTAAACTTTTATCTTTAAATTGATACCAAATTCATTTAAATCACACAAGTATTTAAAAAGATATTCCGGCTGATGTGAAGAAGTAACGAAAAAGACATGTATGAACTGTTTGATACGTCGCGAGTTGCGGCCTATTTAGCCCCTATAAAAGCACGCGTTTTTAGATTTTTGNTTACTTTGGGGCTAGCTGGCGCTGTGTGAAATTGTCCAAAGATTTATTATATTATTATTATTCTAATAAGTCACAACTCTATCGAGTTAACTGCGCACTTCGCTGGAATGCGACTCTCCCTCGCACTCACCCGCACACCACCCCGCGTTTGCCGCGTCCGTACCAAAGCGTGTGACGTCATAGCACCCGGTGCGCAGTTAACTTGGCCGGGTTGTAAGGACCAATTTCCCTCAAAAACAGCTGGCACTGATATCTTAGTACTCACTCAGTAGTCTCGAAAAGCTTTCTTCTCTCAGCAGTGCTCGGTGTCTTTGGTCGGTACCCCGAATCGGAAGAGTTGACTTCTTCTTCTAAGCTCGTGTCCGATTTTCCGTTTGTATATTCTTCTACAAAAGAAAATAAAGGAGTTTACACACACCGTATAAATACAGAGGTAACAGAATCACCTCTATTTATAATTTCGCTTGACGGCTTTCGTCTTTTCTTCTTTTCGACATTTGATATATTCATCATCATCATCATTTCAGCCACAGGATGTCCATTGCTGAACATAGGCCTCCCCCAATGATTTCCACAATGGCCGAGGTCGTCGGTCCACCTTGTGGGTGGACGTCCTACGCTGCGCTTTCCGGTACGTGGCCTCCACTCCAGAACCTTGCTGCCCCATCAGCCGTCAGTTCCGTCCAGATATATTATGAAGCGACAATAGCCCAATGCTATCAGTGTTATACTTCCAATACAGTATTTCATAGTTCAAACCCAGTCGTCCGCTAGACTATTGTGGTGAACCCACTCCTAACACAAGCATACTAGCTAGAAAAGTTAACAGAATAAGCTAGTGTCCTAAAAAAATTTTTAGTCCGTCAAATTTAATTAAAAAAAAAATTGGTCATGTATATTTTTAATGGTCAATCAAACAAATAATTACAAAGTTATAGTGTGTTGAAGTTCCGCGCGACGTCACAAAGTGCTGCACTTTTAAGCACTCATTGACGTCACGGGCTTTTCTTTAGAACTTTGACACGCTTTATCTCTTTACATTTTCATTAGTTTGAAAATGTGAAAAATACGTGTCGAGTATTTTTTGATAAGCTAACTGACGGACTCATTAAAACTCTTGCTTTTTTACCCAGGACACATCCCTATTATTATAAGCAATATGTACGAAGTAATTGGGTTACCTTTATTAGGAGCCACGTCTACGTCGCTAGTCGGCGAGAGAGACTTCTCTTTCTCCTCAACAGGCTCTTTGACGACCGGTGGAGTAGATACAGGAGTAGTGGCCGTGGGTCCCGAGAGAGGGGACGTTGCTGAAATATAACATAACAGTTAACGATTGTTGTTATCATAGATCGAAATAGAGGTTTTTCATTAACGATTCCGATTTCGAAAGTACGGAACTTTCGATTGATTTTGCGATTCCGATTTCGAACTCCGAATGACTTTACATCTTTGATTTCGATTCTGGTTTTAAATCGGAAGTTATATCGGAGGTCGCACAGTGGCACAGTACAGACAAGTTTATATTTGTCACGCAGGGAACCTCCCGTTTCCCGCGCCTTCTGTGGATTAGCTACTCATTATCTTGTTTTGTTTCATTTACGGCATGTTGTGCGTTCGCATTTCATTTAAATAATGTAATATAATTTCTCCTACATACAATTTACATTATGTAGATGCTATCAATTAGTTACGATGTCATTATCAATCACCTTAGTTATTTAATTTTTAGCGTTAAGAGTCGCATCTCAAACTAATTTGAAAATTTGATTTTTTCAAGTTATTTATAATTTTCAAATCAATCACCTTTTCTGATTGATAGTTATTACTCGACTAAAAACTCACAAATATTTAAACGGCACTTACCAGAGTCAGATTTGGGTAGGCCAGGCACAGCCGGCACTGAGAACACCTTGTCGAAAGAGAATTCCTCGTTGCCAGTCGACGCTGAGAACGGCTTGGGACCGAGACGAGGCTGTCAAACACAAAACGCTTTAAATGACAGTGAATATCAAAGTAAATCACCTCGAATATGCATAAAGCCCTGCGCAAACGAGGGACTATCCGAGGTACGTTTTGTCCATCGATATAGATCCCTTGTAAGCTTTATAAAATTAATGCACACAGAGGAAAGTACCCCGTAGTAAAACCTCTGAAGACAAAAGCCCCTCGCTGCGTAGACGCATGCCTTAATTCAATATACATAAAAAGGCGTATTTTTATGATAACAATTTTAAGACTACATAATAAATAAAAGAAACCGAAATAAAACTCACATTAGCAAAACAACCCAAAAAGGAAACAAACATTTGCTTAACGAAAAAATCCAAACGAAAATGTTCTCTAAAAATATCGAGTAACACGGATTTAGACAAAAAAAACTAAGCCAACTATGCAAATAATAAAACACACTTAAAAAAACTGAATCTAATACGGCTACACATCCAACCTTATAGCCAGAAATAGGCACAGCAGTGGTCCGGGGCTTCGGTTTGGGCACCTCGGAATGGTCTTCTACAGAACTCGCTTCAGAAATCGAAGATCGAGGCAGCGGCTTCGGCACTTGAACGCCGTTAATCAAACTATTACTCCGCGACAAAGAAGACTCAGTAGACTCCGAACTATCAGTCTTTTCGAAAGTCTTTTCAGTCTTTTCAACGGTCTTCTCCGTCTTTTCGGTGCAGTCACTCGCGTCGCTCTTTTCAGTGTCGACATCTTCCGTCTTTTTTTCGTAATCGTGCCCATTGTCGGTGATTTTCTTGTGGAAGCCATTTGTCTCTTTCACATCTGTGGTTGGTTCTTTATTCTTCTGTCGCTCCATGCCTTTGATTAGGTCTTTTACGTTGACAAAGTCAATGCGGTCTTCGTCTTTTGGTTCGGGCGTCGGTTGTGCTTTCTGAACTGGTTTGGAAGGTTCTTCAATTTGCGCTGGCGTGGTCGCCTTTTTGGTATCAGTCTTCTTTGGAGGAGGCATCGCTAGGACTGCTTTCACCACTTCTTCTAGATTACCTCTGTGCACCTGAAAGAAAGCATTGCATTTTACCTGGCACTATTAGAATAATAAAAACAAAATGTAAAACCAAAAATAATCCCAAACCGCATAAAATAAATTTACAAAAACGTTAAATAAAATACTCACTTCATTCATAATAAAAAGCACACTCACCCATAAAAACTAGTCTACAAAAAACCACACAAAAATACAACACCAACTAAAAAACACAAAAATAAACGGTATAATAATAAACACTTTATTTCCATCCAGTGTTAGTTACCAACGTCCAATGTACCAGGGTATGGGGAAAATTATAAAATAAATTATATCACAACAATTATTATTTATCGCAACTCATTACTACATAAACAATTACCTATTTAAAGGAAAATAATATAAACAATAATATGTACTTACACTACAACGAAACAAAATACATGCAAAAACTGCGTATATTGTACACATAATAAAAACATGTTTAATGGCAAAACATTTCAAAATTTCCACCGGCTAAAACACCTTATTTAATACACTCCGCTTAGAATTAAAAATATTGCTATTCAAACATCGCAGACTTACCTTCGGTCGGGTATAAGTGTGGGTACTAGGTACAATTCTTGGAGTAACACTAGTTACTTGTGTGGGTACAGTTGTGGAGGTTATTATTACTAGGTACATACCTGGGTACAATTATAGGGGGTACAACTAGGTACATACTTGGGTATACTTGTTGCAATTCACGAAGGCGAGTGAGCTTTACATGTGTGAGCTCGCTACTGTTCGTTTTTCAAAAGTTTTGACGGAGGCGTTTTAGAGGCGCAGTGTAAAATGTCCAAGGATATTTATTTATTTTATTTATTTATTTACATTACACTATCGTTATGTGCATGCACACCCACAAGTAAAGCTCACTCGCCTTCGTGAGTTGCGAAACTATAGTCATAGGAGGTACAACTAGGTCCACACCTGGGTACAGTTATCGGGGGTACAACTAGGTACACACCTGGGTACAGTTATTGGGGGTACAACTAGGTACATACCTGGGTACAGTTGTTGGCGTTAGGGTGCAGCGAGATGTTCGGCACAGGGTAGTCCTGGTTATCGAGCCACATGGGCGCGCTGAGGTACGTCATGCACCCGCTTGTGTCAGGGTACAGGTCAGCATGGTACTCGCGGTAGCTCTGCCAGAAAATGGTCAGGTTTAAATTAAAATATTATTATATTAGTAAAATAGGTAAACATACTTTAACCCCCTTATTAATAAAAAGTTACACCTAGGATGAACACTGGATTAAAATGACATTTCAATACTAAATGACAATTTAAGCCAGAGTTCAACTATGGTGAAGCTTTTATTTGGGGGGTCAATGTTTAATCAATGATTTTGTTGGTATTCACAAAAGGTTAAATAATTATCTCTTACATACAGGGTGTTATCCCAAAGAAGCGGTAAAGAAAGTTACGTATAGATGACCCACGCTGAACTGTCCCGCCAAACTCAATGACAGGGGGGCGCTACCATCGTTCAACTATATGGTTTCCAACATGGCAAAAATATGAACCAGCGATCCGGTATTGACGGTGGCGCCCCACTGTCAATGTCATCGACAGGACAGTCCAGTATTTTGGAACTATATTATACTCGACGAAATGAGGTTCTCTAAAGACGTCAACTATCGATCGATGTCAAAAAATCTAACTGAATAGTTGTACGAAAAGAGTTTAGTTTAAATTAATGGCTAATGGTATCACCTACCTAATTAGGCTAATGAGTTGCTAACACAACAGTGTGTAGATGTGTGAGGTATAAACAAGTCTCAATACGGTTTTGTATCTGTTCGTTCGTTCATTCGTTCGTTTCATCCGAAAGACGTCCACTGCTGGACAAAGGCCTCCCCCAAGGATTTCCAAGGATTTTGTGTATCGCTAAATACACGGTGTTAGGTAAATGGGTATATAAGCCGACACTAGCCCATGTTAACATGGGCATATAAATGGTATAGTGAAGTCAGAAAATTGATATCTTCATTTTAATTATTTTAATTTTCATACAAATCGGATTTTATAAAATTTATCTTGTATGAAAATTAAAAAAGTTAAAATGGTGATATCAAATTTCTGATTTCACCATACCATTTATATGGTCATGTTAACATGGGCTAGTGTCGGCTCATATACCCATTTACCTAACACCCTGTATACCAAGTTCTTACCTTCCTGGGCACCTGGTACATGATGGGCACGACGGACGAGCCCGTGAGTTGCAGCACACGATTTACTTCGCCCTCCATCACGCGTAATGCACGCTTCGGAACTAGGCACGCGCCCTTGGTCTGCTCGCCTGTAGACGACGTACATGATCATTGATCATACATGATTGTCATTATATCAATTCATTTCGTCTCCGCAAAAGGAAAACGACTTAGGCAAATGTAGGATTTGTCCTACACTCCCCGGCGAGATGGGTTGGGGAGTATGAGGGAGAAAGATGATCTAACTAAAGAATTCATTCTATAATCGTACACATATATCTGTTCAAAATGCAGGGTATCTAAAGATTGCGTTCAACTTCGAAAATACAATTTGTATCAGCGAGATTACGTCAATATGACAATAATCTCTACAAATATGGCAGAAGTCTATGTCAACTTTCTTAGGCTGAGTTGCACCATCTTTCTTTAACTTTGACAAACATCAAAAATCAGTCAAACTAAATACAAAAATCACCGGTTATTGTTATTGTTACGGTTAAACTTAGGTGGTGCAACTCAGCCTTATATTAGACAACTTGAATTGCTTGAAAAGTTGACCAATATAATACCAATTCTAACAACCTGAAAGATCAAAACAAAGCAGTGACTCACCAGAATGCCTCAGCCCCTCAATAAGGTACGGCTCCCGATCCGTCAGCTCCATATACAGTATGGTCGTATCCCCTTTCCCAGCCAAGAACAGCATGTTGGTATCAGCGTCGAAAAGAGGCATGAGGATGCCGGTGGAGCAGTCCAGTTCTAAAGTTTTCTGGGTCTGAGATAAGTTGCGGATGTCGCGGATCATGATCTGACGAAGGCGGGCCGAGTCGAAGCCTGGGAAATGGAAAAATTGTATTATAACTACTATACTCCATTCTCATAAGTTCGAGTGGCCGATTTGAGATCCAAAGAATGTGGGTTCGAACCCCATTTTATGCTGAACTATTATTGTATTGTAATTTTACATTTTAATTGTTAATTAATAATTTTAATTAATTATTGAACACTTTATTCATTAATAGTTAACTATTCTGTGAATATTAATAAGCCTTTATCATCCCAGGTCATTTGGGGTTAGCATAGCATATTTTCCTTGTTCAACAAAAAGTTCCAATTACTCAGTGATATGATATGATGGTTTAAAAATAAGTCTATTTGAAAACTTTACCATGAAAGACAACACATAAATTATGAATTACAATGAATTATTTTTAGTGATTCTCTAACTCGTAAACAGTACCCTTTCCTATGAGACCAAAAACATCAGCTAAAATCAATCAAAAATGGAATACAGTTGATGAAGCACACGATGTCGTGCCCTGCATACCCAAACAACTAGACGCAGAAAGATTTAATGAATGCTACTGACAACGCCACTCTTGTAGCGGAGTTTTGGGCTGACACTGTATAGGTTTATTGTCGACACGACAAACAGAAGAATGGAATACTTCCACCTTCAATATGCTCAAAAAACTCACCAGTAGTAAGTATCCTGTCCTGATCTCCGAGCCAGACTACCCTGCTGTCCTTGATGTTCTGGTGGCTGTTAGCCACCTCCAGAATAGGGCTGGCAGCGCGCGGGTCGATCACACGGACTTTCTTGTCCTTGCACGAGGTTGCTAGCAGTCTGCCATCCTTTTTCCATGACGTAGATTGGATCACTTCTGCGTGGTCTCTATTTACTGCAGGTAGAATATTAGAGTGGTTGTCAATAAAAAACACTGATATTACAACTGATAATGACACCCAATCATCCCAATATGGTGGAAATCAAAGTTTAGGGACCAATTGAATAAACAAATGACGCATAAATATCTGTTAAAAATGTTAGTGCCCACAAAAACAAATGCTCACAATTATACATAGCTGTTAATTGCATTTATGTATGTTTTTCATCAGTTATCTACCTGCCACACTCATAGAGGTAGTTTTAGTTTGTTGTAGTTTGCTGTAGATGCTGAGACATTCTAAGAGAGACATAAGTAAGAAACAAAAAAAACTTTTCATTTTTACTCACCAAAAGCTTCTTTTTGCTTAGTCAAGTCCCACAGAGCCAGTTCATGGCCTGATGCTACATGGATAAGCCCATCAGCCACAGGGTGGAAACCAACATTCTCAACCCTCCTTTGCTTCTGGGACAGAGTGCACTCTGGGGTTGAGAGAGACTCTTTCAACCCTTCTGGGGGGATGTGCCAGACTTTCACCTAGAAATTTCAAATCATCATCTAACATGGTCGCCCCAAGCAAACTTGGCGGCGCACGGTGGTCCCGATTTAATAAAACATGGACATTGATGCTAGAAGCACGAAATTTTTTTTGATGGTTACTGCTATGATAACTAATAAGGCAAAAAAATATTACAATCCTACGACGTCTATTTCGTAGTAAAAAAAAATAAATACATATTTTTTGTATGGAAGAAATTACGTTTCTGTCAATTTTTCGAAATTCTTTAACGATGTCAAGATGCCGATCACACATGTTATAAAACAAGTGATTCTGAGTATTTCATGCGAAGATACTTGTCAGTTATCGAGGGTTGAAAAATCGATTTTTTTATATCAAATATTTCCACGAATAATTGCCAAAATTACAATATGGTGTATAAGGGACACCTTTGATGACACATAACAACGACTCGCACTCGCGCACGCTCGTATGCATCGGCTTTTAATAAAATAAAATAAAAAATTAAGGGAAATACCTACTTAATACAACGTTGTATGTGTAGGTCCGCTGGCCGTCAAAAAGTAGCTTATACGAGAGGTTGCCCAATTTACAATATGTCCATCATTGATAACTCACACAAATATCATCTCTCTCTGAAGGATAACAAGTTTTTTTTTGTTTTCAGAAGCTTTTGATAGGATGGAAGCTCATAAATACTCTTTGAAGTGAGAATGAATCTCAAATTGCGATATTGCCATTTTGACAAATTACATGATGTAACTAGCGCTAACGTTTATCTTCAGCTAGACCCAGTTTTAAGTTAAAAGATTGTCTACTATTTCACACTGTTCTTCGTTTTGGAACAGTTCTTTGATTATAGGTAGTCGCTAATTTCGTTTTGTTAGACTCTTTCAGTTTAGCACATAAAGCGTAAACTAATTCCTCCTCAGAATGATCTAAAAGTGTTAGAGAGCGCCTCTTCTTCTGCAGAAGAATTTTGCATAAATCTTCAAAAGGTTTTTTATTTATACTAAAAGTCGATGGTTGCACATCTACTTCCGCAGTCTCATCAACTGGAGCGTCTTCCTCGGTGTTAACGTTGTCTATGCGTTGTGTTAACTNCTCCATGCCTTTGATTAGGTCTTTTACGTTGACAAAGTCAATGCGGTCTTCGTCTTTTGTTTCAGGCGGCGGTTGGGCTTTCTGAACTGGTTTGGTCGGTTCCTCGATTTGCGCTGGCGTGGTCGATTTTTTGGTATCAGTCTTCTTTGGAGGAGGCATCGCTAGGACTGCTTTCACCACTTCTTCTAGATTACCTCTGTGCACCTGAAAGAAAGCATAACATTTTACCTGACACTATTAGAATAATAAAAACAAATGTAAAACCAAAAATAATCCCAAACCGCATAAAATAAATTTACAAAAACGTTAAATAAAATACTCACTTCATTCATAATAAAAAGCACACTCACCCATAAAAACTAGTCTACAAAAAACCACACAAAAATACAACACCAACTAAAAAACACAAAAATAAACGGTATAATAATAAACACTTTATTTCCATCCAGTGTTAGTTACCAACGTCCAATGTACCAGGGTATGGGGAAAATTATAAAATAAATTATATCACAACAATTATTATTTATCGCAACTCATTACTACATAAACAATTACCTATTTAAAGGAATATAATATAAACAATAATATGTACTTACACTACAACGAAACAAAATACATGCAAAAACTGCGTATATTGTACACATAATAAAAACATGTTTAATGGCAAAACATTTCAAAATTTCCACCGGCTAAAAACACCTTATTTAATACACTCCGCTTAGAATTAAAAATATTGCTATTCAAACATCGCAGACTTACCTTCGGTCGGGTATAAGTGTGGGTACTAGGTACAATTCTTGGAGTAACACTAGTTACTTGTGTGGGTACAGTTGTGGAGGTTATTATTACTAGGTACATACTTGGGTTTGTACCCTATAATTGTTTATAGGGGGTACAACTAGGTACATACTTGGGTATAGTTGTTGCAATTCACGAAGGCGAGAGAGCTTAACATGTGTGGTGGCTTGCTACGTTTTAAAAGTTTTGACAGACAGTACACTATCGTTATGTGCATGCACACCCACAAGTAAAACTCACTCGCCTTCGTGAGTTGCAAGAACTTAAGCATTCGGCAGACCATACGCAGGGCAGTAGCAGCGCAGTTTGAATGCGGGCCCGCGCAAGTTGTAATACAAGAAACTCTTTGAAGTATGTCACACCAAACATGAACGCGGGCCCGCGCTCCAACCGCGCTGCACTACAACTGCCGAAATACAAACGAGGCGGCGCGGGTGCAGGACAGAAGCGGCGCGTTGAAAGCGGTTTTCGAATATTTAAATTTTTGACAACCGCCCGCGTTGCAACTGCTTTGAAATTGCGCTGCTTTCAGTGTGCCTCAGCCGCGCTGCAACTGAACCGCACTGCTTCTGTCCTGCGTTTGGTCTGTGGGAGCCTTTATAGTTATAGGAGGTACAACTAGGTAAATACCTGGGTACAGTTGTTGGCGTTAGGGTGCAGCGAGATGTTCGGCACAGGGTAGTCCTGGTTGTCGAGCCACATGGGCGCGCTGAGGTACGTCATGCACCCGCTTGTGTCAGGGTACAGATCAGCATGGTACTCGCGGTAGCTCTACCAGAAAAAGGTCAGGTTACAATTAAAAAGTTCCATAAAATAGTAAAAAAAGTAAACATAGTTAAAATGTTTAATCAACGATTTTGTTGGTATAAGGGTGAATAGAATTGTTTCTTAGGGCCCTCGCCCACGGCGACTTTTTGTAGCGATGCAGTCACGCTGTTGTAGCGCATTAGTACTTCTGTAGTGCGTTTCAAATGCGACTAACGAGCGTTAGTAGCGACGACAGCAAGCAAAAAGTCGCTGTGGGCGAGGGCCCTTACATACGGAGTGTTATCCCAAAGTAGCGGTAAGGAAAGTTACGTATTATACTCCACGAAATATGGTTCTCTAAAGACGCCAAATATCAAGAGACATCAAAAAATCTAACTGAATAGTTGTACGAAAAGAGTTTAGTTTAAATTAATGGCTAATGGTATCACCTACCTAATTAGGCTAATGAGTTGCTAACACAACAGTGTGTAGATGTGTGAGGTATAAACAAGTCTCAATACGGTTTTGTTTGTGTTCGTTCGTTCGTTTCAGCCGAAAGACGTATTTCCAAGTATTTCCAAGGATTTTGTTTGTGTATCGCTAAGAATACCAAGTTCTTACCTTCCTGGGCACCTGGTACATGATGGGCACGACGGACGAGCCCGTGAGTTGCAGCACACGATTGACTTCGCCCTCCATCACGCGCAATGCACGCTTCGGCACTAGGCACGCGCCCTTGGTCTGCTCGCCTGTAGACGGACGTATAATAATCATCATTATCATCAGTTATTTAATCTCCACTGCAGAACGACGACCCTGTCTAATTTACTAGAAGCTAATGTAATAAGTAACTAATAATCTTTTTTTTAAAGTAAAAATAAATAAAATGTAGAATTTTGTCCATACTCCCCACACTGACGGGTGGAACGGGGGAGCATAGAGAAAGATAAATAGAAAGAATTCGTCAACGTATCGAAATGCAAGGTATCTAAATATTGCGTTCAACTTGGAAAATAAAATTTCAATCAGCGAAATAACTTCTGTCTGCATGACAATCATCTCTACAAGAAGACAGACAGAATTGACAGAAGTCTATGTCAACATTTAGAGTAGGCGCACACCGTTGATTTTTAGTTGGCCGATAGTTGTGCCCGATTTTAAATTGTATGTAGAATCGGCCAAATCGAATCGGCGTAGTGTGCGCACTTCCATACATGCCCATACTGATCAACTACCCAGACCTAGACCTGCGGTGGGAGATGCTGAGTGGGATAGCGCTCTCGGAGGGTTACGGTCCTGCGTGGTACCCCGATCTTGTCAGCTCGGAGGCGAACTTCGCGCGGCTGCGATGTTTCGCGCACGCGTGGCACAGGAGGCGGAACGGACAGACGCCTAGCGGCCAGGCACCGGATAGTGCCAACGTGCAGAGGCGGGGCAAGACCTAAATTTGATGTGGGCAAGACAGATTTCGCGAGGCCTTGTTCTGTGGCGACTAGGGCTTGAATACCGGAATTCCGGATTTTCGTAACTCCGGAATTCCGGATAGGTTTTTTCCGATATTTCAATTCCGGAACTGAAGCCAATAACGTATTCCGATATTGAAATTTTTCATAAATTATTTTAAGTTTTCAAAATGATTATACCACGGTCACCTAACCTGTTAATAGCTCAACCACAGGATAGTTCCACCAAGAGCTAAGCTAACTCGACAATATATCGAAGATATCCCGGACATCAGCCTATACGAGATTAGGATGGCTCTCATACAACTAAAAAACAACAAGGCACCGGGTGATGATGGAATAACCTCGGAGCTTCTGATCGCGGCGGGTGGAAAACCGATACTGAAAGTTCTTCAGAGACTCTGTAACTTCGTCTTCTCCAGGGAATAATGCCAGAGGCATGGAACAGAGGCGTAGTGGTGTTTTTCTTCAAGACAGGAGTAAAAGCCTTATTAAGGAATTACAGGCCCATCTGGGTTCTGAGTCATGTCTACAAACTGTTTTTGAGAGTCATCACGAATAGTCTCGCGCGTAGGTTCGATGACTTATAGCCTCTCGAGGAAGCCGGTTATCGAAAAGGTTAACAGTACCATATACCACATCTATACGCTACGGCAGGTTATACAGAAGACCGAAGAGTCTAACTTGCCATTATGACTGGCGTTCTTGGACTATTAGAAGGTCTTTGAGCCTGGCTGAGCACGAGGGCGATTCTATATTACGTTATAATACGTCGAATCGAACTCGGCTGGGGAGCGTATGAGAAACTACATAACATCTTTTCAACCAAAACACCTCAGTACTCAAAGACGAAAGTCTACAATTAGTGAGTGTTACCAGTAGTGATGACATTATGTTTTGAAAACGTGGCCTCTCACTATAAATAGGCCTTATAATAAGCTCAAAGTTGCACAGCGTGCTATGAAGAGGGCTAATGCTCGGTGTTTCTTTTCGAGATCGAACCAGAAATGTGGAGATTACTACAGTCGCCTGACATAGCGGTCGGATTTGCAAGCTGAAGTGGCAATGGGCAGGGCACATAGTACGTAGAACAGACGGCCGATGGGACAAGGTCCTGAAGTGGATGCCACATACGTGTACATGTTTGTCGGGTGGCGCTTTCTTTTTTTAACCAACTCCGGAACTAGTTCCGGAATTCCGGAGTTGAGTGCCCAATATCGGAAATCAGTTCCGGAATTGAAAACTATCCGATTTTGCAAGCCCTAGTGGCGACCTGAAGACGGATTTTATGAAATAATAAAAAAAAAGGGTCAATGGTCTATACATTGACAGTTTCTGATTTCTTGATTCAGTGATTATTTTTAAAGGAATATTGCGCCAAAGAATAATGTTCGTCACTTAAAACCGTGTTGTTGCTTAATTTTGTGTCTGATTATGGCTGAATTTGTTTGGAAAAAAATATATTTTTATTTTTAACTACATTGTTTAGCTATCAAGAATTTATATTTAATAGTCAATGTTCGTATTGTGATATTGTCATCTCCACCTTGTATACATTTTTTCAAAATTTTTGATGCGCGAGGCCCCTTGTACCGCGAGGCCGTAGGCGGTGGCCCACGTCGCCTACGCCTTACGCCGCCTCTGCCAACGTGCTAGTAGAGTCCATGCCCCAGAAGGGGGAGAGTGGCAAGGGACAAATGGACAAAGATTAAAGAACTTGTAGAGAGTCAAGAATTGCGCGCGGTGGAGTGCAATCTGCCGTAGGCAGCCGCAATTCCGCGCGCATCTCTCAAGATTCGGCCACAATAACCGCGAGGTTGGTATGGCCATGGGTGGTGGTGGGATTTGATCAACTACCCGACTAAACTATCGGCCGACGAAAAATCAACGGTGTGCGCCTACTCTTAGATTATAACTTGTATTGCTTCAAAAATTTACCAATAAAATACCAATTCTTCTTCTAAATTCTAAACTCTAATGACCTGAAAGACCAAAACAAAGCAGCAACTCACCAGAATGCCTCAGCCCCTCAATAAGGTACGGCTCCCGATCCGTCAGCTCCATATACAGTATAGTCGTATCCCCTTTCCCAGCCAAGAACAGCATGTTGGTATCAGCGTCGAAGAGAGGCATGAGGATGCCGGTGGAGCAGTCCAGTTCTAACGTCTTCTGGGTCTGTGATAAGTTGCGGATGTCGCGGATCATGATCTGTCGAAGGCGGGCCGAGTCGAAGCCTGGGAAATGGAAAAATTGTATTATAACTACTATACTCCATTCTCATAAGTTCGAATGGCCGATTTGAGATCCAAAAAATGTAGGTTTGAACCCCATTTTATGCTGAACTATTATTGTATTGCAAAAATTGTACATTTTAATTGTTAATTAATTATTGAACACTTTATACATTGTTAATGATAAACTATTCTGTAAATATTAATTAGCTTTTATTATCCCAGATCATTTGGGGTTAGCATAGCATATTTTCCTTGTTCAACAAAAAGTTCCAATTACTCAGTGATATGATATGATGGTTTAAAAATAAGTCTATTTGAAAACTTTACCATGAAAGACAACACATAAATTATGAATTACAATGAATTCTTTTTAGTGATTCTCTAACTCGTAAACAGTACCCTTTCCTATGAGAGCAAAAACATCAGCTAAAATCATTCAAAAATGGAATACAGTTGATGAAGCACACGATGTCGTGCCCTGCATACCCAAACAACTACACGCAGGAAGATTTAATGAATGCTGCTGACAACGCCACTCTTGTAGCGGAGTTTTGGGCTGACACTGTATAGGTTTATTGTCGACACGACAAACAGAAGAATGGAATACTTCCACCTTCAATAAGCCAAAAAAACTCACCAGTAGTAAGTATCCTGTCCTGATCTCCGAGCCAAACCACCCTACTATCCTTGATGTTCTGGTGGCTGTTGGCCACTTCCAGAATAGGGCTGGCGGCGCGCGGGTCGATCACGCGGACTTTCTTGTCCTTGCACGAGGTTGCTAGCAGTCTGCCATCTTTTTTCCATGACGTAGACTGGATGACTTCTGCATGGTCTCTATTTACTGCAGGTAGAATATTAGAGTGGTTGTCAATAAAAAACACTGATATTAATTACAACTGATAATGACACCCAATCATCCCAATATGGTGGAAATCAAAGTTTAGTGACCAATTGAATAAACAAATGACGCATAAATATCTGTTAAAAATGTTAGTGCCCACAAAAACAAATGCTCACAATTATACATAGCTGTTAATTGCATTTATGTATGTTTTTCATCAGTTATCTACCTGCCACACTCATAGAGGTAGTTTTAGTTTGTTGTAGTTTGCTGTAGATGCTGAGACATTCTAAGAGAGACATAAGAAACAAAAAAAACCTTTCATTTTTACTCACCAAAAGCTTCTTTTTGCTTAGTCAAGTCCCACAGAGCCAGTTCATGGCCTGATGCTACATGGATAAGCCCATCAGCCACGGGGTGGAAGCCAACGTTCTCAACCCTCCTTTGCTTCTGGGATAGAGTGCACTCTGGGGTCGAGAGAGACTCTTTCAACCCTTCTGGGGGGATGTGCCAGACTTTCACCTAGAAATTTTATGCAAAGGTCAATGTGGGTCCTAGTTTTTCAGCATTAAACATGATCATCAAACGTGGTCGCCCCAAGCAAACGCAAAAGTGCCGGCGCATTGTAGCAGATGAGGCAAAAAAGATTGGCAAGACTTGGAGCGAGATCAAAAGCGAAACTCAAGATCGGACGCGATGGAGGACTGTTGTGGACGCCCTCTGCCCCATCTAGGGGACATAGGACCTTAAATCAAGTAAGTCAATCATCAGGTTGATTTTTCTTTTATTTTATGCAAAACAAGGCAGGTATTTGACCACAATCGCACCTGATGTTAAGTGGGATGCAGTCTAGATGTTTCGATCTCTACTGCAGGATCATGACCACTCTTTTTACCAGAGGCTAAGGGAAAATTTGGTAAGAGTGAGCATTATACAAAGGGGTCATTGGTCTAGTTAGTCATTCCACATAATGGACCTACTACATCCTGGATCCTACTAGCAGAGGTGGTGGAGGAGCAAATGATAGACTTCCTCTTCAATCTATTTTCCAAATGCTCCTGAATTTTTATCAATTTTAACTCATTTTGTACTATCATAATCATCATCATTTATTTATTTTATTTATTTTTAATTTAAGTAAAAAAGTAAATGATTAAAAAAACCATTCAGGAATCCAAACAAAAAAGGAACAAATAGTTGTCAATTGATCTACTTCTGATAAAGAATAACATAGTTATTTGACAGTTTTTAATTAAATTTTAAAATAAATTTTAGTTATGTCTTGTTAAACATATTTCTACAAGTGCCATGAAACAGAAATATGTAGTACAATACAACAATACAAAACCAAGAAACAAGTTACAGTAAATAATTGTATAAGTCTGTATAACTCACTCATTGATACAATACACATTTTTTGGTTTGCTGTAAAAGAAAGCAAGCATCCAGGAACAAAATGACTCATTTTTCATTAGCTTACAAGAGATAAGCGCACCACCACTAATTAGTGGCACTTATAGACAACAACTAATTGGATGCCATTACTATTTGTGTACAAAAGCTAACAAGGTAAATAACGCAACCAATCCCAATACTTGTTATAAAACTACATAACTAAATGTTACTAAAATAAATTATACAAATAATGAAATAAATTACTGCTCACTAGTGCGCTAGAGAAACAAATTAATTTCTTTCGTATCTCATTTGCGAAAATATGCTTTGGAAAGGCAAAATCTACTTCCAATGCTTCAGTGGGCATCTAGGTTACTAACAATATTGCATAGTTTGCTGAATTTGAACACTATATTCACTCACCAAGGAATCCTGGGATCCAGTCAGCAGTAACCCATCATGGAATGGAGAGAACTCCATGTCGGTTATGGTATCGGAGTGTGCATGGAGCAGCGGCATGGTCTTGCTTTTCCGTCCGCAGTCGTCAAGTGGCAGCACGGCCATGCTGGACCCCACATGCTCCCAGTTGAACGCCATAAAGGCGGCCGAAGCGCAAATATTGTTCCCATAAGTCTGATATGACCCGACACAAATATCTCTAATACAAGTCTCTGGTTTAGGCACGATTGGTGCCGCATTTTTGTATTTGGAGGCTTTAAAACGCCAAGCCATTTTTCTCCACGGTTTAAAAAGTTAATCAGTCTTCTGTTATTGGAATGTAAGAATATAGTCTGCGATCAATTATCTGGAACACAAAGCAAACAGGATATGGGTAAGAATATCCTCTAACACAAAGGAATTTGGTTTTACAGTCAAGACTGAAAACACTCCGATTCCGAATATAACAGGAAATGTAATGCTCATTTCATATCTGTAGAGATACACTCATATCTCGAAGTAGAATCACACTAAAGTTATCTCAATGGAACTGACGGAAACGATCATTTTAGCAGACTAAATGTATCGATTTTATATCTGGAGTAACTTTGGATATTATTACACGGAATAACAATGACCTTTAGAGCTCACAAATGGAAAAACACTGGATAATAAAGAAACACCTTTTGTTTTGAATAGTTGGCCGGCTGAGCCACCGGAAATGGCCTATATTAGCAGCATCGATGGTTTTAGCGAGGGAGCTAACATAAGTTGTGTGGCTTATCACTAATTTAGTTATTTGCGAACATTTACTCACGTTATCGCGTAAATAATATTCCAAAATCCCAATTTCCGCAAGACACTCCCCCTAAACGTCGGCCATTTCAAAGCGACATTAGTGTCGTCGATCGATAAACTTCTGAAATGTCAATGTTACACAGGTATGTGTAATCGATTTGACTTTATTCGATTATTAAATTCGAGAAAGCTATACTAGATATAAAATTGGCAAGAAAAAAATATATAGAATAATGCATGTTATTTTATTGACTTAAAAGTAATTGTATTTTTAATAAAACAGTAAAATAAACTCCAGTAATTTATTACATTCTGTTATCGACCACAGATTACTTATTTATCGACCTTGGTCTGAAGTTATCGATAAGTAAACTTAAATCGTATGATTCGATTTTATGCATATTCAGCGCGACACCAATATGACGTTCCGTTTTACGTAAATGTTTTGCATAAACATTAAATTAAAAGTATCGAAAATATTTAAAATATCAAACTTTCTGATGTCACAAAATCATAATAAATAACAAAGAATTCAGAATCTTTAAAAAATCTATGAAGCTGTTTACTTTACTGAAATCGACTCCTGAACACTTGAAACATTCGTCGCCCTGAGATCATCACCCTATCCTATTCTATGGTACCGGTAGGTGCCTGGCATATTTAATTCTACTATGCTACTGGTAGATGATACACTACTACATATTGCCATTAAAATATCCATCTCTCTAGATACCTACTGACCATTATCTATAGTGAAATAATATGGATAGACGTGAAATTGAAATAAAATAGACAAAAGTATCCAAAGTGATCATTTATTTATGCGAGTATTACAATAATTCCGTTTCTTTGGTGAGAATTAATTTTACATTATATCAGGAAACATTATTTATTAAGGTAGGTAATATTTTCAGATCCAATAAGAGTCCGGAGCTACTGTTCAATACGCCTTACTTCCTTACATTGCACATAATACAGTCTACAATGGCATAATTTTGAAAATGTTGAGACTAAAGGCTCGATGAGATCTGTCCCCCAAACAAGTGGCAAAACGCTGTTAAATTAACACTTGTAATTTCATGCATTGCAGCATTTATGCAGTTACTTTGCTCTGTAAAGGTATTTGACTTTCAGAGCGATCAAATAGTGCCACTTGTCTAGGGCTCCTGGTAATCCTTGCCACATACGGGTCGATTTATTCAATTTTATTTCTAAGCAAGATTTCCCGTACCTTGGTGATATCTGTATTGTATCTTCTTGCGATTATCAAGGAGCCTCTAGCCTAAGCGCAGACCACAGACTTTAAGTTGGCCGATGGTTGGGCCCGATTCTTATTTGTATGAAGAATCGGCCGATACCAAATCGGTGTATTGTGCGCACTTTCATACATGCCCATAGGTACTTATTAAAAGCCCGACCCAAGACCCAAATATCGGCCAACTAAAAGTCGGTGATCTGCGCCTAGTCGTATCAACAGCATAAAAAATAAGTATACAATATATTGCACAACATTAAAATAATCAACATGAAGAAATTCAACTATAAAAAAAATATAAAAACAATCTCACATCAAAGTGCTTTAAAAGTTAATTGTGATGCTAAGATGAAAACCGTACAATATAAATTCCCAAAATAGACACCTAAAAACAATAATAAATACGAATTAAACACTAATTTAAAATTAACAATTTGCTTACCAAAATACTATCACGTAGGTAGATTAAAAAAGAAAGTATATTAATTATAATTATAAATAAAATGTGATTCTATTCAAATATTAACATTAATAATTTTAATAATTATTATAATACAAATTAAACGAAGAATCAGGCAATGCAAATTATTATTATTTAATTAGGTACCAAACAGTTTTATGAAGGAAACTCGACCAAACGAATAATTTCCACTGTTTTTCAACACACTTGCTCGTAAAAGTAGTGTGATATTGAAAATCTTTTAAAAATAATAAATTTTTAGATGCTTTTGCCAAAAATAATATTTTGAATGAATGCCTTTATTAAAATGGATAATTGAATTTATGATATCTGTTTTTGAATATTTTTCTTACATTAGGCTGATCAAGCATCAGCGCCATCTCATTTATTATGACGTACGCTGTTTAATAACTTATGTAATATTATGACAGGTCGTTGCGCGAAAACATCAGCGCGCCATTTTTTGATAATTATTAATTGAGAAAAGTAAAGGAAAGTATTATTTTCCTCACAAATGTGTTGAAAAACGTCGTTTCAACGCGTGCGCATCAGTAATTACACTCTCAGATTAATTACACCCTCGCGTTTGGCAGCTGCAAATGCAATCTTGCCTCGAATGTAATGACCAACTAAGCACACTTATTATAATGTACTGGATTACTAAGTATATGCGTTTGCATATGCAATAATGCAAATGCATATAATCCGATGTCTAATTATAACAATCAAATTTAAAATATTAAACTATCTGACGAGTCACAAAATCTTGAATATCAAAGAATTCAGAACCTTTAAAAAAATCTATTAAGCAGTTTAGCTTTACTGAAATCGACTCCCTAACACTTGAAACATTCGCCATGTATAGATCATCATCATCATCATCATCATCCTGTAGTCCTATTACCAGTAGGTACCTACTGGCATACTTGATTCTACTCAGTCTCTATGCTACTGGTAGATGATTTAAAATATCCATCTCTCCAGATACTGACCATTTAGTGAAATAATATGGATAGAACTGAAATTGAAAGAAAACAGACAAAAGTATCCAAAGTGATCATTTATTTATGCGAGTATTACAATAATTCCGTTTCTTTGGTGAGAATTAATTTTACATTATATCAGGAAACATTATTTATTAAGGTAGGTTAATATTTTCAGATCCAATATGAGTCCGGAGCTACTGTTCAATACGCCTTACTTCCTTACATTGCACATAATACAGTCTACAATGGCATAATTTTGAAAATGTTGAGACTAAAGGCTCGATGAGATCTGTCCCCCAAACAAGTGGCAAAACGCTGTTAAATTAACACTTATAATTTCATGCATTGCAACATTTATGCAGTTACTTTGCTCTGTAAAGGTATTTGACTTTCAGAGCGATCAAATAGTGCCACTTGTCTAGGGCTCCTGGTAATCCTTGCCACGCCACATACGGGTCGATTTATTTAATTTTATTTCTAAGCAAGATTTCCCGTACCTTGGTGATATCTGTATTGTATCTTCTTGCGATTATCAAGGAACCTCTAGCCTAAGCGCAGACCACCGACTTTTAGTTGGCCGATAGTTGGGCCCGATTCTTATTTGTATGAAGAATCGGCCGATACCAAATCGGTGTAGGTAATGTGTGCACTTTCATACATGCCCATACTTATTAAAAGCCCGACCCAAATATCGGCCAACTAAAAGTCGGTAACCGGCGCCTAGGCGTATCAACAGCATAAAAAATAAGTATACAATGTATTGCACAACATTAAAATAATCAACATGAAGAAATTCAACTATAAAAAAATATAAAAACAATCTCACATCAAAGTGCTTTAAAAGTTAATTGTGATGCTAAGATGAAAACCGTACAATATAAATTCCCAAAATAGACACCTAAAAACAATAATAAATACGAATTAAACACTAATTTAAAATTAACAATTTGCTTACCAAAATACTATCACGTAGGTAGATTAAAAAAGAAAGTATGTATATTAATTTTCATTATAAATAAAATGTGATTCTATTCAAATATTAACATTAATAATTATTATAATACAAATTAAACGTAGAATCAGGCAATGCAAATTATTATTATAAAATTAGGTACCAAACAGTGTTATGAAGGAAACTCGACCAAACGAATAATTTCCACTGTTTTTCAACACACTTGCTCGTAAAAGTGGTGTGATATTGAAAATCTTTTAAAAATATTAAATTTTTAGATGCTTTTGTCAAAAAGGTAGCAAATATTTTGAATGAATGCCTTTATCAAAATGAATGATTGAATTTATGATATCTGTTTTTGAATATTTTTCTTACATTAGGCTGATCAAGCATCAGCGCCATCTCATTTATTATGACGCACGCTGTATAATAACTTATATTATGACAGGTCGTTGCGCGAAAACATCTGCGCGCCATTTTTTGACAATTATTAATTGAGAAAAGTAAAGGAAAGTATTATTTTCCTCACAAATGTGTTGAAAAACGTCGTTTCAACGCGTGCGCATCAGTAATTACACTCTCAGATTAATTACACCCTCGCGTTTGGCAGCTGCAAATGCATTCCTGCCTCGAATGTAATGACCAACTAAGCACACTTATTATAATGTACTACATCTTATGATCATTTCGACAACGATTATTTTATAACTATAAATACTTTGAGGATTTTTAATGCGTGATTTCAAATGTGTAGATGATACCATATTTATTTTGCACAGTGCCCACCGACCACGGTAATGAAAAATCGATTCATAAAAAAAAAACAAGAAGTAAATAGTATACCCTCTAAAACTCTGATTTCAATGATAATAAATAATAATAATGATTTATCACATTGGTACACATTTTGAAACCTCGAATTAATAATCCGACAATACATACAATACAACACATTACAAACATCCATGATTTAATCAAAAACAACCACTGGAAAGGCATAACGTTAAAAACAGTTATAACAAAATATGCAAGTAACATTAACATGTTTAAAGTTCACAGGCAAGCAGAGGTTACGGTAAAAATACATTGGCGCGAATGCTGAGACGCATTCTTCACACATACTGCTCAATTACATAGAAATACAAATCTTTTATTAACTTTACAGGGCGCTTAATACACGTCCCAAATAGCAGGCCCTACCCTAACCACCACCTAACCACCACTTCAGGACAACATAACATATAGGCTGGTGCTAAAAGATAGTGATATGCTGGCATAATAGATTATAAAAATATATTTTCAATAAAAAAAAATATTGATTCTTGAATAATATTTTCTATTTATTTTTTAGAATCGGGTCAAAATGTGGAGTTGTTACTAAAACCAATTAATCAATATTGAATTATTGATTAAAACATTAGCCGATAATAAATGTTTCCATTAATGGCCGGTTGTGGAATTGGGCTTGAATGTAAAATGTAATTTGAGTAAGTAATGTGTAGAAAATGTATATCAGTATTCGCACGCATTAACAGTTAAATTCCGTTGTATACCATTAATTCATTCATAGTAAGGCGGCGTCCCTTCAACCCTTATTCTATTCACTAAACTATACATTGTCGAACGCATCGAGGTCGAAGGGACAAATCCTATGTGTCACTACGATGGAATGAAACTTCTACAAAATACTCTCAGTAAGCATACAACCTAAACTCTGATTTATAACTCGAGTCAGCAATAGGTATTTCATAAAAAAATATCAGATCATCCTACTCTGAAATACTTAATTTCTCAATCAATTTTGAAATGTATTTCTTTAGTCATTCACATTCAAAATCAAGTGAGAAAATTAGTCATCACCATGATGGTCATGTCAAATTACTGACTCGAACTACAAAAAACATATAGGTATTCTTTAATGCTCTAACCATTCCACGAGGCGAAAAGTAGTCTAGGAAATATAATTTGGCTTTTATCTCACCTCTCGCTTGCTCACACTCCTTACGACTGTGTGCTAGCGAGACGTGAATTATACATGGCCAATTTGTTACGTCCTATGCAATACACTAAATGATGTATAATTTAATTAATTAAAACGAAAATTGCAACAGCAAATTTTAACTTATTCGTGACATTGCAACACCGCATGCGCGTTTTGTATGCGCAAGCGCATGGTCAAGTATATCATGTCCATTTATGGTAGGACACTCGTCGCTCCATATAAGACACGCTGTTGTTTTCTATGGGAACATTGTATTCTAGAAGCGTTTTGTGTAGGTGGTGGACTACATGTTTGGTTTGACCATGATGAGATTATATGAAACTCCAAACAAGTCCTTCCGTAAAAAATCTTTCGCATACGGAGATATTAGCGCTTGATAATTTTGGGATAGCTAAATTATATTCTGTTTTTTAGGAAGCTGGGACGCATTTAAAAGTACCTACTACAGTATTCTGTATAACGCTACAAACAGATTCAAACATATCCCATGTCATTTGATTGCTTTCAATGCATAACTATCTATGTACAAATACTACACATCTTATAGAAAAACAAGTAGCCTAAATTGGTCTCAAAATCTCTACAACTATTGATATGCAAACGATGAACTACGGCTATGGTCCCACTAGCTAGTAGACGAATATAAATTTAATTATTGACATGAACGCAGTCCCGTCTAAAATTATAAAACTTAGAACTTACTTGATAAAAACCGATAAAACACCGAAAGGGATAAGATAAATAGTAAATGATTAGCCGGTCAATAGATTATAAAATTATAATATCTTTGAATGTTCATTATTTCAAATGAAAACCACAATCTTTTTGCAGTTATTCATAGCGACTTACACCAATATCTGAACACTATGCATCTGATGAAAACAATGCTTAAAATGTGCAGGTACCCTACAAAATTGATACCTATTTTAAAAATGAGTTGTAGAAAAAGCTTAATACTTATAACTGCGATGTTGCAACGCCACGACAGCCCTTAAAGCGAGTGGAATGATTTCAAATACTACTAAATACAATTTCTATAAACATGGTATTTTTATAAAGAGATCGCCGTTTACGTTCAGTCTCCGATTAATACAGTAATTCATCATTTCTGATCTTAAAACTGACATGTAAAGGCATTTTATCCCACTTAAATTTTTATTAAATTCATAGGATAGCATTACGTTTTAGATGTCAGATTTTAAGATCAAGATAATCACATAAGTCACATCATTGATCAACTAATCCCTCCTAAGATTAACAAAGCATTTATTTAATGCTTACTCACTAAATAAGTTTATAAACTGGTATGTACTACTGGTTCTTAATTTTTAATTTTACGTAATAGGTTCATTGCTCCTTCCGATATACTATTTTATAACAAGTACAACCTTTCTTTTTTCTAATAATTGCATTATTATTCACGTCGCTGTTTTATACTTTAGTACAACTAGAAGGAAGAAAAAGTGAAGAAAAATGTTTTAGGATTCACACAACGGACAACTCAATTAACGCCAAACTACTTGAAATTGAAAGCTTAAAGAAATTACATATAAAATCCTATAACAAATGATCCCCTATAAAAATACCACAGCGCAGTACACATTACTAGGTACTCATAGAACTTGTATTCTAAGACGCATAATACAAACTCAGACCTGAGATTCATTTGAACAAATAGTTAAAAAAAAGTCACTCATGCATTATTAAGGTCGACTGATTATGTAAAAGATATACTGGCACTACAAATCGTCCTCACTAAGGCCCGGCTTCCACCAAAGCGGAAAGGAGTTGTCTTTGAATAACCAATCAGATTTGAGCTCAGCTTCGTTCGGAAATGAGATTGGTTATTCATACTCATCAGTTATCTCTTCTTCTTTCCGCTTTGTTAAAAACTTGGTCTACAAGTTCCCATTAAGGTCCATTTATATCTACAGACATTGAGCTTGCCAGACACGTGCCGTAGCAGACACCAAATTTTGTCTGAACGATTTTGGCATGTGTCTGGCACGCGCAGTATCTGTAGATATAAACGGACCTTTACTTTTCATTTTTCCTACGTTTGTTTGAATGCGTCTCAGAATGCAAGAATGACAATCACGACATCATCAAGATAAATTCGTTGTTTAGCGGAGGCAGCACCCGCTGTCGCCGACTGACGTGGTCTTACCGTTGATGGGGCCCAGGCTGCCGTCGTACTTTGGCAGTTCCTTGCATTTCGCTTGCTGGAATAAAGTTTTCTTATGAAGGTAAATGTAAAGATGACAAGATTTCAATTTGATCAAAAGCGTCGGGCAAGTCAAGAAAAATTCCGCTCAAAATACAATCGGTATTATTACTTTGTTATGTGTACTTTGTTTTACTATAAAACACCATTAATTAACCCAAATCTTTTAATTGCGGTCCGTCCGATCAAAATCCCCTGATTGTCCCCCGAGACAAACTTGACCTTCACTGGTTGGGTTTTTTTTATTGGCGGTGGTCAAATTGTAGATCCTGGCTACACAGGAGATGCAGCCGTCGAAACAAGAGGTGGGAATGGTCCCGTTCCAATTGAGACAATTCGTCTTTTCATACAAGAATATGGTATTGAAACACAGTTGACTTTGCCATCTGCCAAAAGGTGTTACTCTCTTCTAAAAGTTTCAGAATATGGTGATGGTGACTGACCTCCATGAGTTCGACGGCGATCTCCATGAACAGCCTCTCGACATTCTCCGCCTCCTTGGCCGACGTCTCCAGGAAGTACATCCCGTGGCGCTGCGCGAAGTCCTCGCCGATGTGCCTCGGGATCTCCCTGTCTTCCCTGTCTGTTTTGTTACCTGCCGATAAACAACCACATTCATCATCATCATCATCATTTCAGCCATAGGACGTCCACTGCTGAACATAGGCCTCCCCCAATGCTTTCCATGTTGATCGATTGGCAGCGGCCTGCGTCCAGCGCTTCCCTGCTACCTTTACGATGTCGTCGGTTCACCTTGACCACCACACACACACTACCAACCACAAACCAAATTAACAGTCGGTATCGATCGAACTGGATAAAAAGGCTAGTTCCCTAAAAAAAATTGTAGTGCGTCAATTATATTATCAAAAAATATTGGACGAGCATATTTTTTATTGTCAATCAAACCAGTAATTACGAATTTATGGTGCGTTTAAGTTCCGCGTCATGTCACACCGTGCTACACTTATAAGCGCTTCTTGACGTGCGGGCCTCTTGTTTTGAACTTTAGCGCCGTGCTTTATGATATCAATATTCATTATGTACTTTGAAAAAGTGAAAATTACGTATCGAGTATTTTTTTGAAAAGTTAACTGATTGACTAATTCAAACTCTTATTTTTTTAACCCAGAGAACCTCATTTCTAGGATTGCAAGACTTCAAACATGTACAACCACTATTGATTTGATGTCAACCATGTATTTTTCTATTCTATTATGTGTTTTGATGTAGCAACCTTGTATAGGATAAAGTTTAATGACTTAAGTAACAAGGCTTAACAAGCAGTATGATGCACAAAAACAATCTATTGTTATCTTATAACATATTCTTAATGATGTGAGACACCAAAGAAAAATTGTTATTTCTTTTGATTTCAAGATTGAACTTAGTTAAATAATAAAAAATATCAGTTGCCTGTACATACATCAGAAAAGTATAGCCTTTCAGTTCGAAAATGCAATATAAGTACATGAAAATGTTTCATCGTCCTGGCTATTTCAGAATTGCTGCTCTCTCAATTCCTTATTCAGTAGAGTTGGCCAATTTTGTAAACTATAATAATTATTGTGAATTACATCAATTAATTCAAGCAGAGGTAATATCAGGATGTATGTCAGTCAAACATGAAATGCCTTAATTTGGCAATATATTATTCAATCAAATTATTGGCCTTATAAAGTATACAACCCTATAATATATGGAATGCATTGCAGCCTGAAGATTGCATGCAAGGTAAATGATTACTATTAATCACACTAAAATGTATTAACCTTTAACCGACGAGGTGATTTTTTTGTCACGCCGTCTGCGACGTGCGGTCTGTGGGACCGCTATACTGTTTACTCAAAAAGTAATATTTTTTTGTATAAAAGTATATTGGTTTTATATTTTTTGAGAACATTATAGTATTACAAATAAACATACGTATAATTTGCGAGGAATCAATGTATATTTGTTATTTAAATATGGCTAAAACTTTTTTGACCCTTAATTTCATTGAAATTACACTAGAGCTCAATAATACCTATATAACTTGTAAATTTTAATCAAAGCAAGAAAAACTATACTCCTTCCTAAATATAGTGAACATAATGAATAAAATAAAAATAAATGACACGTAAATTACATGCACAAAAAAAATTGACGTAGGGCAAACATCAGGCAAAATCAGGACATTTTTTTTACCGTATGCCAAGCATTTTCGGAATGCATAGGTAACACCTGTAAGATTATTTCGTTTTCAATTTAGGTAAACTAAAATGTACGACTTTTTTGCAGCTGGTGCAATGACATCAGGCTGATTTGGCATGTCAGAGCCTGGAATACATGTCACTGATTTCTTTACCACCCGTTTCGCGGTATTTTTTTACAGACTACCATCTTTTACATAATATTATGTTCAAATATCAATATATCATTAGGAAATGTCTTTTCCTAGGTTGTGGCGGCCCAGGATCCATCATTTTTACGAAAAATTAGTCGTCTAAAACAAAAACGCCAGTTTCAGTATGGTACAAAAATGTCACGTAGTCTGCGACGTGCGGTCCCACAGACCGCTGTTGAACTTTAAATCGAATTATCTTATTAAAACTGCCCTCGTCGATGTAACCACTACCTGTAATGGCGTTTGGGCAACTAAACTCGAAGGTACTGAGACGCTCGGGACACGGGAGTAAGTAGAACATTGCAATCCAGAAATTTCAAAAACCGGAGCGGTCTGTGAGACCGCACCTCGTCGGTTAAAGGTTAAATATAAATATTTAATACATTTTAGTGTGATTAATAGTAATCATTTACCTTTGCCAAAAATTATTGCTGATTGTTAATTTAACATGCACAAGTAAATTTACTTGTGCATGTTAAATTAACAATCAGCAATAATTTTTGTTATACCAGAAGACTTACATTAACAGAACTGGTTTATTAATGCACATACTGACTTGTAGCAGTTAGTTAACAAAAAAAGTTTAGATTCTTACTAACAACATATTTTTTAATGTTACTTCCAACTCTACCATGTATAATTATAATAATGGCACATTGTAACAAAAGAAAATTAAATTTACTTACCAACTAATATCCTAAGTACTTTATTATTGGCATACTCCTCAATCTCCCGTAACCAGTCGGGCAGACAGTCAAATGTGGGCTGGCAAGATATGTCATAAACCAAAATAAGTGCGTGCGCTGATCTGTAGTAGCTTTGGGTGATTGATCTGAACCGCTCCTGACCTGCTGTGTCCCATATTTGTAGCTGCAATATAAAATATTCATAATTTGTTATTCACAGAAAAAATGTTATTCTCCCTGTAACTCCTCGTAAATTCAAGTATCAGGGATCAAGATTTTTCTACCCTCAAATAAACTCATGTTATTGCAACTCTTCCATGAGTATTCATTAACTTAAAATATGACAAAAATATTAAATATTTCAAAACCTCAGCTCTACTGATTATAAAAGGTCCATATTAACTGGATAGATTATTAATTTGTGAACAAACTAAACAAAACAAAGAGAGTAGGAGAGAATCAAAACATTCTTGTCCATAAAGAAAAACTGTAAGCATTAATAGTAAATCATCAGTGACTGTTAAAACTCCAATTTATTTAACTGGTGCCCAATTACACACAATAATTTATGGATGAAATAAAACAAAAAATCATGTGCATGTTTGCTTTACAAGTCAATAATGAAGCAATTAGATAGTACACTAAAAGCTGTGATTTCAAAATAAAAAATGCTACATTAAAGACAATTTTATGTGAACTGAAGTACTGGGCAATTATTATTGACAAAGCAAGCATCTTGTGTATTCTCAAATTCAAAATCGAAACATATGTGCTTCAGTAAACAATGGAATGGAGCACATTGGAAAACAAGTTCAATGATGCAACAACATTACCAAAAATGCTCACAATTTTAGACCGACTCACCTTCACTTTCTCACCGTCCACTTCCACAGTCTTGATCATGAAATCTACACCTATTGTGGCACCTTGTCCAGGTGGGAAAAGTCCTTGAGTGAAACGACGCACTAAACATGTTTTGCCCACGCCCGCATTACCCACCAACACAACTTTGAAGAGAAATTTATAATCCTCCATTGCGAGCACCAAATCACATTTGTCAAAGACGCAAAAAATTCAAACGAAACAATAATTTATGTCTCTAAACTCACGGTTACGCTTTATTGAAGACGTTCGTTCATTACATTACGAACTGAAACACTATCGGATTAATTCACAATCATGCAGACTTCAAAGATTAGATACCGCGTTAAAAAATTTAATTAACATATGAAGATAAAGCCTAAAATAATCGTAAAATTACGATTGAAGAAATTATTGGAATATCGACGTCCATTGTCCATGACCACTGCTGACTGACAGATACTATGCGTTTACGAAGGTGGTCTCGATTCCATTTACTGCAGTTACTGTTGTGGTTGCTTAAAAATTGTTTGCATATAATATAACAATTAACAACTGTGTTCAGCGTGCAACACGCTGCAATACTTGATAACGTGAAGTCAGAGGTGAGAAAGATTGGTGTACATTATTTTAATTAAAAAACTTTAAATTCTAGAACAAACCTAGAAAACAGCCTGTGTACNAACATAATTCTAAAAAGTAAGAATGAATGAGATGAGTTATAATTGAAACGTTTTGAAGTTGACTTGACCAACTTGACAAAATACTGAACTGTCCTATCCATGACATTGACAGCGGGGCGCCACCGTCAATACCGGATCGCTGGTTCCGATTTTTGCCATGTTGGAAACCATATAGTTGAACGATGGTAGCGCCCCCCCTGTCATTGAGTTTGGTGGGACAGTTCAGCGTGGGTCATCTTACTCTATGGTCATCTTTAATAGGATTTGTCAAACATTGGCAAAGTGTGTGTGAGTGTCCCTGTCTCATCATCTGTGGCAAAGTGGACCAATTTCCTATGTATATGTCACCGTAAGATTACAAACATCGTTTGATTACAATCTATCTCGTGAGATTGTAAACTGTCGAAAAATTGTGAACCGTAACTTAAGATTGCAATTTAACGCATTATTTTTCGCTATATTGTAATCTATCGAAGTGAAACTGTAAAATTACAATCTGTCCCGCGTCAAATTGTCAACTGTCCGAAAGCTCTTCCTGATTGGTCGGTCTTATTGTAAGAGCGACCAATTACGACCAGCCATTCTTTGTCCCCACAGAGTTAGAAATGAAATAGAGGTTTTAGTTAAATAAAATAAATACACTTCAAAAATTCTTCAAGTATTTATTTATTATTTAGTAGGTAACAATTATTTTGTCTTTAAACATAAAATTGGAAATGTTAAAAAAACACTTTTATAAAAAATATTTTGTCATGTAACAAAAAATAAAATTAAACACAAAAACGGTTATTTTGTCCTCAAACACGAACTGAAATTGGGAAATTATNGCAAATAGTATTCAATGAGATCACTTAAGTTCACACGCATACAAATATTAAAACACGAAAAATTTATGTAATTTACGTTATGTTCGGAAACTAGCACTAATTCGTTGGTTTATCACAGAATTTTTTACGTCCACAATAATTTTACATAACTAATTCTATACATAGATATGTTATTTTTAACACGAAATTAATTTATAATCACAAAAACATGGCGAGTGCCGGGGCGGCGGGGGGCACATAACGTTCAACCAATCAGCGCCTGAGATCACAATTTGACCGCTTCCCATCGATAGATTACAATAAAGCGAAAAATAATGCGTTAAATTGCAATCATATGTTACGGTTCACAATTTTTCGACAGTTTACAATCTCACGAGATAGATTGTAATCAAACGATGTTTATAATCTTACGGTGACATATAGATGACCCACGCTGAACTGTCCCGCCAAACTCAATGACAGGGGGGCGCTACCATCGTTCAACTATATGGTTTCCAACATGGCAAAAATCTGAACCAGCGACACGGTATTGACGGTGGCGCCCCACTGTCAATGTCATCGACAGGACAGTCCAGTATTTTGGAACTATATTACTTTTCTCTATGGGACCAATAGTGGATGGACCACAAAGTGGACACTTTTCTCTATGCACAGATTCTTCTGCTTCTGGAGTGTTGTATTGTGTTTTTAAACACGAAAAACAAGAATTTCTTAACAAAAATGTCTAGTATAAACTATACAACACGTACTGAAGGCCAAACTAAAATAAATACTATAATATGGACTGTGCCAAACTTTATAAATCTATTGGAAAATAAAACGACGAGGGAGTTTCGTACAGAAAAATCTAAAGATGCATCGTCTGATTTATTAGACGGTCGATTCCAATTGAAAATGCTATTTCTTGGGCGCGATAATGACATCATTGAGATATATTATTTGTCCCCTACGCCTGTGTTTTTAAAGTCTGTTCTCACCATATGCCTAAAGCGGTTTGAAGAACGTTCCATTGTCATAAAGGAGTACCACACTGTACAAGCTAATAAGTGGCAGTTCCTAGCGACGCTATTCAAGCGAGATATCGCCAGTTACGATGGTCGCGAGATATTCCTACTGAGCGACGGCAGTTTGCGTCTAAAATTCCAATTTATGGTGACTAATGACATAAAAGTGGACAGATCCCACGTCCCAGAGGTTCAGTTAAGTAACGACTTCGAGAATCTGCTCAATAATGGCTTGTTCTCTGACGTGATTATGAAATCTGCTGAGAGCATTGACTACAAAGTCCACAAGGCTGTGCTGGCGAGCAGAAGTGCTGTCCTAAAGGCTCATTTTGAGCACAACACTACTGAGTGTTATACTAATATAGTAGAATCTCCTCTAGAGTCAGAAGTTCTCAGGGAAGTCTTGACATTTATTTACAGTGACAAGGCCCCTAGAGTGGATGAAATTCCAGAGAAACTGCTGGCTGCAGCTGATTATTACCAATTGAGTCGTCTCAAGAGTCTTTGTGAAGAGGCTCTGCACAAGAAACTAACTGTGGATAATGCCATTGAGACCCTGCAGTTAGCAGACTTGCACTCTGCTAAGACACTTAAATTGCTAACGTTAGAATTCATTAAGGATGGCCAAGCCAAATTGATCATTAAAACTGAGGGCTGGGCCAAAGTCAAATCTGTGGAATTGATTAAAAGGATCTATGAGTACATTATGGCAGATGATGTGGATGCAGATATCAAGTGATTGGGAATTGAGTGTGATACTCTACAAAAAGGGCTATATTTTACCGGGACACCATGGCGGCGCAACCAGTCGCCGGTTACCAACAAAATGTATACGGCTCTATAGAGAGTTACTCACCTGGTGTTCGTTTGGTTGCGCAAAGCTGTATACACTTTGTTGGTAGCGGCGCAGATACGTAGATTTCAATCAATTAGGCGGCCAAAACCCTGTTTTCCGAAAACAATCTATTGAAAAATCAACCATGTACGCGGGTAGTACACACTTCCAGGAATACCAAGGTACCTTTTTCAATGTTCAACGAAAAAATCGCGCAAATCTACCCTCTAGAGTAGTCTGAATGCGATAGTTCGCTTAACGTGTATGTATTTGTTTTCGGGCGCTCTTAAACTTACAACTTTTGTAAATTGCATATTTATTTTCAAAACCATTGTTTTCGAATGACAGTGGTGGATTGCGATAATTAAGGATAGAGCCTATGTTTTTCAACAGTAATTTACTTAGTTTTTGTTTTCCTAAATATATTTAAAAATTCTCAAAGATAGCTGTATCAGAAATGAGATTTTTTTTGTATTTTTTATTTTGAATTGGTCGTTTAACCAAAGAATAATAATAAGTACTACGTACAGAAGTTTTACTTCGCGAAGGTATTTAAACAAATGTATGCTCAATGTCATTAACAATATGGTGTAATTTAGCCCCTCTCAAGAGTCAAGCACCATTTTGTTGACAAACGTCAGTGATCGGCACTGCGCCGAAGCTATAGGGCTGACTTCGGCACACTTCGGTAAAATAATGTGACGTGAGGTGCCAAACTGCGGAAAATGGCGGAGGAAATACATGATTTAGCATGAATTATCATGAATAATAATAACTACTTATTTACCTCTCTGTGTCTTGAGGCAACTTAAAAAAGTATATTCTGTGTTTTTATTATTATTTAGGCAGTTAAATACTGCACAGTATTTAGTGCACCATTTTCTTTATTTTCTTCCATCATATACCTACAAGCACCTACAAGAATACGCGTGCGTAAGTCAATGTTCGCTCGTATGTGAGGCCTTGTCGAATAGTATCCTGTAGGTGGGCCATCGTGCGTGTTTTGTTTTCGAAGTAAACTCGTGGAGATGAAAAGGCCTGGTTTAACTAACTTTAGGGTCTGTCCAAGCAATAATTTCTTTATTTTTTAATACTTTACATATTGTTCTTTAAATTTGCAAAAAAGTTTGGCGCGGAAACCCGCGCTTTTTTAAATTAACAGCATTTGAAGACTTGGAGAAAAAATTGCGCAAAATATCATTTTATTGCTACTTTGTATTAAATCCATTTTTGGCTGCCTAAATCATTGAAATCTACGTACATGTGCGGCGACTGGTTGCGCCGCCATGGCGTCCCGGTGAAATATAGCCCTAAGTCTGATAGAGCATTAGTTCCTATGACTAGAGTACTCCACTATTTTATATAAATAATAACTTCTTCATTCCTGACAAAAGTTACTATAGTAAAATTAACTTTGAATTGTATATTATAGACTTGTATTCTGATAATTTTACAATTTGGGAAAACAATTGGATCTGTACTGTGTACATTTTTTTTTATTTATTTATTGATATTTTTTGTTATTCATAATACCTATTTAGAATGAATTAATAAAAAATAGTGTTGTTATGTTTGTAATTTTAACTTTTTGATATATTACTCCAATGTTGACATAATAAATAAGTTACCTACACAAATATAGACATTTTATAGGTTTAAGATATTCTCACTATTATTACTAGTTGAAAAGTATTTAGATCTCCTCTGTAGTTGTAAGAAAAATTTATAAATAAAACAAAATATTTTATAAAATAATTTTATTATTTAACATTATCATCACTTTTATCACTATTAGAGTCACTTTCACAACTTGAGTCATTATTATCATCACTTGAATCACTATCACTCTCACTGTCATACACAGGCATGTGTTTTCTGTTGGTGTTGACGAACAAATCATCATCATCTTCATCTGTTTTCACATCAACTTTTTTATCATCATCAAACTCCTTGGGCCACACGTTATTTTCTTTATAGTATTTAATAGAGTCCTTATTCATTATTTTCACAATTTCTCCTTTAACTTTGTCACCTTCTACGATTGGCTCGATGAGAATGTAGTCTCCTCGTTTCACCCATATGTTTTTCCGGAACTTTGTAGGCATTGACACTAGGTATTCCTCGCCGCTTGGAGTAGTTACCTGTAACATTTGAACAGAATAATTAATCAAACAATGAAAATAGGTCCAATCAAACGTTTTTCTAAGACAACATCTATTTTATAAATTAATTATCTAATAAGAATAGATACCAAACTTATTTTACTAATAAGAATAGGGTTTTTATGTTTGAAATTGTTGCTGTTTTAACAGATGTGTGGAATTTTGTGAAGCGTGGTATTTTTTCATTGAGAAAAAATAATACCACATTTTGGATCACACACTTTGAAGGTTAGGGAGCTATGTTGGAAGGATTTAAAACAATGTAGAATCACACAATTATTACTTTGTATGTCATGTTAGATTATTGGAAGATATAATTCGCATTTACTTACCTCATGAAGATTATTTCCTTTACTTTTCAAAACTTTAACAACACTTTGTTTCTCGTTGGGCAACTCGTAGTCGTCCCACAGCGCCTCGTTCATAACATGTTTCCTCTTATTTACTTTAGACATATCTAAACAAATATTAACTGCACATTAATATTTTAACAAGAAAGAGAATGTAAATTTAATTTTACAAGTAGTATTCTATCCAAAAGCACCACTCAGAAAATGAAAACAAGAAACAGCAACCAGCCAGATGAGCATGAAAATGACAACTGACTGACAGATGTGATGTGATTGTGAGCTGTCACTGTCACATTAGTAGGGTTGTACAAGTAGTATCGATTATGGTAAAAATTGAATGTTTTAAAATTTTATTAAATCGATTCAATCGATTGATATTAAATGATTCATATTTTTATTTAGGTATTTATTCATATTTTTTACTACATACGAACGCGAAATCTTTGTTTAGTGATTTTGGCAATAGGGGGTATAATAATGTGGATTTTTTTTTCCTACAATAAAGACAAAACAAACAAAAATATACAGATTTCAAGATTGAACTTTAGTTAAATAATAAAAAATATCAGTTGCCTGTACATACATCAGAAAAGTATAGCTTTTCAGTTCGAAAATGCAATATAAGTACATGAAAATGTTTCATCGTCCTGGCTAAAAAAAAAAGATATTTTTTAATCACCTTTTTTATTACTTTTACACTTATCGAGTATTTCAAATATGTTCAACGACTCTCCGTCAGGTATCCCGTAGCCCTTGTCCAGCCCGTGCGGGTTTGAAGGCGTGGTGCAGCTCAGGGTTGCTTCCTTCCGCAATACTTGGTCCACTTCAACCGATGTGAAGAACGCCACAGATAGTGGTAGGTCGTTTATTCCTACCCTGGAAACCAAGATTATTTTTTGGTCTGAGACTTGAGAACAATAAAAAGTGTGGTTGATACATTTCGAAAAAAGATCTTGATGCTTTCTAGCTCTAGATAAATTCATGTTATTGTTACCCAGTCCAGTAGGCCTAAGATGCGCGCCGTGATAGGCGGTTATCACGCCATTTTATCGATTTTGCCCATACAAATAATAATTGACGTTGATAAAAGTTATCACGGCGCGCATCTTAGGCCTACAGGACAATGGGAGAGGTCGATAAAGTAATAAGAAGTTAATAAATGACTTTCAGCTACTTTAGATACAGATTGCTACAGGCCATAAAATTTGCAAAATATTTTTTTTTTGTATTGAAAATAAACATAAAAAACAAATGAAGAACTAACCTCTGGGAACAAAACGCCCTTGTGAGGAGATTGGTGATCTGCAGAGCCAACGCAGCCTCGTATTTATGTTCGTCGGGGACTAGGTATCGCACCTCGTCGTGGAAACTCAGGCAAAACCTAGAACAGAGAACATCAAACTAATTTGAAGAACTATATTCAGTTTTTTAACACACAAAAAAGGCACAAAAGAACACTGACACAAAGACACTGAAATCCAACTAAAGTACGAGTACCTATTAACCCGTTTTTCGAAGTAGCATACTGTCGGAGTGAAGCCATGACGATTTTCAATGGTGTGGGAACTCATCGGAGTAATGTAATGTCGAAGGAATGCTTGCCGGAGTTCAGTTTTTGATTCCAACTAAAAACTAAGGAATAGGGAGCGGTAACTAGGGCAGTTACTGTGTCATTAGCAACAATCCCGGCAATATTGCCCGACATCGTATCTATAAAAAAACTCAAACCAACTCTGACGTTACAGTACCTTTTTTGCGTCGGGAAATGCTTTGCGCATACCCACTGGCCGATGGGGACAGTCAGTGGGTTATGTGGGACTCTCCCCGCCTGCACACTAAATGCGGAGCCAACCACTAAAACAGACGGTGTCCTCCGGGCCCATTGAAAAGTAGCCACGAGTTATTGTTATAAAATTGGACATTCGTCCGCGGCTCAACTCTGACAGTACCTGGCCCAGGGCGCCAGGTGCGCCAGGCTGGAAGTCCGTAGCAGTTCTGGAATGGAGGCCGCTACCAACCGTGCGATGTGGAAGTCATTGGGGGAGCCTATGTTCAGCAATGGACGTCCTGTGGCTGAAATGATGATGATGATAAAGGAAGGCCGTCGACGGCGCCTGTGGCTGTTGTGCTACATATAGTACCTGGCCCGGGGCGCCAGGTGCGCCAGGCTGGCCAGCATGAGGTGCAGGAAGTCTGCGGCGGCGCTCTGCACGGCCCAGTTGAGGCGCGTGTTGTAGCGCCCGAGACAGCGCCCGCTAAGGAAGGCCGTCGACGGCGCCTGTGGCTGTTGTGCTACATATAGTACCTGGCCCGGGGCGCCAGGTGCGCCAGGCTGGCCAGCATGAGGTGCAGGAAGTCTGCGGCGGCGCTCTGCACGGCCCAGTTGAGGCGCGTGTTGTAGCGCCCGAGACAGCGCCCGCTAAGGAAGGCCGTCGACGGCGCCTGTGGCTGTTGTGCTACATATAGTACCTGGCCCGGGGCGCCAGGTGCGCCAGGCTGGCCAGCATGAGGTGCAGGAAGTCTGCGGCGGCGCTCTGCACGGCCCAGTTGAGGCGCGTGTTGTAGCGCCCGAGACAGCGCCCGCTAAGGAAGGCCGTCGACGGCGCCTGTGGCTGTTGTGCTACATATAGTACCTGGCCCGGGGCGCCAGGTGCGCCAGGCTGGCCAGCATGAGGTGCAGGAAGTCTGCGGCGGCGCTCTGCACGGCCCAGTTGAGGCGCGTGTTGTAGCGCCCGAGACAGCGCCCGCTAAGGAAGGCCGTCGACGGCGCCTGTGGCTGTTGTGCTACATATAGTACCTGGCCCGGGGCGCCAGGTGCGCCAGGCTGGCCAGCATGAGGTGCAGGAAGTCTGCGGCGGCGCTCTGCACGGCCCAGTTGAGGCGCGTGTTGTAGCGCCCGAGACAGCGCCCGCTAAGGAAGGCCGTCGACGGCGCCTGTGGCTGTTGTGCTACATATAGTACCTGGCCCGGGGCGCCAGGTGCGCCAGGCTGGCCAGCATGAGGTGCAGGAAGTCTGCGGCGGCGCTCTGCACGGCCCAGTTGAGGCGCGTGGAGCCCCAGCGCCCGTGCGCGTGTTCCAGCGCCCGAGACAGCCGCCCGCTAAGGAAGGCCGTCGAAGGCGCCTCTGATTCTGTAGATGTTTGAGATAAAGACATGCGAAACACTGTGATATCTTAAGGCGGTGGTTCGCGCTGCGATAGAGACAAGCCACCGAGACAAGAGACCGAAACCAGAGACCGCGACCGCTACTACAGTCTGACGCTTAGATATACATTGCCTAAAGTAACGGTCGCAGTTTCCCGACTCGGTCTCTTGTCTCGGTCGCAGTTGCAAAAACCGTTGCGTTTGCGCCGCGCGGACGTGACATCAACGCCGTTTCTACGCTGCGCAGGCGTTGGTGAAATGACGTTCGAAAGACCCTTAAAAAGTATGGCCGAGTAACAGATGCATTGCAATCTGTGAATTTGATAGGTAGGTATAGTAATATTATGAGAGAAATCCAAAAAGTTTCTTGTTCTTGAAACATTAAAGTATGTAGGCATAGAGTCATCTTATGTAGTAGGCGATTTCGAACTTTTAATTTTGTGTATTGTTTGACGAGCCGAGGCTAAACACTGTGGTATCTCAGTTGCAATAGGACTCTAATTGATGATTAATATTTATTATCTCACCAGCAATTTCTTCCAGCTTGTTGAACATGTCGGACTCGGTGCCGCCGACCCACTTAGGCCGCTCGAACATGTCCTCGACGCGCTTGCCGCTCATCTTCGCGAGACGCGTCGCTTGGTAGCCGGCCATTTCTACCACCTTTTTAATTAAACAGGTTTATACAGTTACATATTTTAAATAAAAAGAAAAGGTTTTCTTAAAACATTGGGAGAGGGCTATGTTCAGCAGTGGACGTCCTATGGCTGAAATAATGAAGATGATGAAGAATAGGTACTTTTTTTTACCGAAAAACTGACAAGTTAGTGATATTTTCAAGAAGAAATAGAAATAAAAAAATAAGAAACTGGACAAGTACGGAATGCGCACTTGTTTAAGCCCGTCTTACATTTTCAGCAAAAAAGCCTTTTTCAGGTATTTCACAAGCGGTTTGAAAACCTAAAACAATCGTATACCTACTTGTAAAGCACTCATTCCATTCACATCAAGCATCCAATTCTGCTATCTCGCTCTCACATCTCACAGGAGCCCCATTTTAAGTGGTAAATACAGAGAAACACAACATCATACCTAACTAATCTCTCTTTTTTCATCTTACACTGCGCCTCTAGTCCCAAACTAAGCAAAGCTTGTACTAATAGCAGAGTAAATACATAGCGTGGATTAGCGGTGAGGTGCGCTGAATTTTGTCAGTGCGCGCCGCATACGTATTGGCGCGCTCACACACAAACCGCGCTCGGGCGTTTCTATGAAGATGACCTACTCATTTGTATTTACTCTGCTAATTAGTGTCCGACCGANTTGAAAATAAACATAAAAAACAAATGAAGAACTAACCTCTGGGAACAAAACGCCCTTGTGAGGAGATTGGTGATTTGCAGAGCCAACGCAGCCTCGTATTTATGTTCGTCGGGGACTAGGTATCGTACTTCGTCATGGAAACTCAGGCAAAACCTAGAACAGAGAACGAATTTGAATGTTTAGTTTTTTTTTTTTTTTATGTGATAGGAGGCAAACGAGCAGACGGATCACCTGATGGTAAGTGATTACCGTCGCCCATAGACACCCGCAGTCCCAGGGGCGTTACAGGTGCGTTGCCGGCCTTTAAGATAAAGATACGCTCTCCTCTTGAAAGCTTGCAGGTCGTATCCGTCCGGAAACACCGCAGACGACAGTCCATTCCACAGTTTGGTTGTACGGGGCAGGAAGTTTCTAGAAAAACGTACTGTTGTGGACTGCCAACCATCTAAGTGATGGGGGTGGAAGTGCTGTCGGGTAAATCGGTGGCGAAAAGTGGCGGCAGGAATAAGTCCGGATAATTCTTCGGAGCACGGAGTTTTGATAGACAAAAAAAAATCCAACAAAAGTACGAGAACCTATAATCCGTTTTTCGAAGCAATGTAGTGTCGGAGTAACGTAATATTGTTGAAGTAAAGCTTGTCGGAAGTCCGTTTTTGAGCCCAACTAAAATCTAAGAATGGGGAGCTGTTGGTATGATAGTCCCTAGCTGTGCCATTGCCTTCTTCTTCTAACTCTGACAGTACCTTTTTTTGCGTCAGGAAATGCTTTGCGCATCGCGACAGTCGCCCACTAAGGAAGGCCGTCGACGGCGCCTGTGGCTGTTGTGCTACATATAGTACCTGGCCCGGGGCGCCAGGTGCGCCAGGCTGGCCAGCATGAGGTGCAGGAAGTCTGCGGCGGCGCTCTGCACGGCCCAGTTGAGGCGCGTGGAGCCCCAGCGCCCGTGCGCGTGTTCCAGCGCCCGCGACAGCCGCCCGCTAAGGAAGGCCGTCGAAGGCGCCTCTGATTCTGTGGATGTTTGAGATAAAGACATGCTAAACACTGTACGATGAATGGATGGACGACGGTACCTCAAACTACCCCACACTTTCGAGCGTCGCCGTCTTGCCAACGCCCGCCTAATTCAGCGATGCCCCCACTAACTTTTTTTCAAAGTTGACGCCGCGCGGACGTGACGTCAACGCTGCACATGCGCTGACGAGACGACGACGTTTGAAAAACGCTCAATATGTGGGGAAAGCATAATACTTAGGCGTCGTTGGTGGCATCGTATGTAGTTAAAATAAAGTCAATTTCGAACGCTTAATTTTGTGTACTATATGACGAGCCGAAATGTCGCGTTGAGGCCCATGTTTCTCAATTTTAGTCAAAGCTAAACACTGTGTCTTATGTAGTAGCAATAGGACCGAAAAAGGCAAGAAAATAATAATAATAAGTAATCTAGAAGCGCTGACGACTGGAAAAAACATATAGGTACCTACTTCTAAGGGATAACCTTTCAGAGTTTTCAGTCATCAGTATATGTATAGGGTAAAATTGTGTGACAGCGCAACGCAGGTGTATGGCTATTGTAAAAAAGCGTTTAAATCTCACCAGCAATTTCTTCCAGCTTGTTGAACATGTCGGACTCGGTGCCGCCGACCCACTTAGGCCGCTCGAACATGTCCTCGACGCGCTTGCCGCTCATCTTCGCGAGACGCGTCGCTTGGTAGCCCGCCATTTCTACCACCTTTTTAATTAAACAGGTTTATACAGTTACATATTTTAAATAAAAAAAAAAGGTATTTAAAAAAATATCTTAAAACATTGGGAGAGGGCTATGTTCAGCAGTGGACGTCCTATGGCTGAAATAATGATGATGATGAAGAATAGGTACTTTTTTTTACCGAATAACTGACAAGTTCAAGAAGAAATAGAAATAAAAAAATAAGAAACTGGACAAGTACGGGATGCGCACTTGCTTAAATTCGTAAATTTTCACCCAAAAATCCTTTTTAAGGTACCTATTTCAAAAGCGATTTGAAACCCTAAAACAATCCCATACTTGTAAAGCTCTCATTCCATTCGCATCAAGCATCCAATTCTGCTATCTCGCTCCCACATCTCACAGGAGCCCCATTGTTTCGTAGAACATAAATTATAACGCTTTTTACGGTTTTACAAATATATTGAAATCCATGGACCTATAAAAAAAGGCGGACGGAACTCGCGCTACAACAAAACTGTGACGCAAAATTTTGGCGTTTGTCTATTGTGTGAGTGAATTTAGGGATGCCATGTTAGCCAAAACATTATACCCATTTATTTTAAGAAAAACATAGATCGGCAGATGTTACTTGGAAATGTAGACAGAATTATTCCGTGCCATTTTAAAAAGATGAAAGGTGAATGCGTTGAGGTAGGCGCGAAATTTTCAATGTTCAAATTTTCTTACATTGTTTGCAAGTCAGTGTGTCAGGGTATGTACATAATGTTGATCAAAAATGATTCACGCAGTTACAAATTACGAATCTTGTGTACATTATAATCATAATCTTATGCATCATCAATATATTATTATTATCTCTGATAGTTTTTTTTAGGTAGCGCATTTTCTTACATAACTTTTCAATTCCTATCATTGGAGGTCCGAAAATATTTCTCATACAATTTGATACCATAATGATCATTCTTCATAAAAAATTTAAAACCTACATATTTAAAAATATAATCATTGATATTCATAATATCACTAATCATACACTTAGTTTTTACTAATATTTGTTTTCATATATTTTTCTATACTAATGATCGAAACTCATAATCATTCGAATAAATAACTATAATATTCATAAATGTGATGTATCCTAATAATTTGTTTTCATAAATTTATTACTCATAAGTGTATAAATTTATCCATATTATTGAAAATCATGATGTGTTTGATTTCAATTAATTTCAATATTTTAATGTCGGGAAATAAGTGATTGGATTATTATTTTGCCTGTGAAATGTGATTCCTTAATTTAATTTTTGTTTGTTCGAACAGAACGGTTTTTACACAATTTCATCACACAAGACATGTCGTATTCGTGTTGTTTTTTCGCTGCTTAAATGTGTCAACTGTGTGAAGTTTGCACTCGAAGTGGTGTATCAGGGTGTGAATGTGTGCGTGCCGGCCTGTACGTACAGGCAAGCTGGTGTATCCTAATGTCACAGTATTTTGTTGATGAGAATCCGTCCGACTTTTTTTATAGGTCCATGTTGAAATCATGACAATTCAGTACGATGACCAAGCAAGAGAGAGAACAAAAGAAGTCCTATACTAATTAAAAATAAAACGCCGCGCCGCGCACAGATTAGAGCAAGGAGGCTGAACGCCGCAACACCCATTTTACCTAAGTTTCAAATACAGAGATTATCAGCTAAACTCTACAAAAAAGGGACAATATTTTTTTTATGATCATGATTTATTATATTCTGCATTTATAAACCTATCACCGACCTTGGACTCCTCATCTTCATCCAAGATGAACCCCTCCATATACTGTTTCTTCAGCGAGTACACGCGGCGGCCTTTGGTGGTGGTGAACATTTTGGCCGCTTTGCTCTTCGCCTCCGATATCGTCATGGTCGGGTTGAATTGCTTCAGCAGTCTTTCGGCGAAGTTCTGACCGGCACCTATAGAAGTTAATAAATACCTAACTCTTTATTTACTCACACAAAAATTGAACAGAGTTACATAGTGAATGTATAAGATACGTTTGATGTTCATTCTTGTGTGATTCTGATGCCTATGCTAGGTATTTAGTATACCTGTATTACAGGTCATCAGGCTCCCACCACCTCAGGTCACCAAGTATCTTCTATGTGCCATACAATCAGCTTTTCACTTTTCACTTTAATATTAATACTTACTCATAACAGAAAGTATAAACATTTCATTATAGTAGTAAGTTATACCATTATTGTCATCATCATCATATTTACGCCCGTATTCACAAACGATGCTTGCTTAAGTGAAGCAGCAAATAGAACGCACAGTTGAATAGAGCTCTGTGATTCATGTGTGACCCTGTGCGTCCACGCGCACTGTGAGACCTCATAGTAATGTTTGTGAATACGGGCGTTAGTCTCCACTTGACTGTTACAGTACACAGTACACAAAATTAGTGGTTGGTTCCGTGGTTGACCCAGTAGTTGACCAGGTACTAGTTGTTGACCACTTAATCCTACTGATATTGTAACGTTTGTGAGGATGGGCATATTTTTTTTACTCTTTCAAGCAAAATCTATTGATACTGAACGGATTTTGACGTAACTTTACAGTATTATTGTTTATTATACATCAGAATAACATATTTTATACGCTATAAATTAAAACGATCTGTGACAAAATTTATTTCACGCGGGCGAAGCCGCGGGCAAGAGCTAGTCTACTTACTTATAATTTCTTGTAATAAATTAATAATACCTATAATGTTCAACAATAATTAAGAATTGAATAAAACCAGCTGAATAAATACATAATTAAATAGATAGTGTTATCTTTAGGTGTTTTTTGCCTCATGCCTACAGCTACCGTATGTGTTTATATTATCTGTCTCATATTTTGAAAGAGTCACGTATCGCCTTCGTGGCGCAATCGGTTAGCGCGTTCGGCTGTTAACCGAAAGGTTGGTGGTTCGAGTCCACCCGGGGGCGGCCAACTTTTTGGGTTTTGAACTACCGCAGTAAATATGTCGATATTAACGTTTTAAAAAATAATTTAAATATAAAATGTGGGCTGACTAGATATTTTTTTGTATTAATTTTTTTTTCTCAGAAAATTTTGAAGTAACTATGTATGTATGGCATAACCTCTTTGTTAAAATGTAGTATGCCAACACTTATTTCTTTTTCAAAACTAGCAAAATACTGTCGTTTTTGGACTCGTAAATTCTTAGTTTAGTCTATTTCATAATTTTATTTTAATGCCTGCCTACCACTGGACACAAGCCAAGGAACGCTTAGTCAAACGATTTCCCATTTTCCTCCAGCCACTATAAAATTCACATTCTAAACGTGTAGATAAGTCTTTTTCGGAGCATTTATAAATGCTTGCCATACCACCACATCCAGAAAACAATATCAGTCTATTTCTAGGCCAGTTTTATCAACATCTTTTGTAATTTACACGATTTTGTGAAGGTCGCGGGAAGCACCTGTATGCGGGCAGTGCAGAAATCCTTGTGAGAGGTCTTTGTCCAATCCAATAGACGTCATTTGGCTGAAATTAGCGAACAAAATAATGTAATCTCTGTTTATTTACCATATATTCTGGCGTAGTTGATGACCTTGGCGTGGTCGCGCGAGATAGCGGCAGCGGCGGCGGTCAGCGAATGCAGGTCGGTCTTAGTGGACTTGTCTCCGGCTAGCACGGCCCAGCCGAAGGCGGTCCCTCCGCACAGGCCTAGCGAACTGTCCCCGAGTAACGCTGCTATCCAGAGTTCCTGTTATGGGAATCATTTAGACTGAGAAATGATGAATATTGTCTTTTCTATCAATACAGAATCTCACAAAACTATAATTTCACACTCCACTTGCTCACAAAAAACATAAGTAATATTTTAGCATTTAAAACTACTAGACTAGGCAATTTTCCCGTTCTCTTCTACATTTCGAAATTGCGAAGCGTTGAACAATTGTTTAAAAAGATATTTCTAAACTAAACGTCACTTTAAACAAGTATTCAACGCATGTGTACCTTTTGTTAGGGGAGTATGTGTGGCTAGGAACCAGAACCGCGGATTCTTGCGAAAGGTTAAGTAAATCCTTTTACCCGCGCAATTTTTAGTGTTAGTATCTAGATATAGTGCATGAAAAATATATTTAGACAATTTCATTGCACTTTAAACCTTATTGCAGCGAAATAAGTTCCACCAATACCTGCGAATCGACGTCGGCGCCTACAAACTTGTACCCCGGCGGCGCCTGCACCATGGCACGCAACTCGGAGCCCACGCGCTCCGCCTGCGCGTTGCTCGCCGTCATCCAGGTTGGCTCGCTCGCTCTGTTAAAGGGAGGCTAGCTATCCATTAAGAACTAAGCAAGAAGTTGCAAAGTTTACTATAAAACTAAGCATTGGAGTGGTTCGCTTCTTTTCATGCATTTCACGCTTGCTCCAACGCTGACATGCGACAAACGGTTTGTCATGTGGTTTGTGACAAACCATGTAAAATAATATGTATGAAGACATTGTGCTGCGCAGTGTCACACGAGTGCGGCCGAACGTTATGACTGACGGACTTCATTCACCTGTACTCCAATGAGGATCATTTCGATTTTTAGCTGTGAATGCAGATTTATAGGGCTAATAAATCCTTAATACACAGTCCAAAAATTTTTGTTCTACAACAAAAATTGACGAAGTTATGGCCAAATTACTAAAAAAGTTCACTGACCGCCCGGCGCGGGGACCATGACGTCACTATATCCGATCCAAACGCTGCCGGCGTACTGCGTGGATAGAAAATATGTTTTTCTAGCCAAACTATCAGTTTTAGAGAAAAACTTGTAATGACATTTATTCATCAGAATAAAGTAAGCTATCGATAGGTAATTTTTAAAAATAGAAATTGTGAAAAATAACGCAAAAAATCCATACGCTCATACGATTCAATGGAACGCAGAGACGCGATTGGGGTCTGTCTCCGCGGTGGTATATTTGGCGATTTATTCAAATAAAGTGTTCATAAGTGTTGTCTTCTTCCAAGTAAAATATAAAAATGTATAAGTATTAATTTATTCTTCTAACAATAAGGTATAGCTGAGGCAGATACACTCTGCCTGGGCTACAAGACATTGCTATGAAGATCATTTCGATGTACACGCAATACCTACCTGTTATTTAGTTTTTTTGAGTTAAACCTACGTACCTGCCTATCTATTCACCGTTCCCATGGGCGGGCCAGCTGCTGCAGGAAAGGACAGCTGCTCCCTCCTGGAAATCTATTTAAGAAACTGGGTATGACTTGCCTCTCCCCCCCTCCCACCAAGGCCAGAAGCTGGGTAAGGCTTGCCCCTCCCCCCAGGCTATAAGCTGGGTATGACTTATCCCCCCCCCCCCTGCAGGCCAGAAACTGGGTATTATTAGCATCATCTTATGTATTATTATGTTCAATACAAACAATCATTAAGTTACACTCACCCCGACCGCGTCTCCGCATTGCATCGAATCCTATGAAAATGTGGTTTTTGGACATAGCGATACTTATTTTTCACAATTTTTATTTTTAAAAATTACTGGTCGATAGGTTACTTTATTTTGATGAATAAATGTTATTAAAAGGTTTTTTCTAAAACTGATAGTTTAGCTGGAAAAAAATATTTTCCATCCCAATAGTACGCCGGCTGCGCTCGATTCGGATATAGTGACGTCACGCGGCCCTGCGTACGTTGACTTTTAGCGGCAAAAACGGCCTATGTTTATTACTTAATATCTTCGTAAGTAATGGTCCGATTTGGATAATTCAAAAAGATATATCTTTCTTATGTCTTAAAGATTAACGTAGATACTAGTTTTATTGAATTTTCTACAACAGTACTGATCCTCATTGCCAAATTGCAGTTCAAATTCAGTTTGAATACAGTTGCCAAACCACGCCTCAATTAAACTGTACATTGATTGCAATTGGACTGCACGACCGGATGGCATTTTCTCTGTTATCATGCCGAGTCGCCTGTCTAGACTCACCCGGCTCTCCTTGGCATCATACTACAACTCTTACCTTCTAGTAAGCGTCCCACACATAACCACTTGCGGCACAATGGCTCCGCCTTAGTTGAGCCGGCAGCAGTTCTTGCGGCAACCACACCACTTGCTGGCTCATGATACGCTCGCGGTTGTTCCGCCAGTACATCATACTACACTTTATCGTCTATTAAACGTCCTGTAGAAAACCCTAAATGACACCATACAGCCGTGTGCCAATCAGTTGAGCCACCAACGGCTCTTCTGTCAATGCCACTACTTACCTTCTAGTAAGCGTCCCACACACGACCACTTGTGGCACAATGGCTCCGTACTGCCGCGTGCCCCTCAGTTGAGCCGGTAGCAGTTCTTGTGGCAACCACACTACTTGCTGGCTCATGATTCGCTCGCGGTTGTTCCGCCAGTACGACATCATACGGCCGAAGGTTAGCACCTAAAATTGATATCTTTCAATAGACATTATTAGGATTAACACTATGGCATATTCTGTAGACAACTACGACTACTAGATGCCACAGTGTTTGTCTTTGACTTGACATGCTGTAGTCTGTACAAATGAGAGCACGTCAGACTGTTTTATTGCAAAACATTGTAACAAGGGCGATTTTGTAATAAATTGACATGCTGTGCTATGATTTGTACAATGATTGATTGCTCATTGGCACCTCAGAATTCTCAAATGAATAATAAGATAAAGTCATTCACAAAAAACCTTGTGAGAAACCAAGAGCTTAATTTATAGAAACAGACACAAGGTTTTTTTTAAACATATTTAAATGGTAATATATGGTACCTTTTCCGCCTCGTTCCCTTGCGCAGTCAACACATTCTGACTGAACATATCCAGGAAATCTTTTGCTAGGGGATTCCCCACTTTGTACTTCGGCCCATCTTTGTGCGGTAGTCGCAAGAAGTGACAGCAACCTGCAAACAAATTATATTATATTTTGCGGTTTAAATATATGCCATTCGAAGTCGAACTGTGACGTCACATCGACGCTCTGGTACGGACGGTACGGTGTGGTAAGTGGAAGAGAGAGTCGCATTCCAGAGGTGCGCAGTTAGCTCAATCGGATTGTACTGTGACTATTGTGCGATGTATTTTTACCATGATTAATTTAGATTTATGTACCTTGTATTTGTACGCCGCACCACACGCCTAAACCATGGTACTGGTTAGCCGCCGCTTGCTCGTCGAATTTCTTCCGAGCATAGTACGCTCTTCTGCCTAAATCCTCCTACAAAAAAAGAAAGTCGTGTTAGTTACTTCGCTTATAACTCAAGAACGGCTGAACCGATTTAGCTGAAAATTGTCAGGGAGGTAGTTTAGAGCCAGGAGAAGGACATAGGATACTTTTTATCCCGTTCGAAATTTAAAAAAAGTCTGCTTATTTATTGCCATTAAGGCGGAACAAAGTTCGCCGGGTCAGCTAGTGTATTAATAACTTGGAGTGCAAGTGTGGTTATGTTCCCCAGCCGATAAAGCACATGATGTCGTGCCCTGCGCCGCCAAACAAACAAGAAGATTTTATTAATGCTACTGACAACGCCACTCTTGTATTAGACCCACTACCCGTGACATTGACAGCCTAGGAGGGCCCCATCGTCAATACCGGATCGCTGGTTCCGATTTTTTCCACGTTGGAAACTACATAAAATATACAGTTGAACGACGGCAGCACCCCCCTATCAATTAGTTTGGTGGAACAGTTCAGTGTAGTGGGTCTATAGTAGAGTTTTGACACTGTGTAGGTTAGTCCTCAATATGACAAGAAGAAAAATTCTTTTTAAAACTAACCTCAACAGTCTTTGGTAACAAATGCACATTGGCTTCAATGTCACTCTGCTTACAAAACGCCATAGGACATGCCGCTAACAGTTCTTCTAGAGGCAACACGGGCTCTCCCTCTGTCTCCTTCTGCGTCCTGCTAAAGGGCACCAGGAAGCCCCACCCTTCTTCTTGAATGTAGTGGAGAGGATACCCTTCCCAGGATAGACGGAGGAGTTTTGGAGTTATCTGTAACAAAGAGTAAGTGGGCATAGAATAGATGAATAAAAATACAAAAGTACATAATTGTTGTGCAAAAGTAAACAGTTTTATATTAAATAACTTCAAGCTATTTGAAACCGATTTATGAGGAATTCTATTGACATTATTACATGAAGGACTTAAAAATGTTCCCTGCATGACTCCAATATTATCCAATGACTACGTGGGACACTATTTAAGTTGTGAGCCTAACTATGAAAACAAAGTAGTTTATTATTAAAATGGTATTGATTGCGTTTATTGGTATTGTCTTTCATGATTTATGTACTTTTTAATGTGTCCGAAACACTTTTCATAGCATTTTTTCCACTCAGCTTGAGGCACCTCCAAAGCATGGTTTTTGACCGCACCGACAGTTGTTTCTGGCTACATAAATCGCTGTTCACGCATTTAATTTTAATATATGGGTACCAAAAGAAGTGCCTAGATTCCAATCAAGAATTTTGTAGCGTTGGACCTGTTTATTTCATATTTTGAGTGTTCAAATAGTCAGTTGTTTGACGAGACGTGTAAAAGCTCACATTTTTGTCACGAATGGCGATTCGACTATGCTGGTCAGTTTCCCTTATTAAACTGAAGACTTTTGGAAAAAAAGTGGCTGTTTACTATTAAGAATTAACCATTCTAAATTTCTCTAGTTTGTATTGATTAACCACGTCGAAAGTCATAATAAATCTTCGCGCGAAAATTTCCGCAAGTCAATTCCATGTTTTTGTAGTAAAGATAATTTTCAATTCAATGTTAATAATACAAAACGTGCTCAAATGATAAAAAGTTTTGAATAAGGTTGTAGTCAAAAATGTCAAACTTTTCATTAAAAGTATCAGATGTCGTCTAACAACACGTTATGTTGTCGAGGCTCACAACTTAAATAGTGCCCTAGGTATAAACACCACGGGCCGGAAGAATAAGCTACGGCAGGCCTCCCACACGATGATCTGGTGAAGATCGCGGGAAGAACCTGACCGGATCGGTCGCTGTGGAAATCCTTGGGGGAGACCTTTGTCTGAAAGGAATAAACATTATTTTTTGGGAATAACTTACCTGCATACTAGTCGTAATATTGTTAGCGCCTGGAGTCCAATCAGGATCTTTGCCAGGTTTTGTGCAAAGCTTCCTATACCACGCAGGATAACCAGGCAAGTACGGCCTTCTTACTGGCAGCGACTCTGCCATTGCATACAGATATACAAACTTTTTACTTAATTCTTTCACACCTTCTATTGTTTCTGATTCTTGTGTGTTTTTCTGAATATAATCTATGTATTCCTCATTCAAAAGTTTAAAATCTTTTTCTTTAAGTGAACTTTTAGTTCTTTTTTCAAGATCTTCAACTGTTTCTAATTCAAACGGCGTGTTATCTTTTTTCTTTTTAGCAATCTTTTTTAATTTCAGCTTTTGCGTCGACCAATCCTGGTCCCACATCCAAAGATCTTTTTTGTAAGCGTCATTCGCCATCATGTGACAAGCTTCATCCGCCTTTTGGGATAGCAGTTGTCGAGATTCTAACTTCAAGTCTTCGAAGACGGTTTCTGCTGCGTCGATGTATTGAAGCCAGTTGGAGTTCACTGGAAGATAGGCTGATCCTGTAATATAATTTTATTTTTTATACATAGTTTGATGGAAAAATTTGGGAACCTAAAAAGCAGAAGGATTAAAGAAGATATATTTCATGACCAAATACACCAGTACCATAGACACAGGCATACAGCAAAGGATATGTAACCACATAAGGACAGTCAGTGAAGGTAGTCCTCACTTTTAAGTGAGACAGAGAGTCAGAGATTTTGCTCTAGCTGTAGGTACACTAAGGTTGAGTTGCACCATTTTAACTCAACAAAAAACACCGGTTATTGTTAAAGTTACGGTTATAAATAAGTTGGTGCAACTCAGCCTAAGAGCTTCTATATGGTTAATGGTAGTGAAGGAGAAAACATATTTTAAAAGGACAATAAGAAGCTAAGATTTAACTTTGTACACTAAGGTAACGATAACCCAAATCACCTAACTCCAGCATCCCTGCCAAGGTGACCGGGTGCGGGAATCGCTCCAGGAACAGCGGGANAAGTGGGAGAAGTTCCCTCAGGACGCTGTGCGTCGCCACCACGTCTCCCGCGCAGTACCGCATCAGATCCTGGAAGCTTTCGTGCACGTCGTCCATCGTGCCTTCCACAAAGACGTCCCGGGTTTGTTTATCGATGGGCGAGCCGCAGTACAGTTTGTGGACCTGCAGGTGAGAACAAGTTATAGATTAGACAAATACGAGTAAACGCAATGAAGTAACTGACCTTTAATGCACCTAATGAGCTTTACAGTGCACACAATCTAGATGAGAACAAGTCAGTCATATGAGAAGTCACAATTGCTTTTTATGATGCACAAATGGTAGTTTATCTAAAGGAGTACGGCCTAAGCCTTGGCGTCAATCCTACTAGTGACATTACAAGCAAACAAGCACTAGCTACAGTTGTGTACCTCGCTGAGATTGTTTAAAGCACTGATTTCGATCCAGTCGTCGTCGCTGGGATGCGGTTCTTTGTTACGGGCTTTGAGGACGGTCCGCTGGTAACTCGTGACGCCACTCACGCAAGTATGCATCGACATAGTATCCATGAAGCGAACTCCTGGAAGAACGAATTTTGAATTATTACATTGTGGAAAACCTTGGGGGAGGCCTTTGTCCAGCAGTGGACGTCATTAGGCTGAAACGAACGAACGAACATCCGTGTCTTCTAGATCCATCGTAACGTAAGGTATCTTTGGATGGTCATGGTACCTCACTAGAATGTTTATTAATCCTTCAAGCTCCGCGAATCTAGACACAATAGATAATCAATTGTTATGACATTAATTAATGCCGTCTGGGACTCAATCGGTTAATAAGTACTCCCCAAGAAGTGAGCAGGTAACTTTAACCGTTAATTTGCTTAAATATAAACTAATACACATGTGAGTATTCCCCTTATTTTCCCCTTTACAGCAAGCAATAATCTAACAGATTTTATGTACCAACCTGTTTTTTGCAGCCAATACTGCTCTTTGATTTTCGCCCTATCATAAGACACATTATGGCCTATCACTATCCTGGGTCTCTGCAAGTCTCCACACGGCTTCATGCCGTCTGTCTCCAAGGGTATCAAGTCATGGTAGTTGACGTTACTGAAGTGTGTGTGAGGATCTCCATTGGCTAGTGGTTCACTGACCCAGCCATACCTAGAAAAATATTTCCTTCCTAAATACATTTTCGGGCTGGAAGACGTAGCGTGGGCAGGCCTCCTACTAGGTGGACCGACGATCTGGTGAAGGTCGCGGGAAGAGCCTGGATGCGGGCAGCGCAGGACCGTTCATTGTGGAAAACCTTGGGGGAGGCCTTTGTCCAGCAGTGGACGTCATTTGGCTGAAAACGAAATACATTTACTTCAAAGATACATTGCAATTTTCATTGAAAAAATATTATCACAAATTAAAACATAGCATCTGTTGACTGATTCATCTACACTAATATTACAAAGAGGAAAGATTTGTACCTACTTTTGTATGTGTGTAATGAATAGGCTCAAAAAGTACTGGGCCGATTTAAAAAATTCTTTCATCATTCGAAAGCTACATTATCCACGAGTAACATAGGTTAAATTTTATTTTGGAAAAACATGGGGTTCAGGGGTCCACGCGCGCGAAGCCGCGGGCGGAAAGCTAGTAAGTTATAGAGTGGAATGCCATGGCATGCAATGTGGACAGTTGCAAATTTAAAAACTAACAAACAGTGACTAGTAAGTAGTTATAGACAGTAGTTATTATCATTTTTCTAGTTCATATAATTTCAGTCTAAATAAATCACATAAACATCCTAAAAGGGATGGGAATGAGTAGATATTTTATTGTTATCTAGTTTACAATTACCAGGCATCAGTGGATACAGCACAGGCCAGCGTGGGCCTCTTCCCCGCACTCATCAGGACCTCCACATCAAACACCAGCGCATCATCCGGGGGACAAGGCACCGGATGTGCCACATCACCCACATACTTACTCCATCCGAATGCTCTTGACCATTTCTGGAAATTTTAGCTTAATTTTGATACTTTGGGTGTACATGTGAAGACCATGAATCATTACTTAATCTAGTTAGAATTTTTAAAAGACTGCAATACTATGAGAACTTTATAGTCAGTCATGATTGCATTTTCTAATAAGAAAATCACAATAAGATTCAGTTTATTTGAATATTTTAGTTAATGATTTTTCCTGTTAAAAATATTGTTATAATTTTTTTAACATGATCACAATAAAATAATAATAATATCCAGGTAAAAAAATAAATCTAATATCTGTATAACCTACTTTCTTGTTTCTTAAATTTTGTTGTCATAAAGTAATTTTTTGTTTCATTTACTGCAACACAGTAAGCCAAGTTTAAAATTCTAATCTTTTCTCATTTACCTTTGGCATTGGAGGCAGTTTGCTACTAGCCAGTTTTCTTAACAGCTCCCTATATGGAGCGCTCTGCCTCTCACCAATGTTGTAGAAATGCTCCACCACATCCTTTCCTTCTAGCTTCGGCAGCTTTATCTCCACGTCGGGCATGTGACTGTGTTCTTTGTAGTTGATACCATGCTTTAAGAGATTGTTCTGGCAACTAAAAGTTTTGAAACATATTAACAGGCAATAGAAAGTGATTATGGTTGCATTCTCTAATACTAATTTAGTAATTAAGCATAATTATGTAGTATGTATAGTAGCTATTTCTAATTATTACACCTATCACGATACAAATGTATGGACCTCAGAACTTAGATTAATCTAAGCTTCAAACAGACAAGAAAATGTTTATGTACCTTTCAATCGTCTTAGCATCTAAAGCTGGACTAGCACTTGTAAAAAGCTGCTCATAAATGTTTTTAGATATCATTTGAATATTCACTTCATTGACTCGAAATTCTTTGGAAACATTTTTAACTTCTAAAACTTTTTCACTGTTGAGGTTATCCGACTTATTTGGCTTTTTCTTACGAATTATCTTCGTTTCGGTGATAGGAAATATTTCAGAACAGCATCTGCATCCTTTTAGAGCAGCTTTTTGTAGAAAGTTTCTTCTTTTTGCCAACATTTTAATTTATAATGCCGTGAAAATGAGAAGTAAACAAACAATCACCGAGCTCGCCGCTTATCAATCAATGTCAAACTGATAAGCGTTATGACATTTTATTTATCGTTCAGAAATTGGAAATTTAATTACCGTTAAAATACCGTTAATCGTTATAAGTGTATTAAACAGGATGTCCAGGATCAAACCAGATCAAACAAAAAGGATTGATGCTTGAAGGTTATACAGTGTCCATCATCCCTGAATATACCCGAAACCGAAGCAGCAGCAGTATCTCAATCTCACTGCGAAGCAGTAATGATGATCCACTTTATCTCATAAAGTAAAATAAAATACTACAACTTAATTGCATGTTTTAATTTCAGTATAAAATAACGATAATGTAAACTGCACAACAAGAAAGCAAGTTAATTTGTCCTCAATTGATAGTCTCCATTCTGAGTGATATACCGCACCCACGGTAGAGCTAAATATCCACTTTTCTCGATAATTTTAAGGTACCTGACTTGCATGCCAGATGTTGTAAAGTAGGGAATTTCAAATTTAACTTGTATGGGTGGCCTCCCATCCAATTCTTCCCCTTGTATTGAGGGCAAACCAAAATGAGCTCTCATTAAGAACTCCTTGCCACCAGGAAATGCCTTGATATACCAAGTAATAGCATTGTTTTCCGGGGTATATTTCACTCTGCCAGTGGTAGTTTTGAACCTTGGAGAATCAGCATCAGCTGGTACGGGAATAATAATCTCTACATTATTAGCTGTTGAGCGTCTTTTGAACTGTGACTTTGCTCTAATCATATACTCAACCCTGGAGTGAGCATGTCGCTCAATCATAGATTCAATCCAAATCAGAGGTTTAACTTGCGTGTTTATTCTATAAGACATTAATTCAAAATCACCATCAGGCGGAATAAAGGATATGGTCCGATCGTTTGCATAGCGTGATAACTTAACACACTGGTGGAACTTGACATCTTCAATCTCAACTGATTTAGCTTGGCTTCTTCTATTCTCAAACAAAACTTTGTCATTTAAGCCCAAGCGCAGTTCAGGCATTCCTGAAAGATAGACCTTCATTTTAACTGCACCAACAATTTCACTTCGTAGTACGGTTCCATGGGAATTCGCCAATAAATTAACGGACTCGACAACATCGAGAAACACTTCGTTTTTCCTATATCGTATACCCTCAGATCGCCACGACACTGCGTTAGTTACTGCTGTAGGTATTTTTCGGTGCATTTCTAGTCTATGACCTTCTTGCGTTATGTACTCCTGAAGAATCGTACTGTCCGTAGTCTGCGGATAGCCAAAATCTATCAGTTCATCAAGCAGCTCGTAGATGACGACAAAATTGTCTCGAATGCTCTCCTCTTCAAGTTCTTGAAAGTATTCAGAAAAAACTTCAACAAGCTTGTACAAAAATGCAAAAACAAGAGCGATGTTAGCATTCTTCTTAGTTGCAGACACGATGTACAGGTTGTTGGTCTTGATGAAGGCAAAGGTACACTCCTCGGTCTGCAGAAGAGGAGTCAACATGCCTTCATCTTCTTTTTCCATAACTAACGGCATGAATTTATCGATGACCTCCATATCCACATCACCACGATAGTTTCGTGATATGAGGACTTTTCCCTTAACGTCCAAAATAAATATTGCAGATGAAGACATTTTTGTAGCTGAAATATAAAATTTACAAAAATTAGTCATAAAATATTATCTCGCCGCAACTTCGCTTACTTAGTACCTACTTACGTTTCGTCTGTTCATGGGACGTAAAAGTTATTAAAAGTTATTCAGGCTTACTTACCTATTAATTAACTAAAATGTATTAATATTTACACACAAAACATTACTTTAAAACTTGAAAAGCAAATACTTCCACGTTGTAAACAGTAAAAATTACTATGAAGTCATTTATCTGCTTCGTATCTGAAATTTTGACAGCTGGATTGATAAACTCTTGATAAGCAATCACTAGAGTATTGATTGCTCAATTAGTTTGTTATTGTAATTGCCATCTTCGTGAACTCTCTACCTGTAGCATTAATTCAATTAAGTATTTTCCGGCCGAGACGGTTTCTGGCTAGAGGGCCTTTAGTATTTAAAAGTTACTCACTTTACGCGCGTTTCTGTGCAATAGTTATAAAGACGTGTAACTACCCTACGCCTACATACCTACTTGTAACTTTTTAAGTAAGTCTTTATTGCATAACTGAAATGTAAGTACCTCAATTATTTTTAATAGAATATATGTATAAAAGATGTATTGAGGACTGTACAATGGGAAGGAATAGCGAGAAGAGCGCCATTATTTTTGCGCCGATATTGGTCAATGCCGGTTACTTTAAATTAAACGAAATCAATGTGATTTCATATCGAAGTTAGCAGGGTAGTAAACTTGTCATAAAAGAGACAAAGAGTAAGTAAAGCCTCCGGAATATAGCCTGGCTTGTGAAAAACATAAATAAAACGCCTGCAAAATTAGCACAGCAATGCTGATTCACCGAGAACCATTGCATGTAATTTCTACGGAGGAGTATAATTTTTTTAGCTATTATTTTATTTATTGTTGACTTCGATTTCATTTAGTAGCTAAACAAAGATTGTTGATAACATTAGCTAAATGTCATGTTTGTCGCAAAAAGACTATTACTACACGGTGAAAGCCATACCCACAAACAGTTCTGCTCCTTCACCTCGTCACCTCTCGCATGACTCAGTGATCGGCGTCACGTACGAGTACCATGCAACGCTTAAAGTCAATTTGAATGGAAATAAGATACTGATTGCACCACACTATCATCAGCATGAATATGAATGAAGAATGAACAAATAAAATAAGCATTATATGGGACAACAATACATAATAATTAATAATGGTGAGGATAAGTGACACACCCGTTTTTAGAGAATATTATTTATTATAGCGCGTCAAATATTAAATACATAATACTATAATGTTTTACTTATGATAATATACCTACAACAATGACAATGGATTTAACTTGCAAACAGATAACATATCGTGCAAACTTAAGTAAAGAAGGAATGTGTTAAATGTGTTAGTTTGTCCTTAACTGATAGTCTCCATTCTGGGTAATGTATCGCACCCACGGCAGGGCTTGATAGCCGCTCTTCTCAATGATTTTGAGATATCTAACTTGAATGCCAGATGTAGTGAAGTAGGGGATTTCAAACTTTACTTGGATAGGTGGCTTACCATCTACTTCCTCACATTCTACTGATGGCAAACCAAAGTGAGCTCTCATCAAGTACTCCTTGCCTCCTGGGAATGATTTGATAGACCAAGTAATGGCATTCTGTTCTGGAGTATATTTCACACTACCAATTGTGGTTTTAAACTTAGGAGAATCAGCATCAGCCGGCACTGGAATGATGATCTCAACATTATTAGCGGTTGAACGTCTTTTGAATTGAGACTTGGCTTTAATCATGTATTCCACCCTGGAGTGGGCATGACGTTCAATCACAGATTCGATCCAGATCAAAGGCTTCACATGCGTGTTTAATCTATAGGACATTAACTCAAATTCCCCATCAGGTGGAATGAATGAAATTGTCCGATCATTTTCAAAACGGGACAGTCTGACACACTGGTGAAACTTGACATCTTCAAGTTCAACAGATTTTGATTTGCCCCTTCCAGTGCTTTCAAATAGAACCTTATCATTCAAGCCAAGCCGCAGTTCGGGCATACCAGATAGATATACCCTCATTTTAATTGCACCAACGATTTCACTCCGCAAAACATTGCCATTTGAATTGGCCAACAAATTGACAGACTCAATCACATCAAGGAACACTTCATTTTTCCTGTATTTTATGCCTTCAGACCGCCATGATACAGCGTTTGTAACCGCCATTGGTATTCTCGGCTGCATTTCCAACTTGTGGCCTTCCTGAGTGATGTATTCTTGAAGAATCTTACTATCAGTAGTTTGTGGATAGCCAAAATCTATCAGCTCATCCAGCAACTCGTAGATCACAACAAAATTGTCGCGAATACTCTCCTCTTCGAGTTCTTTGAAATACTCAGCCATAACTTCTACAATCTTGTACAAAAATACAAAAACCAGTGCAATGTTAGCGTTTTTCTTGGTTGTTGATACAATGTACAGGTTGTTGGTCTTGATGTAGGCAAACGTACACTCGCTGGTCTGCAGCAGGGGCGTCAGCATGCCCTCTTCCTCCTTCTCCATGAGTAACGGCATGAACTTGTCAATGACACCCATGTCCACATCGCCGCGGTAGTTCCGTGATATGAGCACTTTGCCCTTCACGTCCAAGATGTATATCGCCGAAGAAGACATTTTGAAGCTGAAAGTTTGGACAAATCAGGTTATCAAGTCAGCAAATAGAAAAAACCAGTTTTGGATGCTTAATTGCAAATTCGAGAAAGTATATCTAGGAGTTGTAGGACAACAAATGTGACCTATGTGTATCATATCCATGTATTTATTTTACTTACATGCAATTTTAGGCGATTTTATGTAAATATTAGCTACATTATCCGAAAAATTAAACGTAAGACTTTTTTTGACAGATAACCCAGCAATGATGACGCAATTGACAGTATTGACAAATCGAGTTGTCAAGCTTCGATAGAGAGGTGCAGCAGTTTGACGATAATCAATCACGGTAGAATCTATTGAAACTGTTTGTTGTTTGTATTTAGTAAATAAAAATTGTGACGTGATTTATTACAAGCTTATAATTAGCTTCATTTTATTAATGTGACAGTTTTTATTGTAAAATAAAATGTCATTCTTTTATTAGAAAATCCAAAAGCGCCCCGCTCGCTTTAATTAATCTATTCCAATTCAAATTCGTTCGTCAGCAGTTAGATAAGTAAACAAGATTTGATCGAAAACAGATTGAGAGATGATAACTGAAGGACGGATCGGGATTGTGTTTGGATAAGGCAACTATATCGGTGTAAAATCATATTGACAAAATTTGTATTCTCAATCTAAGTGCTGCCTTGATTAGATAATTATACATTAAAAATTACAAATTAAATTGGGATTAAGTACCTTTCTACTTTCAATACTTCATTATATTCAATTGAAACTACTGATTAAAAGTCATATTCTAGTACACCACAAACTGTCACAACACTATAAATGTCATTCGTCGAATCGTCGACGACCGCCGATTGTTTGCTAATTTTTTTGTAAAAATATTTTAGTTCAATTTTTACAATGGACGATCGGTTGTTTAATGTTAATTCATTTATTTACACTTTTACTTTAACGTAAACATGGTGCTTTGTATTTAGAACGTTGTGTTAATTTATTTTTTATCGATGTTGATCAAAATGATACCAGGGATTCACTCACAACAAAGGAATCCTCTCGTTTTTTTGGATATCTCAATAGATGGGGAATACGGTTAGTAAATTAGTCATTTATAAACATCTCCGGTTATAGTTCATAAAGTTTCCATAATTGCTATGTGTGCATATCGTGAAGTGCATTATGTTTATGATAGGTCTTAGATTACAAGGACACAAATGCAACTATGTAGGTAGGTATAAATTATTTGATTATGTAAACAAGAACTGCATTTTACAGGTTACGCGTTAATTAGCTCTACCTATTCAATTTAATTTCTATGTGGATGTTTTAAAAGTGAAAATGCAAAATAAGCAAAATGATTAACATTATCTTACCTAGTCAATAATGTTATCAAATAGGTTTAGTAATTAAAAGATCATTATCATCATGACTTGGAATAAATGAACTTACCTCCGTCTATTACTATTACACTGTCATTAAAATAGATGATTCTCTTTTTAAATAAATTGTTAGGCAGAGTTACATCACCTATAACCATCATCCGTGTTTTTTGTATGGAGTTTGACAGACTTTTGACGTTTGTTAAACTAAAAGTAAGATGGTGTAACCCTGCCGTAGAATTCTAATTTACCTACTTCGCTACAAACGGTCTCATTGTTCACAGCCGGGCGTATTGTAATAGAGCTGAGGAGCGATGTGGTGCCAAAGACAGCGGAGAACTTCCGAGCTTTATGTACGGGAGAAAAAACCATTACCACCAATGGAAAACCTTTACATTTTAAGGGCTCAAAATTTCATAAAGGTTTGTTATTACTTTTAACATTTAGTTGGCGATTTGTTGAGAAGACATCTGCTGTGAATTCATTATTATTATTAGAGATGAAACGGATATCCGCTAACTATCTGGTATCCGGCCTATCCGGCCCGATACCGGATAATCTATATGTGTAAAAGTTAATACTATTTACTGATTAATCACAAAATCTCAAAAACTATTACACCTACAAACTTGAAATTTGGATCCGCTAAGAACGGATTTTACGAAACTCCCATCTCTAAAGGGGTAAAACGGGGTTCACGCGTACGAAGTCGCGGGCGACCGCTAGTAACTCAATATCTGGCCGGATACGGGAAATGCAATACATTAATCTTTGTCAGGCAAATAAAAATAAAATGGCTTATAATTATGACGCCGTTTAATTAAATTCTGAGATATTAACTCTAATGATAAATATCTAAACTAAAAACTTACAAAAATCTTGCAGAGAAGCAAAAGCTTTAATTAACATTATTAACTTATTTATAACAATCACCATTAAAGTAAACTAAAAATCGTAAAAAACAAGATTAATGAAATGTTTAAAATAATACTGACATTGAAGCACCATAATATTTTATATCTCTTGTTGTTCTTCTTATCAAAGAGGATAGTTAGAATTAATTAATACTCAAAATTTACAAGTGGTAAATTATGGTGAATGAAGACTAAATTTTCAGCATTTGCAGACAAGTGATTTCGTTTGTTTTCGTAAAGCAGGCCAGCTTCGGAAAACAGCCTCTCACTATAAACACTGCTGCAAGGAGCTGAAAGGTAAACTTTGGCAAACTTTGTCAAATGTGGATATTGTATCGAGTTAATCGACCACCAAGCGTAAGGATCGCGGCTACGATCAATTCGAACTGTCTTCAAATAGTAGTCGATCTCGCTTGCAATTGGGTTTTTCTCTTGATCGCGACACTGACTATTGTTTTCATTTGCCATTGCCACTTCATTGAAACAATCCCAAAAAGTGTCGTGAGATTCCCGAGTGACATTCGAGTAAGTTTCATTTCTTCTATTTCTCTTAGCAGGCGTTGGAGACGGCGATAGACTACCACTGTTAGAAGACTCGTCGCATGTATTGTTTATATACCCCAATAAGATCGTCTGTCGCGCTCTTTCAGCTTCAAATGTACTGAAATAGTTTGTCTTAAATCTGGGGTCTAAAAAAGTTGCAATAAGGTAGTTCGGATCTTCTCCCAAGGAGCTAAAACGAGATTCCAATTCAGCTTTTAGGGAAGCCCTCATATGAGGCAGGTAAGCTGTTCGTTGTGCAGTCTCATCCTTTTGTAAGTATTTTCTCAATGCAGCTACATGCGGTATAACTTCAGATATGCAGGAGAGGCCAGCACTTGTGATTTTGGTTATTTCTTCGAATGGCTTCAAAAGTTTTACGCACTGCTCCATCAAGCACCACTGATGAGTTGTTAAATTAGTGAGTGTCTCATGATCAGTCACATAAACGGAGATAGCTCGTTTTTGCTCTAACAAGCGTTCTGCCATGTAAAAGGTAGAATTCCACCTCGTGTTGATATCCTGCACTAATTGATGCTCTGGTAAACTTAACGCCTTTTGAATCGCCAGTAGGTTTTCTTTTGCTACACCCGATTGATTGAAGTGAGTTACGAGTCGTCTACCTGTGGCAATCATGTCCATTACATCAGACTGGACCTTTAATGACTCAGTCACAACCCTCTGAAGCGAATGAATGAAACATCTGACATAATCGTACTCCGCCACTCGAGCGCTTTTCACCATGTTAGCGCCGCTGTCATGAACGAGGACATGGACTTTGCTTTGGTCAATATCCCAGCTGGCTGCGATAGCATGGAGTTCTTTTGCTATGTTTTCTCCTGTGTCAGATCCTGAAAACGGTTTCATAGCAAGAACTCCGTGTTGAAGCTGGAATTCTCTAGACAACCAATGAGCTGTGAACCTCAGGAAGCTGGAGTTATTATGCAAACACGTCCATATATCAGTAGTTACAGAAACTGCGGCAGCGTTTGATATGTTTGTTTTGATTTTTTCATAAATTCTGTTGTAGATATCGGGAACGACATTTTGGGCCATATAAGTGCGGCTTGGCATTTCATAATGGGGTAAAGCTTGTTGAAGGAGTCTTATGAATCCGACCCTTTCTACGATAGAAAGCGGCCCATTATCTAGTGCAATCATTTCTGCAATTAAATAATTAAAATTTTTCGCCTTTCTTTCATTCACGTCCGAAAGCAGTTTTCTTTCAAATGATACCGATAAAGTTAGCTGCTTTTCTGTCGATGTCGAAGACGAACTTGCACCTGGGACGGCAGGCTCCACGAGCGTTGTAGATCCATCTTTTTCTTTACATTTTTTCAACAATAAAAACTTCTCTGGATGTTTTGATTTCAAATGATTACTCATGGCAGAAGTACCTGGGGAAAGATACAAAAAGAAAAAATCACAATGTGTCTGTCTAATAGAAAATAAGAGGCTGAAATTAGTAAGACACCGAACATAAATTCTCGCCATTATAGGTACCAGTAGGTTAATTTTTGTCAAAACAATCGTAGTATTAAATTAATTATTAGCGTAGTTTCTTAATTCATATTTTATGAAACTAAAATTAATTTACTAACTTTACTGTAAACAAAAAATAACTTAACACTCACGTACCTGCCTTTTTCCCTTCACCACCACGAGAAATTTGAATCCGGCACAACATACAAACGGCAAACTTATTATTTTCACTGTTAATGTCGAAATATTGCCAAAAAGGCGATCTTTTTTTCGCTGACATGATTCAGTCACTGTAATCAGTTCAGTCAGATTACGCAGCAAGTAAACAGCAGAAAATCACACACTCTCGCGATCATTCGCGAATACTGAATCCGCCCGAATTGATCTGATCGCGTTCACTGACGTGTTCGCTGCACAGAACTCGACGCTAAACCAGCTAAACTCGGCTGCTCGTGACGACATGCAGCGAGACAATGGGCCGAATATCCGGCCGCCGGATACCCGGCCACCCGGCCCCGCAGCGCGCCGGATATCCGGCCGTCTGACCTCGCTCGACCTCGCCGCTCGCCGGATATCAGTATCCGGCCAAACGACTATACGTTGCATCTCTAATTATTACTGTTTCTTATACCTTTATTTTAACTAAATCTATACTAATATTATAAATGCGAAAGTAACTCTGTCTGTCTTGCTTTTACGCCTAATCTACTCTAGCTCTAGGTACCGATTTTGATGAAATTTGGCATAGAGATAGTTTGAGTCCCGGGAAAGGACATAGGATACTTTTTATCCCGGTTTTTGAAACAGGGACGCGCGCGATTAAGTTTTTCTGTGACAAAATTCCACGCGGGCGAAGCCGCGGGCGCAAAGCTAGTTTTTTATAATGTTAAAGTAAACAATACTATAAAGAAAACTATTTTCTACAAAATTCTTTCAGACTAGATAAACAAGTTTAAATTCCTTGTTTCTACAAAACAATGATGGTTTACATTACAGTGCACATTTTGTTTCATTTATCAACACATCATTTAAAAAAATTAAAATATGATAATAATAGTTCTTTTATGAGTAGTATTCAAAACAATACTTTGTTTCAAAGGTTCAAATAATGTAAATCTGCTTATTCTGGCTTAAAAACATATATTTTTTTATACAGCAAAATCTTAGAAATATGGTAGCAGTTTTAAAGTTAATTTTGGCTAACAAATAAGAACATACCATATAGATAACAATCAGTAAAATAAATCTAATATTATAAAAGTTATGTTTATTTCAATGTCAATGAACTCCTTGTTATCACTATTCTTTTTAATGTACATTAAACAGGACAATAGTTTATACATTGTCTTGCAAATTCGCATCTATTACGACATTGAGATACTACATCATTTACATAAAATAATATGCTTTGCAATACGCCTGCAATGTTTTATGTTCATAAACATGTTTTGTTATTTTAATATTTTAGCGAGACCTGCCTTAAATTAGTTTTGTTACCAAGGTTTCATATAATGTGTGTGTGCGTGTATTATAGATAGTTTAATCCACGAAGACGCGCCCCACCAATTATTGGTCGAGGGAAGTGCGGGGAGTCGGATCCGAGCAATCCGAGCGTCATTATTGTAGTGTGCGCGTGCACTCATGGATAATTTAGCGTGTACCGATAACACTCAAATATTGGCGGAAGAATGATGGGGCGCGTGTTCGTGGATGAAACGATCTATACCAGCATCAGACAATAAGGGTCATCAGTACGGCTAGCACGAAAAGTTTTCGAGTTCGAATCGTTTGCGTATTCGACGAAGTTCGATACTCAACCTTCGAATTAAACGATAACGTGACAATTTTGATTCTCAAAATAAGTTTCGTGCAACCATTTCTCATACTAAGTTCACTTTACGAAGGGCGCTATTGTAGTTTTCGCACTAAATCTTTTGAAGGCGACTCGAATACGCAAACGATTCGAAATCGAAAGTTTTTCCTGCTAGCCGTACAGTTCATGTTTCATTCATATTCTAACCATTATTTACATTTCAGCGATAGCACAATTCATGGTGCAAGGGGGAGACATAGTGAACGGCGATGGTACAGGCGGCGAAAGTATTTACGGGCCCACATTCGAAGATGAGAACTTCATCTTGAAGGTAATACCTACTTGAATTAATACACAGTCCTAACTTTAGAACCTTAATTTCGAACTCCTCCTATGTTCTTTTGATTAATTTCGTTGCGGGTCCAATGACAGTTTAACTTTCCCCCGGGACAAACTTGACCTTCATTGGTTGGGTTTTTATGGCGGTCAAGCTGTAGATCCTGGCTACACAGGAGTTGCAGTGATGGGAACGAGAGGTGGGAATGGTCCTAACTTTAGCAGAAATTAATTTATCGAAATAACAAAATATGTGTTCCTTGTCTAGATCTGAAAAAAGAACCTCAGCGCTTTGCAGGTATCACCAATAGATGTTCAATTCTCGTAATATAGGTACACAATACATTACCTGTGTTTGCTATTATTTATCTAGAATGTAGTTTGTCACAGATACAATATCGCGATCACTTCACGAAGCGCGCAAGGCCCTAGACAAAGTAACATTTGCCCCCCATTTTATCGCCCTAGCAACATCTGAATCTCGAGTCTACTAAAGGTAGATTAGATGTATTATAGGGAGGCGGTTCGCCCTGCGACAAAGACAAAAGACTAGAGACGGGTGATCTCGACCATTACTCGACTTAAGTCTCTGTTTCATGTCCCGTGTCTTGTCTCGTTCGCGAACTAAACTCAAGAAGCGGTCGCACTTTTAGACAGTTAGCCTAGGCGCAGACCACCAATTTTTAGGTTGGCCAATAGTTGAGTCGGGCTGTTAATCAGTATGGAGATGTATAAAGTGCGCACATTGGATCGGCCGATTCTTCATACAAATTAGAATCGGGCCCAACTCTGGGCCAACTAAAAGTCGGTCGTCTGTGCCTAGGCTTATTAGGTAGGTACTGGAGATATTTAAAGTTCATGAGACAGCCTGACCTATATAAAGGCCTATTCAGACCTAAGCGGTATTCGCTACCGTCTGCGGCAGAGAAAATCCAGTGGGTATGCGGTAATAATACTGTTCAGACCTAAGCGGTATTCGCTACCGTCTGCGGCAGAGAAAACGCTCTAGCCGCGGTAATTGATACTAAATACCTGAGCGAAACCCGCGTGGTATGTACCTCTACCCACAGCGGCAGCGAATATCGCTCAGGTCGCTCTAGCCGCGATACTTGATACTAAATACCTGAGCGTAACCCGCGCGGTATGTACCTCTACCCACAGCGGCAGCGAATATCGCTCAGGTTTGAATAGGCCTTTAAACAAACTCTTTCCAGCATGAAGAAGGCGTGCTAAGCATGGCGAATAGAGGCCGGCCGCACACCAATGGCTCACAGTTCTGCATCACGACTGTCGAGTGTCCGCAACTGGACGGCACCAATGTTGTCTTTGGGCGGGTGCTGGCCGGGCTAGGACTGGTGCATGAGATCCAGGCGTGTAGCGAGGACACCAGGCCCACTGTGGTAAGTGATCTACTCTAGTATGATTGTAAACTTTCGCGTTCAATATTTAGCACAGTAACAGCAAGCCAAGAAGAAGTAATTAATCATCAGGACGGTGGAGTGTCCGCAAATCGACGGCACTAACGTGGTTTTCGGGCGGATTGGTGCATGAGATCCAGGCTTGTAGCGAGGACACACGACCCATCATATTCTCCATCTCAGTACCCCATTTTTGCTTCGCTAATTCTTTTATAAAGCGAACAGCTAAGGACTGGAATTCGCTGTCTGCTGCTGTCTTTCCCGAACATCATCATCTAGGCCTCTTCAAGGCGAGAGTGAATACCTACTAATAGGTAATTATGTACCATCCTAGACTGCATTTCATTTAATTTAACATATCAGGTGTGATTGCAGTAAAATACCTGCTTTGTTCAGCAAATAGGTATTGTTCTATGTCTTGTTAAAAGTAATTTGTCAGCACAGTGGGTAGTGTATTGGGCACATTCTTTAGAGCGGTCTGCAATCAGCTTCCAACTCGCCTTAAAAGATGTATTGTTTCCAGGAGTGCATGATAGTGGACTGCGGCGAGATCGAGGGCGAATGGGACACGCGCTGCTGCGACGGCACGCCCGACCACCTGCCTGATTACCCCGCTGATATGCCGCGCCTGCATCTCTTGCCGGTCAGTCATTTCGTTCGTTTCAGCCAAATAACGTCCATCATCATCATCATCATCATCATTTCAGCCATAGGACGTCCACTGCTGAACATAGGCCTCCCCCAATGCTTTCTATGTTGGTCTATTGGTAGCGGCCTGCGTCCAGCGCTTCCCTGCTACCTTTACGATGTCGTCGGTCCACCTTGTAGGTGGACGTCCCACGCTGCGTTTTCCGGTACGAGGCCTCCATTCCAGAACCTTTCTGCCCCATCGGCCGTCAGTTCTGCGTACTATGTGCCCTGCCCATTGCCTTTCAGTTTGCTAATCCGTCCGTTCCGTAAAATAACGTCCACTGCTGGACAAAGGTCTCCCCCAATGATTTCCACAACGACCGCTCCTGCGCCGCCCGTATCCAGTCAGTCATATAATACTAATGAATTCACAGCACTATACTTACCCTTTTTTAGCAGAGCTAAGAGACAGCCTGACTAAAGTCAGGACCATTATCGCAACATTAGAGACATAAAAACATTTATGAAATTCCTTATTTGAGATTTTTAAGTTACAAAGCAAGTTGTCAATCAATGTATTAACGGGCACTGCCTGTTTTAGGTGTGAATGTGTAAAAAATCATGTTCTCTAATCATCTACTGATCATAATCAACATTTTATAACAGTGGACCTAACATCAACCCTTGTGGAATTCCAATTTCCATATGGGACATTTTGATGAAGGACATGTCATTGTTCTTTTATTCGGAAAGTTTCCTGTGAAAAATTTTATAAAAAAAAATAAAACCGACTCCAAAAAACCTACACTAAAACGTCGAAAAATAATTACTAATTACCTACTTATTTATTAGGACGAATTATTAATATTTATGTAGGTATACCATGATTGATACTTCTGGAGTCGGTGCCAAGATTATGAAACATGTAAAGTTTGCCTGCACCGACTCCAAAAGTATCAATCATGGTATACCAGAATAGCTCAAATACTAATAATACAATGCAAATAAAACATACCTTAACGACCTGTTTTTTCTTGTGTTGGAAAATAACTGAAAAAGAAGTGAAAAAAGTAATGTATTTTTCTAATTAAATCCATTCTTACTCCCATAAAATGTATGAAACTTGTGTCTGCTTTCTTCTTCTACTAATAGATAATTTTATTTGCTATCGCATGATATAAAATATTTGCCTATTAATGTTAAGCTACCCACGCTTTCACTTGTTTTTTAAAGAAGAGGTGTAAACTAAAAATTAAAAACTTAAATCGATGTAATTTTTCGAGAAATGGGTCAGGCCCCAAATTTGAAGTATTTTCATCGATAAAATTGTCCATAGATTACGCCCTTAAAGTTTGATCACTACATGCCCGGACACACTGTATAAAGGCCTATTCAGACCTAAGCGGTATTCGCTACCGTCTGCGGCAGGGAAAACCCAGTGGGTATGCGGTAATAATACTGTTCAGACCTAAGCGGTATTCGCTACCGTCTGCGGCAGAGAAAACGCTCTAGCCGCGGTAATTGATACTAAATACCTGAGCGAAACCCGCGTGGTATGTACCTCTACCCACAGCGGCAGCGAATATCGCTCAGGTCGCTCTAGCCGCGATACTTGATACTAAATACCTGAGCGTAACCCGCGCGGTATGCACCTCTACCCACAGCGGCAGCGAATATCGCTCAGGTTTGAATAGGCCTTTAAACAAACTCTTTCCAGCATGAAGAAGGCGTGCTAAGCATGGCGAATAGAGGACGGCCGCACACCAACGGCTCTCAGTTCTGCATCACGACTGTCGAGTGTCCGCAACTGGACGGCACCAATGTTGTCTTTGGTCGGGTGCTTGCTGGCCTGGGGTTGGTACACGAGATCCAGGCGTGTAGCGAGGACACCAGGCCCACCGTGGTAAGTATTGTACTGCAGTACAGTATGATTGAAAATTTTTGCGTTACTTTTGAAAAGCAATCTGCGTCACGTCGGTGGAATGTCCTCAACTAGACAGCCTGCAGCAAGGATACCAGGCCTTCCGTGGTGAGGGTAAATATCTTAAAATGATTTCACAACTTTATCGTCAACCAAGCCGAGAAAAAGCCATTTGCATTTGCCTACGAATGCCGACAGTCTAGACGGCTTTTAACGCGTTAAAAGCGTCGCGACGTTTGGAATCTCATTCTTTGCTAACCCTTTGACAGTAGCACTTATTAGTTCATCAAAATCAAAAATCATATTTTGTACCGTTTGAATCGAGTTCCGAACGTGTCGATGTCATTTGCTTGCACTTGACAACCATTCCATTCGGTTTTACTCTTGTTTCAGCTTGGTTTAGAACAGTCTTTCTCAAAGTGGGCAATAACGCCCCCTTGTGGGCGCTGCAGGCCTAAAGGGGGGCGGTAAGAGACCCAGAAAAAAAAATCGGGACGTTGTGTAGAGGCTTGGGAGGCGTCATTTACTAGGAGGTTTCTTAGACACCGACTGAGCACTCGACTCTCGACTACAAATGGGGGCGCTAAAAAGAATTTATTCTCAAAGTGGGCAGTAGACAAAAGCAGTTTGGGAACCGCTGGTTTAGAAGATGTATTGTTTCCAGGAGTGCATGATAGTGGACTGCGGCGAGATAGAAGGCGAATGGGACACGCGCTGTTGCGACGGCACGCCCGACCGCCTGCCTGATTACCCCGCTGATATGCCACGCCTGCATCTCTTGCCGGTCAGTCATATTATACAAACGAATTTGTAGCTGCTTACTATATTGACTAATTAAGTCACGATAGACACCAGCTGTCATAACGATGGATCATTCCATTTTCATGTTATGTAATTAAAAAAGGAAATTGGTATTTATTTTGGGTGTGAATTCATGAAAACATTCTCTATCATCTAATGATCATAATCAACAATTTATAGTAGTGGACCTATGATTAACCCTTGTGGGATGCCAATTCTCTTCCCAATCATTACAATTCAAATATGAGTAACATAAATACATGTTCTCTTATTTTGAAAGCCCTCTGCGAAACCAGTATGCCTTCTCGTGCCCTGTTATTTGCTGAAACAGTTTAATGCAATCCAGAATACCAATTTGGATTTCGCCAAATTCCCTCAAGATTCTCAACGATCTTTACCAGCCAATACTGATGTATACCACCTAAAAATATATCTAAGGATATCTAAACTCATCGATTTGACGTAGTGTATTCCATTCCAGATAGAGCAGCTAATGTCCAGTATTAAAGACGTAAAGTGCAGCGGGAACCTATTATTCAGCTCGGCGCGGTACAAAGCCGCCGCGCGAAAGTACCGCAAATGTCTGCGGTACGCGGAACACGCGTGCGATATCTTGCAACGGGAGTGCGCGGAACAACAGTACACTTGTGAGTACATAATGTAACTCATTAATAAATGTCGCGTTAAGACCCGTGTCTTTCTATTTAAGTCGAAATGGAACGCGAAAGCTGTGATGAAGCACGTCTAAAGCCGCGTATCCACTAGAGACGGTCTCGGGCCGAGCGGCTTACTCATCCTAAAGTAGAGCAAGTAGGGACGCTGCCTCGATCTTCGACACGCCGCTTTCGTGGCAAACTCATCAGGCGAGCCGAGCCACATTGTGTCGTTTTTTTGGCACGCTCAAAAGCGCCTTAGTCCGAGCCGTGCGTCCACTTGAGCAGCCTGTCTACCTCAAGAATAGGCTTCTTGGCCTGAGACTGCTGAAATGCATGTAAAGCTTGATGATGATTGAGTTAAGTGGAGAGACCGTGAAGTGTAGCGGGAACATATTATTAAAAAATATTTCGACTCTCGACGAAATCTCTCTCGAGAGAGACTCTTCTTTCGTTTGTTAGCAGCTCGGCTTAATGTTATTTAGTGTTAATGTAATCTGTGATCAATCTTGCACGCACGTAAAGAGTTTCGGCAAACAAACTACAAGTAATACTTGAAACTATACGCTGCTGGAACCATTGAATTTTCAGATAGATCCAGTGTATTCTGTAACCTGTTATTGGTACCGTTTGAAAGAGCTCATGAAGCACTTTCAGGATCAGTAACCAGTTTTTCAATATCTTGTATAGTTTAGAAATAATTGAGTGAGATCACTTAACGTTTCCACCATGTAGATAGGTATAGCTTAACTGAGTCAATACCTACGGTATAGGAGCGGCTCCGCTCCCATACCTTAGACCAGTGTTTTTCAACCTTTTTCATGACACGACCCCCCTAGTATGAAAAAAATTTTGGCGACCCCCCGACCGTTCGCTTATTTTTCATGCATTTTATAATGTTGCAAAGATGTTTCTAGGGACCGAATACTTCAATCCATACAGCATTTGCATATTAATTAGATTTCGGATTAATCTGTCTTTATAAGATTTTTTTTTACTGATGTAGTTTTTACGACCTCTCGCGACCCCCCTATAGAGGCTTCGCGACCCACAGGTTGAAAAACACTGCCTTAGACACTGAGTCAGTTAAGTGCTAGGACTTATAAAGACTGACTGGTATTTAAACAGTAAAGTATATTTTAACCCGAAAGAGTTTCTAGAAAGAAAGAGGCGTGGCAGGTAACCTTAAAAGTGCGCAAATCCAGCTTGTCTCATTCTTATTCCAGTCGGCGAGGTGTTAGCGACGTACGCGCAGCAGTGCCACCTCAACCTGGCCGCCTGCTACATGAAGCTGGAAGACTACGCCGCCTGCATCAAGAGCTGCTCCGAGGTAAGTAGACTACTCAACAGTGACGTTCGTTCGTTCGTTCGTTTCAGCCGAAAGACGTCCACTGCTGGACAAAGGCATCCCCCAAGGATTTCCACGAAGACCGCTCGCATCCAGGCACCTCCCGCGACAGTGACGTAACCAGCCTTTTATACGCACGGCCATAGAGATATAGAGAGATGCCAACTAATGCGCTGAGTTCGAAACTCAGTGTCGCATTAGAAATCCACACACACAAAGAAATCAAAATATGTGCTCATTTATCCACTGCGGTATCAGTACTCAACGTTCGAATAATCTTTAGTAACTACCACAGAATAATAATAAGTACTACGTACAGAAGTTTTACTTCGCGAAAATATTTAAAAAAATGTATGCTCNTTATTACCTTGATGTTACCACTGAAGGTAGGCAGTGCACTGAGACCAAATAAAATTGGTTCATAATCGGCGGAGATATTGCGTATAAAAAAAGTTCATCCCCAATTTTCCACCCTTGGGGGTGAAATATTTTCTTCAAATTCGCATGAAACCACCCTTTTGATAATACCTATTCAACAAAAAAATAACCGTTCAAATTGGTTTATTATTAAATTTAAATGGGACCACCCTTGAGGTATTACCTATACGCCGAAAAAAGATTTGTTCAAATCGGTTCATAATTGGCGGAGTTATCGCGTAACAAACAAAAAAAAAAAAAAAAAAAAACATACGGGTCGAATTGAGAACCTCCTCCTTTTTTGAAGTCGGTTGAAAATAGAAGGTATCATGCCACGTTGTATTGAAATAAAAAGTTGAATGCAATCAATGGCTAATGCAACCCAGAATACCTAATACGCTTGCCTAATACCTTGACGCTTTTACAAGATTCTCAACGAACTTTACCACCCAATTCTTTAAGACGTGTGCAACATAAAATGTATCTTAAGATATCTAGATTATCTGGGTATTGATGAAGCATTTCTCTTTCCAGATAGAGCAGCTAATGTCCAGTATTAAAGACGTAAAGTGCAGCGGGAACCTATTATTCAGCTCCGCGCGGTACAAAGCCGCCGCGCGAAAGTACCGCAAATGTCTGCGGTACGCGGAACACGCGTGCGATGTCTTGCAACGGGAGTGCGCGGAACAACAGTATACATGTGAGTACATAGTGTAACTCATTAATAAATGTCGCGTTAAGATCTTTCTTCCTATTTAAGTCGAAATGGAACGCGAAAGATTAAAGTCTATGTGTGTGAAACAAGTCTTAAGCTGCGTATCCACTGGAGGCAGCGCTCATTGCGGCGAGCCGAGCCATATTGTGTCGGATTTTTGGCGCGCTCAAAAGCGCCTCAGTCTGAGCCACTTGAGCAGCCTTAGGTCAAGCAGCCACTTCTTGAGGCAGACTGATGAGTGAGATATGAGGCTTGATGATGAGTGAGTTAAGTGAAGAGACCGTGAAGTGCAGCGGGAATCTGTTATTCAGCTCCGCGCGGGACAAAGCCGCCGCGCGAAAGTACCGCAAGTGTCTACGGAACGCGGCGTGCTGCAATGGGAGTACGCGGAACAGCAATATACATGTGAGTACATAATGTAACTCATTAATAAATGTCGCGTTAAGATCTTTCTTTCTATTTAGTCGAATTGAAACGCGGAAGCTTGAAATCTTACATCAATCTACATGTGAGTGTGAAACGGTTCGAAGCCGCGTATCCACTAGAGGCAGCCTCGTCCTAAGGTAGAGCAAGTAGAGACGCTGCCTCGATCTACGGTACGCAGTGTCTTGAAGCAAATTCATCGCAGCGAGTCGAGCCATATTGTGTCGATTTTTTGGTGCGCTGTTTTGGCTGTCAGAATGTGTCAAGTCTTCTCTAAAAGATCTTTCGACTCGACGAAATCTCTCTCTCTCTCAGGACTCTTCTATCGTTTAAAGACGCCCGGCTCAATCTTATTTAGCGCTAATGATGATCTGCGATCAATCTTGCACGCACGTAAAGAGTTTCGACTTACAAACACAAGTAATACTTGAAACTATACGCTGCTGGAACCATTGAATTTTCAGATAGATCCAGTGTATTCTGTAACCTGTTATTGGTACCGTTTGAAAGAGCTCATGAAGCACTTTCAGGATCAGTAACCAGTTTTTCAATATCTTGTATAGTTTAGAAATAATTGAGTGAGATCACTTAACGTCTCCACCCTGTAGATAAGTATAGCTTAACTGAGTCGATGCCTAAGGTATAGGAGCGGCAAAATAAAAATAAATTTTATAAAATCCGATTTGTATGAAAATTAAAATAATTAAAATGAAGATGTCAATTTTCTGACTTCACTGTACCATTTATATGACCATGTTAACATGGGCTAGTGTCGGCTCATATACCCATTTACCTAACACCCTGTAGATCAATAGGTATTTCAACAGTAAAGTATTTTTTAACCCGAAAGAGTTTCTAGAAAGAAAGAGGCGTGGCAGGTAACCTTAAAAGTGCGCAAATCCAGCTTGTCTCATTCTCATTCCAGTCGGCGAGGTGTTAGCGACGTACGCTCAGCAGTGCCATCTCAACCTGGCCGCCTGCTACATGAAGCTGGAAGACTACGCCGCCTGCATCAAGAGCTGCTCCGAGGTAAGTAGACTACTCAACAGTGACGTTCGTTCGTTCTTTTCAGCCGAAAGACGTCCACTGCTGGACAAAGGCCTCCCCCAAGGATTTCCACGAAGACCGCTCGCATCCAGGCCCCTCCCGCGACGGTGACGTAACCAGCCTTTTATACGCACGGCAATAGAGATATAGAGAGATGCCAACTAATGCGACACTGAGTTTCGAACTCAGCGCATTAGTTGGCATCTCTCTATATCTCTCTCTCACACTTACAAAGAAATCAAAATATGTGCTCATTTATCCACTGCGGTATCAGTACTCAACGTTCGAATAATCTTTAGTACTACCACAGAATAATAATAAGTACTACGTACAGAAGTTTTACTTCGCGAAAATATTTAAAAAAATGTATGCTCAATGTCATTAACAATATGGTGTATAGTTCCAAAATACTGAACTGTCCTGTCCATGACATTGACAGCGGGGCGCCACCGTCTATACCGGATCGCTGGTTCCGATTTTTGCCATGTTGGAAACCATATAGTTGAACGATGGTAGCGCCCCCCTGTCATTGAGTTTGGTGGGACAGTTCAGCGTGGGTCATCTATAATTAAGCCTGTCTCAAGAGTCAAGCACGATTTTGTTGACAAACGTCAGTGATCGGCACTGCGCCGAAGCTATAGGGCTGACTTCGGTAAAATGATGTGACGTGAGGTGCCAAACTGTGGAAAATGGCGGAGGAAATACATGATTTAGCATGAATTATCATGAATAATATTAACTACTTATTTACCTCTCAGTGTCTTGAGGCAATTTAAAAAAGTACATTCTCTATTTTTATTATTATTTAGGCAGTTAAATACTGCACAGTATTTGTGTACTAAATATGTAGTTTTTTTTTATTTGGTGTAAACATACAAGTTACATGTTGTATAGCCTGACCAGGAACATAAAAACCCTGGCATAGAGGCGCGTCAATTGCATTTGATAGTGCAACACTGAGTACAGTCGTACCTGTGTTAAATTAATAGGCTAACTTTATGTATCAGGATTCAGGATTACGGGCTAATTTGATATTTTCATAAATTAACGAAAAAATATATTATAGGTAACCTGGTTTAAATAAATTGAATGAAACCATCAATCGAGCTAGTAGGATTTATTTTATTATTCATCAATAATCAAATTCAGAACTTGAATATTCAACTGCAATGTTTGCTCATGAACGCTTCAAACTCGGTACTTCTTTCCCAATTCCATAAAATTCAACACTTAGAAAGTGTTTTTTTTTTTTTAAATAGGTAGTTGAAACAAACCACAGCTAATTTTCATAGTGGACTGTACTATGCGATAAACATGTCAGTCAATTTGACAACCTTTATCGGAAACATTATTCAATGAAAATATTGTCCGAACCCTTAGTATATCTCTTCGACAAATACTTTAACACATTGTAAACCACTTTTCTTTCACGACTTTAAAAAGATTTTAGCAATTTAATTCACAAAATCAATTGCGCACATTTAAAATAAAGTTTNAAAAATAGGTTAGGGTGCGGCGGGGGTGGCCCTTTGGCCACCCCTAAGCCGCCCCTTTTGTTTTTTACACACATAAATGACCTCGTATTAATCACATTTACCAAATCATGCGGTAATTATTCATAATAACCGGCGATTATTCATAATTTTCACATTTATCACTTTGACCGTAACATAAACATACAAGTTACATGTTGTAATACAGATAACATAGTGCAAAGGAATGTTTTACAATGTAACCTTGAAGTTTTTACTACTGACTTAAATGCAAGTTAAAAGACACAGACAAAATGCTGTTATCACGTGCTAAGACCGTGTGTAGGTATAATTCTTTGGAATTTGAACCATAATAAACATTTTCAAACTATTTTCAGGTACTAGAAACTGACGGTCGGAACGAGAAAGCGCTTTACCGGCGAGGCCAAGCGAACTTCGCCCTTAAGAACTACGACGCAGCGCTCTCGGACCTCAAGCAAGCCGACAAGGCGTCCCCCAACAACAAGGCGATCCAGAAACTTCTAGAAGAGGTAAGAACCTCCAACAAGATCTACAACGACATTCAAAAACAACGGCTGTCAAAATTTTTTCGTGACCAAAAAGAGAAGAGCCTCGCAATCGGGCATAACTGAGCTAAGACTGAAGGTAGTTATATATAATTTTGGTATTTGAAAGACTGTGTCCTTACTGATCCGTGGACTCGTCGACCGACTAGTCGTTCGTTATTAATTTTCTTGTTCTGTTCTGTGGAGATAATTTATAATTTAAATCAATTAGTTGGTCAAGGAGTCGTCGGAGCGTGCATGGTTGTAGCGGCCTCAAGACATGGGTGCTTTTTTAAAAGTATTAGCTTTTTAACAAAAATAAGAGGTGTGTTGTTTTGGTCGACCAAGTTTGTAGACTGTAGTTGAACTTTGACATGACTGTAAGGGGGTGGCTACACGGATTTGATAGTTATTTGACCAATAAAAGTTGTTATTTTGCCTTATTACTGTTTACTTTCTATTACATCCTTTTTTTTTCTCATCTTAGTCCTATTTCATTCCTGGATGTTCCAATTTTCATCAAAATGAAATTATACTTGTATTCAAATCCACGTAAACGTAAACAAATGCGTAATTATGCCTTTGTGAAGCTAAATTCACTACGATGGTAATTTTATTGGTCAAATTTATCAAACCGATTTTGAGACAGACCTCATGTAGCTACCCTCCCCATCATTTACTCCAGTTTGGCCAAAATGTTCTAATGTTGTATTTAAGTACTGTTGTGTTTATAACTGCTGATCTAGAATATCTAAACTCGAAATTATCCTGAATGTTTGGTTTACTTTATTTTTAAATAACTGTAACAAATTCTCTTTATAATTTTAGAGTATCCTCTTTTAGACAATGCCCCTTGCCAAACCAAACTCATCGGCACAGGTCAATTAATTTGAACCTCGAATTATGATATCGCACACTCACTGCGGGCGCCCGTCGCACAGTCGCGACAGCAATATATTTACGCGAGAGCGATAAGGATGGGTAGCTTGGGGTCATTGGACAAAATTCTACGTGCTCACGGACCAGACTATAGATGGATTGAAATACCTGACATAAGCTTCCACGCCTTTTATTTGTTATAATATTGTAGCTAAATTTTGGTTCGGCCGAATCGTGTGTGCGAAAAAAGTAATTAGTTTATGTGAAAAAAGAAATACACTGCCATTGTTACTAAATTAATTAATTAGAGAAAATGATTAGGCTTTAATAAAAATTGTGATTCTTTTTATTTGGTTATGCAAGACCAATTTTTAGTAAATTTTTTGATACGTAATTATATCATTCGCGTGTCTTTTGATTGTGTTGCATTAGGGAACGTGTCGACTACGGTACTATGGATAAGAAATTGGGGCTTGCTAGCTAGGCAGAGACTAGTGCTCGGCTCATAGATTAGTTAACGATCGTTTGAACTCGTACACGTGCCAGCAAAAATGAGCCCAATTATCTAAACTTTTGAAGCCAACAGTGTAAATTTTTCTGCGTTACTTCTTTAAGCTATTGGGGACCAGTAAATCATAACAACTTCGTGCGCGAAATTAGAAAAAAAGTTCTTCTCCAATAATTTAAGAATAAGGTAGGAGCCTAGTTTAAAAGTCGTCGGATCTGATAGTCATATGGCAAAAAGACTACCGTATCTGGTACCGTAATATGGAATGGTCGATTTATACATGATTTAGTTATAGAAATGCTAGAAATCAGACAAGAATTTGAAAAGTATCTCATTAATGTAAATATTTTAAAAGAACGCACAAACCGTATCATTTTACAAGGATCAATAATAGATTTTCAGGGTCACAGATGTGATCTAAGATGAGCCTGTCATTTTTATTTAACACTTGATATAAAATCTGTTAAATTGTATTTAACGTATATTATCAATAACATCCGAATAAGATCTGTATCTCAACCCAAACCTACTCTTGAGATCGTCAGGAAAAAGTAAATCATGTTTTGTAATTTTATTATTACACAAAACGTTACTTTTCTCGTAAATTAGAGTTCAATCTCTGCAAACATCAGTTAAATCGATCGATGGTGTTCATTTCGTGGGTTTGTGTAATAATATTGAACCATAAGTTTACTACGTTTGCCCTAGGTCAAGTACGGCATAGCTTTAAAGTTATTATTTAATATGAACAATATTTTAAGTAATATTTTCTTATTTTTTTACCTTTTTAAGTTCTTGTTATGTGCAAACGCCATTGGTGCAATGAATTGTGTTAAGTTTAAGTACCTAACTAAGCAATGACAATATTTGACGAAGAAAATATCACCGTAGAAGTTGTGAGTCACACGAACAATACAATTGGTTTATTTCGAGTAGGTACTATGACAATTAGTACAAACGGATGATAAAATATTCTCGTAGGTAGTTGAAATAGTGTGTGCTCCCAAAACATTGTCACAACGTCAGCCATAAAATGTAAATCCTTGAATGTACAGTCCCTAATCCCTATATGAACTTGAACGTGCTAACCGACCCCGGTTTTGAATCAGTACATCATAAACTTTATCTAATTTTGACAACTAGCTCAGAAACTGGTTTTGCATTAAATATTGATGAATATGAATCGCTCTGAAATACCAAATAACTATGCCGTGTGCAATGCGGTTCTTATGAATGTTATACTATAAGAGATAAATGTCGTGACTGTGTTCATTATTATTAGAGAATATTTAAGTACAGTTTTCGTTAATGTTAACGAATCGACCCCTGACAGCAATTGTAGAATAATCACCACAGACAAGATTTCATTTGTTTCGGTAATTTCCAAAGAACTCGAATCAGACTTTTGAAGAGTACGGCGATTCTCCTCTGATCGCCAACGTAGCAATGTGAACATAAGTAGAAAAACTTGCTAATAACGCCCATTAAGTGCATGTTGACAAGGTTTTTGTAAATATTACCAAATTGTTGTCTTGGCCCCAAGAAACAAATTACGAAAATTGTTTAAAAATATTAATGGATGTTCGCCATATTTGTAAATAATGTAATATAATATAGTTATAATGTGTAACAAATCAATGAATCAAATCCGTATTTTTACAATGTCTCCACTATACTGAAAATTAGAGAAAATCAATTAATATCCTGACATAAAATGACGTAAATTAAAAAATCGCTGAATAAACTGTATGTATGGAATGGGTATTTGTATGTGGATTGTAAGATTTGTAAGTTATTGTATGATATTATAGTCGTAATTTATTGTAAGGATATGGTATGACTTGCGACGGGATTCACTCCGTTGCCGTATTTTTGAGTCTGTCTCTGTCGCTCATTTCGTTGTCGTTGCGAATGAAATGATGACAAGATTCGAAAAGCGGTCGATTTTATTATGAGCACATATTCTGAAAAAATTCAATACAAGAACTAAAAAATCCGGCCAAAATCACGTCGTTTGTTCTAACCAATGTAGATATTAATTTGTACTTACGCGGTACATCCAGACACCGAGTACATAATAGGCTCGTAGGTGTGCGCTCACACTAAAATAAGCTGATGACTCGCCAAAATATCTTGTCTATTCAGGAACACACTCCATAAACTGGTTTGTTTATTCAAATTCAACAAATAATATTTTATATAGAATAGACTTCTTTCCCAATTCTACTTTTCATACCTCTTTTTCGAATTCTCCCAACCTAGCACTGTGCACATGTAGCATGTAGCCAACCCATTTTGAAGAAGCCTAGACACTGCATAACATACTGAGTTGGCGCAACTGTACGTCGCAATGCATAGTGTTATCCATTTGTAAGCATTCATAGGCTAGACGTTTTTTTTCTTTATTTATTTGTGGCTTTCATCCACACTGATATGTCAGCCCCATTGTATCTTCACAACCCAATGATCCCAAGCTACCCATCCTTATCGCTCGCGCGTAATTATGTTGCTGTCGCGCTCGCACACACACTCACTGCGGGAGCCCGTCGCAGAGTCGCGACAGCAATATAATTACGCGCGAGCGATAAGGATGGGTAGCTTGGGGTCATTGGACAAAATTCTACGTGCTCACAGACCGGGCTTTAGACATACTGTGGTGTGCTATCCTCGAGCCCAAAAGCCATTTCTCACATTATGTACTCGGTGGTGAGAGCTGTTGTCACACGGCATACGTACGACTGATTAGCGTAGTTTTTATACGATGTGATGATAATACAATACGGTATGGTAATATACGTCAATTTTAGAAAAGAATCTTTCGTTTTATTTATATCCCCTCAATTCATTAGTAAAATTTTATTAAGACACTATCGAGAATCGCATCCAATCAAATCTGTTAAAAAATACTTGTATAGATGACCCACGCTGAACTGTCCCACCAAACTAAATGACAGGGGGGCGCTACCATCGTTCAACTATATGGTTTCCAACATGGCAAAAATCGGAACCAGCGATCCGGTATTGACAGTGGCGCCCCACCAAAGAATATATTTACTCTGACGAGAAGAACGGCGACTCCATAAAAAAATAACTGGACTTTTCTTATCGCCATCTAGTTGGTGACTTTGGTACTAAAGCGGTATTTATCCGTGCATATGGCTACGTATTTTAGGCTATGTTATATCATGACATAAAATCAATGACAAATTAATCACCGACAAACTGACAAATGACTTAAGTGTTGTCGTTTGAGAAAATCCTTATTAGATTTTTTTTGGATCGGGGAACACATTTAGCAGCCCACTTAATAAAGTCCACGGCGCTGCCTACAAAGTCAGACGGGCCTGCGCCCCACTGTCAATGTCATGCATAGGACAGTTCAGTATTTTGGAACTTTACCTACTACATGTATTTTTTTTATAAAATACCAACTGCAGCTAAGTTTTTACTAATGGCAACCTTGGTTTCAGATTTGGCACTACCCTCATTTACACTTGAAAAATCCTAACTGTACTGAATGAATAGAGGGGTTATGTAAAAATAAAAAACAGTATTGTTTTAAATTCGTTTTATAAAACATAATTAATACAGGCTTTAACGTAATGGACAACAAATAAGGTGGGTTGCGGTGAAAGTTACATTTAGGACGGCAAGTGTCTCTGGAATGTGGAGTCGACCAATACCCGTTTGTTCGCAAGTTTCCAAAAACCAATCCAAGTCAGTGATCAGAAGTTTTAATCTGCGAATGTATACTACGAATAAGAGATTCTCGCCACAGGATTTATTGAAGCTCGTCAGTATCCGAAGCAGGTAAGCCAAGTAAAATATTTAAACACAACCATTTCACATTCACACAAGGACGCGTTACACATACATAACAGTATTCTGCAGTTGTAATTGACCTTTCATCGTTCTTTGTATCGTTGTATGAAATATTTTTTCTGGCTTGTTTATAGGTTTTAAACAAAAGCAATTTCCGAAGTAAGTGACCACTGACTTAAACCAATTTTTGGATGAAACAGTTCAGTACTTTATACAAAGTTGACAAAAGTATAATGGATATTGGATCACAGGCACCACTGGTACATAATTTAAAAAGATTACACTCTTATTAATTACTTACTTTTCCTTGCCATTTCGCATTTCATCGTCAATCTTTGTAACTGTTAGATAAATATAAAATTGTGTATACTTTAAAACTCCACAAATGTGAAATGAAGGTAAGAGAATAAAATAGACAACTTTAAAAAGTACATCAACATTTGGTTTAGTTCAGAAGTTACCTAGATTGACTTGTCCTACACTTTACTAAATCACCATCGAACAATAATAGTAGGGAATTTAGTGCAATGATTTGTATGGAGACCCCTCCACTTTGGTATAGAAGGCTCATTTTTGCACCAGTTGTTCTTTGGGTGCTCCTGAGTAGATTTCCGTCGGTAGACATCGGAAGCCCCCCCTGTGGTAGCAGGGGGAGGGGGGGCAAGTTTCCTTCTGCCGCGCTTCACTTTAAGGCCCATATCTTTAAAACTATGGGTATTAGGGCAAGTGTGGTGTCANTAACTATAACATACAAAACACTTTATTTTAATCTCCAATGCAAGGCAGAAGCATGATGACATTTTTTACATTTTCAAAATCTATTCGGCATTTAAAGCGGCGTCCTAAATCTATCAAACACAATATGAATATTAATAGAAAATTAAGACTCGTTTTTCATGACTGTTAAAGAAAAGTATAAAAATATAAGAAAACATATCAAAAACCATAAAACAAAATATTAGGAAAGATAAAATATGAAACGATCTTCAATCTGCAAATAAAACGAATTGGCAATTTTTCTTAATGATGATAACATTTAAATTGTTTATGTATTTTAATTGCACATTTCATACCAAGCTTTATTTTAATTGACGATCGAAGCGTTTATCCAGATCCAGGTCTTATGAAGGACATAAAATAATTGCACACCCTCAAAATTAAACGACAATGTGTAGTTAAAAATGACTAGTAAATAGCAGTTAGACCTTACTTCTAACGATTCGATGACGTTACAATTTTTCATACAACAGAACGAGTAAAGTTATACACAAAGTGCTGAGATTCGCGTGAACTAAAATTACATTTGTGACGAAAATAAAGCTCAAACATTGCGAATACAAAACTAAAACTAGTTAAATTATGCAGTGACATTACTTAAATAACTAAATATATTTAATAAAAAATGCTACTGGGTTATACGCATATTGTTGTAAATATATTTTTACTGTTAAATGTAATTTCATTGAATGTGACGCAGATAGCAAAAAATCTTGTTAAAAGCGATAGGATTATTTCAGGTTATGGCTTATTTTTACTTGTATCAGTTCCAATTTTTAACAATAATAGGAGTTTTTGGTCTTAATTTTAATTAATTTATTTAACCGATCGCATATTCAAAGTTTAACAAATATTGAACAGTTGTAATAATCCTATTTAAATTCACAATATTTGGGTGAATACAAAATTAATGTAGTGAATAATGTACACAATTTTGTCTTTACTTACATTAATATTACACTAAATAATGCACCATACACCTAATAAATACACCTATGACACACTGCTGTGTCAGCCGCCACAATACATAGAAGAGTTTATTTATTACAGCAGGTACAGGTAAATGTAAATGATTGAAAATGTGAGTGTATCGCACCCTNGTATTGTTGCAGAATTGTATGAAATAATAGCAAATTCAAATAGTATTCGATTTTGAATCGAGATCACCTGATGGTTTCTTGTGAATCCACATCCAATGTACAAACAGCCAATCAATAGTGTGAAAATGAAGATTATTTTGTTTACAAGTACCTACTGAATTTTTCAAAATAACTGAAACGATACATACAATGTACACTCAGCAACAAATCAGACACCAATAATGTTTGAACGTTGACGTTGAGAAGACCCTTATTTCTTGTAGAATAAAAGCTACTTTTATTGTGAAACGGTTACGTTTGATGTGCCATCGAGTGTACTTTTTTCTTATTGTAGCAAAATGGCAGTGGTTTAGTGCTTTTTTTGTTTTGACATTATATTATGTGATAGGGACACAAATTATTCAATTCAAAGACAAAATATTTGAAGATACAATAAAATTCAAACCACTTTTGGTACTAAACTATTCAACAAGTTTTTCACAAACAAAATACAAGTGCAGCACACATTAAAAATCGATGTTATATCAACAACCACGATTTTGTGAAAACAGTTTATAACTACCAATAAATATTAATTTAATGTAAACCCGTCAATTAAACAAAGTGTACTTATATTTTAACATACTTCACAATGAAATTGCGTCAACTAAGTAATATGTAATAAAAAAAACTGTTGCATTAATAAAAAGATTTTGTGTGTTAATACTGTGGATAGAGAGCTTAATAATATAAANTCCTTCAAAAATTACACACGCCAATTTGAGTATTAAATTGTATTTTTTTACAATAGCCATTTGAACTGATTCCCACATAATGTGGGTGATTATAGTAAGGGACAAGGAGAACGGTTCCTTCCACCAGGACTATGCCATATAAAACAATTCAGCCTAAGGATTATATGGGCACAAGTACAAGTAATACCCAAAATCACAACAACAGAAATAGTAAAATAAAGGCCTAACTTTGAAATATTTTTTTAAACATTTTTTTTAAATACTCATAATCTATATTTTCAAAAATGTCTTATGTCAAATTATATAACAGATACCAGTGATGAAGTATGCTTAATTTAAAAGTTGTAGCTGATAAAATAAAGATTTTAGAGCCAATTATGTAAAAAACCGCGATCCGCCGATTGGTTTTTTGGCTTTTCCCAAAAAACTGAATTTTGGAGTTGTGCCCATTCATTATTAAGGGTGCGGTATGTATTGTTGCAGAATTGTATGAAATAATAGGAAATTTCTTTAAATAGTATTCGATTTGAAATCGCCAATCAATAGTCTAACAATGAAGATTTTTTGTTTACAAATAAGTACTGAATTTTTCAATATGACTGAAACGATACATACAATAATACACTCCGCAGCAAATCAGACATAACAATATTGTAACACGTTGAAGTTGAGAAGACCCTTATTTATTGTAGAATAAGAGCGACTTTTCTTGTGAAACGGTTACGTTTGATGTGCCATCGAGTGTACATTTTTCTTATTGTAGCAAAATGGCAGTGTTTTAGTGCTTTTTTTTTTGTTTTGACATGATAGGGACACAAATTATTCCAATATAGTGTTTGAAGATACATACAATAAAATTCAAACCACTTTTGGTACTAAACTATACAACAAGTTTTTCACAAACAAAATACAAGTGCAAACATTAAAAATCGATGTTATATCAACAACCACGATTTTGTGAAAACAGTTTTTATAACTACCAATAAATATTATTTTAATGTAAACCCGTCAATTAAACAAAGTGTACTTATATTTTAACATACTTCACAATGAAATTGCGTCAACTAAGTAATATGTAATAAAAAAACTGTTGCATTAATAAATAAAAAGATTTTGTGTGTTAATACTGTGGATAGAGAGCTTAATAATATAAAACGTAAACTATATGCAGTGTGGCCCCAATTCATTGCTCTTCACTATCTCAAAAAGTTTGTCTCTGCTGTTTACTTCTAATTAAATTATATTTGGTAAGTTTTTTTTTATAGCCAGCCACATAGCCAGGTTCAATTAATCTAGGAGAACTTTAGATTTACTTGATTTGGAATTCTACTGCTTGATAATACGTCTCATTTTCTTTTAGAGAAAGTGAAAACCAATGAAAAAGGGTTATATGTGAACTTAAATATAAACTGTTCTAAACAGATAAATAACTTACAACTAAGTTGAAACTTACATACAACTGTGGTCTTACATCAGAACACTTACCAAGCTCGGGCAACGCGCACAATAGCACAAAACAATCCAAATGCAATGGGAATACCCACGTTATTTTAAACCTTACTGCTTTGTCATAAGGTGCAAAAGATTACATGTAATCTTGATTTGCCCTTTTAAGGGGTAAAGATACACTTGGTACGCTTCAAGCTTAATCTGAATACCGCAATGAAATAAGTTTATTATAAAACAATCTCAAACTACATTAGTACAATGAAATTACTATCAAATTAAATGATAGTAAATATGTAAAATTAAATATTATTTGTACAGTCGCAGAATGAAAAGGTTCGTCACCTTAGTGTCGGTTTTCGCTTGCACCAAAGAGTCAAACCTGCCAACATAACAGTGCAAGAAACAGTGCTGCTAACATTTAAATAAATATGACGTTTGCTGATGAATAAGGTTTTGCTTGTTTATTTTTCTATCCCATCAGTGCAATGCAATGATGACATTGACCAATTGACAATAGTTTTTTTTTTTTATTTAATAGACATAATAATGGCAGGTTGAACCAACAAGAAGGTTTTATTTATCAATCATAATAATCTTCTTGACAAGATAAATCGTCAAACAACTTTGATCTGAATAATTTTGAACTTTACTGACGAACAGTTAAAGATTATTTTCTCTAATTTGAGATTATTCTGTAGCATAGTTTCAAAAGGTAATATGTGCTCGCGATTCGTTGAAGGAATCAATTTGAAAACTGACGAACCTTTTCATTCCGTGACTGTACACCTAATTTAAATCTTTGGAAAAATTGTATTAGTTTGATTAGTATGCGGTGCATCGTTAAACGATATTTTAGTGTAGTAAAACATAAAAAGATGCATATTTTTTTCTAATTAATTGACGTAAGAGACGATTCTGCGACTAGAATGTTTCAATCATCAAAATGTAATAATGGTAAATTAAAATTATTTTACAAGATTGAGTGCCCCTTATGTTTCTTTATCCTTCTTTCGCTGCGGTATTCAAATTAACTTAACGTATGCAATATCAAACATAATTTTATTTACCGTCTATCGTTTATTCCACAAAAATAAGGCAAGCCAAATAATTTTTGAATATGAACTTTATTCTTGAGAGAATAAAGTACTTTTTGTCATATTGTGCATGTATCTAATTTGTCATTATGCATAGGCAAGATACGTCATCGCAATATGCCTGGCAAGAAAAAAAGGAATCAGTTATGTCTTGCTGAAAGATTTCTAATCTTATAATATTGCACATAGAGTCCATTTCTGGCTTCATCATTGGCTTGGATTACAATAAAACGTCGATTTAGACCCGCGTAGAGTGGATTAGTTTTAATCAAAGACATCTATGTATCCTTACTTACTAATTGTATGTATGTAAGCTGTGCAGAAATTGCTTATTAAGTTACAGTCAATTCTCCATGACTCGTTTAGTCGAATTTGAGCCAGCTAGAGGAGCAAACTTGCTGCAAGGTCAGCGAAGGTTATAAATTGATCCATAATAAACAGTTGTCATTAACGTATACGTGCGCATTTTGTTTACGCGATTTTAAGTTGTTTTGGTAACCAGCGCTCTCTGATCTCGGACATCATTTTAGTTCTTAACAGCTTAGTAGAATACATAGAAGCCTTTGTTTTAAATAATATTTGGCCTAATATAGTGAAGTCCATCCATAAATATTCAAAATTTGTCTTTTATAATACTGTCTTTTAACAACTGCCCCTCTCTACCCGGGTCATACCTTCCTAATAAGCGTACCATACCACAATTCCACATTACACAAGCCCAATCTAAGCTTCGCCACTACAGCACATTCCGAACCTTAACGTAATACAACAAGGTTGATTTTGCGATGTTATTTATTACCTATTCATTACTTTAGCGTTTAAGGAGGATTTACTTAATTATAGCTTCTTAGATGTTATTTGGTGTTCGACGTTTTATTAATATCTTATTGTCATCTAATAGCAGCCTCCTTTAACGGTAAAGCAAAGATAGGTTTTTAATTATCTTCTCATAGCATAAGATTTACCTTAGAGTATTTTGAACCCTAAGTAGCTGCAACTAGGTCGGTTTCGGGTCGTCATCAGTCAACGATGACCTCTTGCTCGCGTTCCTCCAAGCTGTCGGTTTTCTCCTCTATGATCGACTCTGTGCGCTCTATGTCAAGAGTGTCCATTTCGTTTGGTTTCTCGCTAAAATAGAATATTTTTATTCATGTTAATTGTATTTTATGAGCTGAGAGATAAATGTCGGAAAGTAAAATATTAACAGAAAAATACGTATGAAATTAATAACGTTCATAATGCCTCACTGTTAAAAACCCCAAGGCTAAGATTTTCATAGGAGAAGTTAAACGCATTGGGCCCGCAATTTAATAAATGAGACGAAAATAGATACACTCAAGGTTCAGTCAGACAGTTGAAGTTTAGCAATGAGGGTTTCCGCGAATGAAAGATCCGCTAGATGGCGGGACGTGGATGTGGGGTCTGACTGCTGCGTGATTGGTGGATTTTGACATATCTGTCAATGTCATGTCAAAAATAACCAATCACGCAGCATTTGGACCTCGCGTCTACGTATTGCCATCTGGCGGATTTTTCATTCGCGAAAACCCTCATTAAGTATAATAAACGTTGTCCCGAAGTTACGGCAAGCTAAATTGAAACGTGTTGAAGTTCAAAGCTGCTAAATTAATGTAATCCCAAAGTAATGGCAGGCTATTTCGGATCTTGTAAATGAGCTTTGTAAAGAAAATAGCACATAGCTCGTAGAGACGATGGCCGTACGGGCAGAAAAGTTCTCGAGTGGCGACCACGGGCTGGAAGACGTAGCGTGGGCAGGCCTCCTACTAAATGGACCGACGATCTGGTAAAGGTCGCGGGAAGAGCCTGGATGCGGGCAGCGCAGGACCGTGCATTGTGGAAAACCTTGGAGGAGGCCTTTGTCCAGCAGTGGACGTCATTTGGCTGAAACGAACGAACGAACGAAAGGAAAGGGCATACTAATGAAGAATTTGAACTTACGTGTCCTGTTGGGGCGCAGGAGCGGGCTCGGGCGCGGGCGCAGCGGGCGCAAGCGGCAGCGACTGCGGTCGTTTTAAAAACGAAACGCGTTCCTCCTGTCGAGAAACACTTCTTTAGCGTCTTTTTTAAGTCATTTGTAGTGCTATTTTGAGCTTTATTGCCTCGTCTTACGGATAAAAGAGTGATTGTCATTGCGCGTCCTTTCTGTGTCATTTTCTCACATTTTCTATGGTTTACTTTATAGCTCGATTGGTAGCGGCCTGCGTCCAGCGCTAACCCTGCTACCTTTACGATGTCGTCGGTCCACCTTGTAGGTGGACGTCCCACACTGCGTTTTCCGGTACGCGGCTTCCATTCCAGAACCTTTCTGCCCCATCGGCCGTCAGGCCGGCTGGACGCATCGATCAACATGGAAAGCATTGGGGGAGGCCTATGTTCAGCAGTGGACGTCCTATGGCCTCGATGATGATGATGATGATGATGATGATGATGATGATGATGACGCGCGTACCTGCGGCGTGCACACGCACGTGACGTCGGTCTGCGTGGCGGCGGGCGCGCGCGCGCAGGCCACGCAGCGCAGGATGTCCTGCATGCACGTCTGCAGCGACGCCACCTGCGACTGCAGCCGGCTGCACGTCTCGGTCAACTGCCGCACCGCCTCCGTGCTGTCGTCCGAATCGCACGACCGGACTTTTTGGGTGTCTGCAGACAATTAAAGTGAGCAATTGGACTTTGTTCATTTCCAAAAACAAACAAGATTTCACATTCCACTAAAACAAAATATAAGAAAGAAAAAGAAACATTTATTACGATGCACATCACATACTTAAGGACAGAAAGGTATATGGAAAAAAAGACAGAAATAGCACATAAAACATTACAAGGAAAGAAAATTGAACAGTACAGTGCCACCCTGTTGCAACAGCATATGCCGTGGCACACGGTGAGAAAGGCCACGCCCCATAAATACATGACCAAATACGATGGGTGCTCCTTTCTTTTGTCGTACATTTCAACCCCTTTTAGATTAATAAGAAAAAAAGCTTATGTCCTTCACCTGTCCCTATTCTAAAATGCAACAAAATTAGTCCGGAGGTAAGCATGGATAAATTATGAACAGGCAGAGTAACTCTTACATTTATAGATTTATTCGCGCCTCCCTCTCGAAAAAGTCAAAAACACCCGCACGCAAAATATATGTCAATTTATAGCATAGCTATACACGTACCAGCCGCTTGCAACGTTGAAACTTTCTTCCATAGCGCGTTGATGGCTTGCATCTGTAGCTGCTGAATCTTGCGCTCGCTTTCGAGAGCTGCCTTAGTTGCCTCCATGTCGCACGTTAACCTTCTACGGGAGAAAAGTAATATGTTTAAATATCCGCTGATACTGATACTGAAATACACTTATCAATAAACAATTTGTTCAATATCACTGAAAATATCAGCCATATAATGTCGGTCCGATTCGATTGAGTAATGACAAGGCGGAAATTTTACAAGTAACCATAAAATAAAAAGATTCTAGAGAAAGGACACTAGTGTCTTTATCCCTGACAGTGTGTACTTACTGTATGTGCTGTCTCGCTCTCGCAGCCTGGATGGCATGCAGGATCCTCAGCGTATCCTTATTAAGGTTCCTGCTGCGGTATCCACGCCACATCTTCTGGATGGTGACGGCGGCCATGCATTCCGCGCTCATTTTCTTCTGTCGTCTCTGGTTGGACGCTAGTTTGATGATTTCCAACTTGTCTGGGTCTATCTGGTCCCCGCTCTCTTGTTTCGTCATGCCGTTCAGCTTTTTCTCTTCGGTTTTTATGTCACCTTCAAACAAATGAGGACAAGAAAAAAATTTAGGATGCACAAATAAGGTTATTTTTTGTTGAAATTAGTGTTCATGTGTATCATTTAGTACCAAATAAATATGTTTTTCTTTCTTCTTTCTTTCTTTCAAATTACTACATTAAGAGTGCGTCATGACTGTCACGCACGTCAATCTTTTGACGGTTTGATATATTCTACGATTTTGTTGTAGAAATGACGTCAAAATTTTCCGTAATAATGATTGTGATAAGTATTATTATCATAATTCTATGTGCAAATCAAGTCAAGATCAGAATCTTACCTTTAGACAAACTTCCCTTCCGCTCGATTTTGGACTTTAACTTCGGGCTGGAAGTCGCACTTTTGGGCAGCTTAGGGGATCCTTTTATATTCTTATTTGGCTGAACAATCTGTCTGTGCGGTTTCTCTTCTTGTATGCTACTGTTGCTTGATTGAGACGATGTGTTAGAGATGCTATTGACTGAGTGGTTGGTCGGCTTTGGTATGGATCTTTGGATGTCGTAGATAGGGTCCTGGTAGTCAGGACTCATGAGCGATTCTGGCACGGGAACCATCTTGGATGCTGCTTCTAGGGAATGATTCACTGGTTTTGCTGGCGGTAGTTCTGTAACGAGACCAAAACACAAGAAAATAAAAGAAAATTGTTGTACAAACTTTGTATTATATTTTTCATTATTGTGACGAATCTCTGGCTCATAGCTGACAGGAGGGGAATATCTCTGGAGTAAGAACCGGACATCAGCTGCGACCAAATTTCAAGGTTTCCACTGCTAGCCAAAGCCTTCTACTCAGTAGACCACTGTTTTCGTGAAGGTCACAGGACCTGAATGCGGGCAGCGCAGGACCGGTCCTTGTGAAACTCCTTGGGGGATGCCTTTGTCCAGCAGTAAGTCTTGTTTCAGCTAAACCTTACCTGGCACTTTCTCCTTCTCTTTGCCATTGTCTCTCTTCTCTCCCCCATACATCAAGCCAGGCGAGTCGAAGCTCTGGCTCATAGCTGATGGTATAGGGATGTCTCCGGAGTATGAAGCTGACATCAGCTGCGGCGAAGCTGACTTGGGCAACGCGGCGTGGAAACTAGACGTCAGCCGATCGGGCGAACGGCCCATGTGCCGGGAGGATATACGGGCTGGAAAAAGGGTCCACTCTTCAGTTTAGGTACAGGTACAGATGATGGCACTTCAAGCTAACACTGGAATCTTATATCTAATGGATATAGGGGCGATTGTGAAATAAAAATGTATATTTTGATGTCGAATCGAATGGGTTGCCTCTCGTGAGCCTTGTCGTAAAAATTGACAGACCTGTCGCGTCGAAAGAGAAATACCTATCTTTTTTGCGACAATAGAAAAAGTCGGCGTGCAGTGTAATACAGCTGTAGGTTCTTGGAATTGAGCTAACTGAATTACATTTAATGACGTGAGAATCGCTATGTCTTAAATGTGTTTGCGGAGTGAGGAACAAATTAAAAACTTATCAATTAGAATGTCTGAAAAGACTAGAATGTTAGAAAAAATACGAGTTTTATTATACTTACATTGAACTCTCGGAGATTGTAACTTCGTTTTCAAGGGACTGTGGTTTTGGTCTTTTAGCTGCTGTTGATGATGTTGAGCCTGGAACAATCAAATAAAATCATCTGTTTGATCAATATTTTATATTTTTTTGTTTATGATTGTCACATTTTTTTTATGTTTATTATGGCAGGTGTCAAAAGATACTTTACCTTGCTGAGAATAAGGCGCAGTTTCCTCTGGTCCTTGGTCGTCTATGTGAGAGGGCAGATGGAGGCCAGGTACTCGCATAACTCTTGGTGCCACCGGCGTGGGAGTGGCGACCTTACCTTGCTGAGAATAAGGCGCAGTTTCCTCTGGTCCTCGGTCTCGAGCGCGTCGGCCGTGAGAGGGCAGGTGGAGGCCAGGTACTCGCATAACTCTTGGTGCCGCCGGCGTGGGAGTGGCGACCTTACCTTGCTGAGAATAAGGCGCAGTTTCCTCTGGTCCTCGGTCTCGAGCGCGTCGGCCGTGAGAGGGCAGGTGGAGGCCAGGTACTCGCATAACTCTTGGTGCTGGCCGGCGTGGAAATGGCGGCCCTTGCCTTGACTGTACAGCCATTCTGCTTTTAGGCTGCCAACATTTGATAAGTGTCAAGTTAGGATAAAGGCTAAATAATCACTATTTATTTAATTTTGTTCGGAGTTTGACAAAAAATAATTCTATCACGGACATTACGGTCACGCGTCACGAAACATACAAAAATATTTTAAGCTACTATCGGCAACAGTGTTAACTACCCATTACCGGTCATGTCGTCTCGTTCTATCGCAAAGATTCACCATTTGATGAGAGCGTGAGCAAAAACGGAAATAGATAGCTCTGAAAGATTACGATTAATACTTGTTACTTCGATAGTGAGTGTAGTGGAAGTTAATAAAATGAAAGAGTGGACTGTATACAATTAGTTGTCTATTCGGTATAAATTAACAATGTTATCGAGACCGTTTTGTGCAAAGTCGTTGAAGAGAGTGCGTCAGGATCGTCTTCTTCGATGTTCGCTCGCGAACCGAACATTGCTCGTTCGTTCGCCGAACGCTCGCCGCTCCCTCCGGTCACGCCGCCCGCGGGCAATGTCCGTGAGTAGACAATACTAAACCTCAAAAGTACCAATTCTTAAAACCACAATTAGTTTAGTTTAATATTGCGTCTTAAACGCTACATTACCCTCAAGAAAAAGTTCAATTTCGCTAACTGAGAATGACATAAATGAAGGTATCCATGTCATTTGAAAGGCAAACGCGATAATTATAACTAAGTTAGACATTATGTGGTCGTTTGAAAGTATAATTAGATATTCCAAGTGAATACAAGACAACGGTTGAGTGGACCATAATGAAACTTCTGCATATTCATAATGCAATATGAGAATAATAAATTAACAAGCACAGTAAGGAAAGCAACCTAACTGCTAAGGTTTTGTTGAAATTGATCAGTAAAGTAATATCATAAGATTGATATAAGTCACACAATCATCAGTTTGCTTTGTGCAAGATCTAGGAAACTAACCAAGTAACATTAGCAGATATCTCTTCAAGAGATTTAAATTGTAACATCAAAAAATCTATGAAAAAAATAGCAAACGGTCGGGGGGTCGCTAAATATTTTTTTCATACTAGGGGGGTCGTGTCATGAAAAAGGTTGAAAAACACTGGACTAGAGCAATCAAGAGAGAGAGAGAAAGAATATTCACGGAATATCTTACCTCTCTATCGCGCTGACGACGAAGCCATCGATGCTTTTCACACTGAGTATCCAATTCAAGACGAACGGACGGTAGTCGAAACCTCTGAGTATCGAGCAGTTAAGGAACATTAACGAAAAAAATACTGTTTTTTTTTTCTATAAAACTTCTAACAAGATTTTTTTAAAGATTTTTAAACATATACTTATTTAACTATTTACATAAGATACATTTATTAGGTAAACTTAGCAACCGGTAGTAAAATATAAATGATATAGCATCGAATCTAATAATAAAAAAATCGGAATCATCATAATATCCATAAATAATTCATATAACTTTTCTAAGTTGTATAATTCCTAACGAAGTTAGCATAACAGCTCCATTTATTTGGTCACGCACATTCCAAATAATGCTTATTATTTCGGTCGCAAGGAATGTAGTGTTGTAGGGTTATTAAATAAATTAGAATTTAGGGTCAAAGATTAAGAATATCAAAGACATAAGAATTATTGTAGGCTTTCAATATTCTGTAAAGTTTTAGACAAGAAAAACTTAAAAATAGCCCATAAGACATATGCGGTTATTATCGTGATATCATGATGTAAAATTGTAACACACAAACAGTACTTTTGCCAAAATTTTGGATTTTTAATTCATAATTTAATCATCATTCATCTTTAATTGGCTACTAGTTGCTATATTAGCCCTAGGTAACCCTGAACTCAGTTAATGGTAACATGGTATCCACAGATGAATACTTGAATTTGTACCATATACGTAATTTGAACTTCATTGCTCTGTGTTAAGGTCTAAATAAGTTTTTTTTTTTAAATGCATAACAAGACTGGTATTTGACCACAATCGCACCTGGTGTTAAGTGGGATGCAGTCTAGGATGGTACATATCTGCCCTGTAAGTGCCTATTCACTCTTGCCTTGAAAAGGTCCGGATTTATAGTCTTCAGAAAAGACAGCAGCAGGCAGCGGTCTCCTTTTTGAAGTCGGTAAAAAAGGATACAGTTTGTCCTTCCCCGCCATAGCTACACAAGGGTTGCCTTGCACGGAGAAGCTATCCAGCTTCGTCAGGTGCACGAGATGGCTGATTTCGTTCAAGTCGGGGATGTTGTTGTGCGCCAGCCCTAGATGTTCTAAGTGTGGAGGCAGGTAACGGTCGCATTGACGGAGGTCGGTTATCCTGTTGCGCTCTAGGCTTAGGTGCTGTGTGGGAATAATAAACATAAAGTAATGATAAGTTGTACACTACTAATTGGGTTTGGATAGATAATAAGGTAAGAGGTGCCAGAGTAAAAGGTTTCTTTAGAATTTAATATTATATAATCTATAATTAACTTTTAAAAAAAATAAAACCGACTTCAAATGCGTGAACACAAAAAAAAACTAAAAATTAAAAATATTGCGTATAAAAAAGTTCATCCCCAATTTTCCACCCTTGGGGGTGAAATATTTTCTTCAAATTCGCATGAAACCACCCTTTTGATAATACCTATTCAACAAAAAAATAATCGTTCAAATTGATTTATAATCGGCGGAGATATTGCGTATAAAAAAGTTCATCCCCAATTTTCCACCCTTGGGGGATGTTTTTTCTATTTTTAAATTTAAATGGGACCACCCTTGAGGTATTACTTATACGCCGAAAAAAGATTTGTTCAAATCGGTTCTTAATTGGCGGAGTTATCGCGTAACAAACATAGAAAAAAAAAACATACGGGTCGAATTGAGAACCTCCTCCTTTTTTGAAGTCGGTTGAAAAGCGAAAGTAACTCTGTCTGTCTGTCTCGCTTTCACGCCTAAACCACTGAACCGATTTTGATGTTTGGCATAGAGATAGTTTGAGTCTCGGGAAAGGACATAGGATAGTTTTTATGCCGGTTTTTGAAACAGGGACGCGAGCGATAAAGTTTTTCTGTGACAGACAAAATTCCTCGAGGGCGAAGCCACAGGCGGAAAGCTATATTCTGATCTGTAAGCACGTAGAATTTTGTCCAATGACCCCAATCTACCCATCCTTATCGCTCGCGCGTAATTATATTGCTGCCGCGACTGTGCGACGGGCGGCGCCCGCAGTGAGTGTGCGAGCGCGACAGCAACATAATTACGCAACAAAAATTGTACATAATTTATTTTCTCATAAGCATCTCTCAGTCAGTGAGAATAAAAAGAAATATTTTACAGTAAATTAGTAGTTGTCGCTCATCGATCTATCGTTATTGTCGCTCAATTAACGCAAGATGAAATATTTACTCTATTAACATTAACTACAATGGACCAATATAAATATAACATTTAAGGGGGCGTCCATAAATTACGTGAGGCTTTTAGGGGGGGGGGAGGGGGTCAACAAAAACCTTACCAAATCTCACGTGGGGGAGAGGGGGGGTCTCGGGAAATATCACGTATTTTTTCCCCAAGAAATAGAGAAATAGAATTTGCCAGAAAACTGGGTTAAATCTTAAGTAAAAAATGATATTTGTATGATGATAATGTCATTTTATTCTATACAGTCTAAACAAATAAAACTAAATATGCTTCCGTCTGCATGTGTGAATACTAAAATGCAGAATAAATGACGAAATTAAGAAAATTATAAAACAAGTTCTTTTTTTATCAAAATCGATTTTGCTAGATTCTTAGTGATTTTGTAGAAAGGAACAATTAGACTAGGTACCTAGTCTTCTTTCTTTAAGTAGGTACGTACTTCTGTAAAAAAAACAATGTGACCCNAGCCCTGACGCTATAACTCCAGGACGCACGAACCGATTTCCGCGGTTTTGCATTCGTTGGAAAGGTCTCGGGCTCCGTGAGGTTTATAGCAAAGAAAATTCAGGAAAAATTTAAAGGGGATAAAACGGGATCCACGCGTACGAAGTCGCGGGCGGCCGCTAGTTTCTTATAAGATTTTTCATTATGTAAAAGACAATCATAAATTTTATACACTTACTTTTAAGTTTTTCAAATAAGAAATATCAGCAATGAAAGAAATTTGGTTATTTGAAAGATCCAAGTATTCTAGATGAATGTTGTTGTTCAGGTGTTCTATTGACTTTATGTTGTTACCTAAAACAAAATTAGTGTTTAATCACAAAATACAATAATTAATAATCAGGTTTGGAAGGTTAAACTTCCATATTCCAAAACAACACTTTTGCATGCCTTAGATCTAAACTTTTAAGCATTAGAATACTATTCATGTTTGGAAATAAAGATGAAAAATTTATTTACAGTTGAAAAAAGACATTAAGAATAAGAAATGATGTTTTCTTATTTTGTTTATGGCCAGGTCAGGGTTATTATGGCATGGCCCACAGAGTGACCTCCCCAATGAATTCCACCCATGTCACTTTAATATTTCCAGGGTAAATAAAAACCAAGAAATTTAAAGAATGTGCACCATTAAAATAAACACTTACTTTAATTAACTTTCATTAAGATAAACTTATGATTTAAAGAAATAATGTCAAGTGACAATACTTTTGTTTGACAAAAGAAACTACAAAACATCATTGAGGATATCCTACAGAGATGAAATGAATCTAGTTTAGCACAGTTGTATAACAATGGCCAGTATTGTTGAGTAGATTTCATTGATGAACAGAGATCTATGTCTAATTTTATGCAAGGCTGACTAACTATTTCAATACAGACATTGCTATACTATATGTATTGCAGTCTATTATTATGTGTTTGACCTCCATATACCACTCTCGGCATGAATATGTTACATGTACAGTTATAATAACATGTAAACCAAAATAGATATAGTAAAAAGATTAGGCATCATCTATATTTACTTCTTTTTATTGTCAATGAGTCCGATAGTCACATACTAAAATAATATTCTAAATATTGATTATGTTTAAGTGAGAAAAATAAACTTAACGTTACTTGATAAGAAAAATTCAAGTTGACAAATAATAGGCTAGTNTTAATAGTTGAAGAATAAACATTTTGATAAATAAATACTATTACACTGAATACTCACCAGCTAATTTTAGTACTTTTAGGTATATCAGATCTTTTAGTCCCTCTATTTGGAGAATTCCATTATTGTTTAAAGCAAGTATTCGTATATTCGTCAGGCGGGATACTCCATGCATACGGAGCAAGAAATTGTTGCAAATTGAGACCTAAAAAAATAAGACATTATTCTTAAAAAGCCTTAGAACCTCTTATTGTAACAGTTACCACGGTAAAATTATAATTAATACATAAATAAATAAACTGAAAACTGACAATAATAGTTGATGTATAGGTTTTCTTAAAATCTATTACAGGTAACTAACTAAAGACTACAATGACACTAATCCTTAATGTTTCATACGGCCTAGAGGCCCAATGATTTGAGAATTACTAAATTAGACTAAATTGAAACTAAACTAGTTTGAATTTAACTTGTTCTTCACCCAATTGATAAGTGTAAGAAGCTTACATTCTCAACACGGCTGTATGTCTCGATATTGTCCAGTCTCTGCAGCTCATTCTGATCGAGGATTAAATTAATAACCGTCTTAGATTCGTCTGCAGGCGCTTTCTCTATTTTCTTCAACCCACGCCTCGATAGATCCAAAGTTTCATTCTTAGGTTCGTCTGTGGATAAAATCACTAGGTAAATTCCTACTGTAAAAATAAGTTCAGCATTTGTTGAACAGCACCAACTTACCCATATTTGTTTTATTACAGCATCTTTTATTTATTTATCGGAAATACGATGCAGTTTTCCACAAAAAATCAACATTTGTGTACATTTGACATATCTGTCACGTTCAGGAATAAAGAATAAAGTTTTATTTGTTCTGTATCAATATTTTGTCAATAATGTTTTAACAATATTTTACTCATAAATTGAGTAGCATTAAACATTATTTTGGTTAAGTTTTCAACGTAAGATACTGGATTTCTTTAATAACATTAAACTTAATTTCAGTAGTTATACAAAGTTTGAATTATAATTTTATTTCAGAACGAGATATGAATGACGTCATGACAGCATAGTGCAACGATCTTTTAGTGATTACCGGTTTTTATTGAAAACCGAATTTAAAATAATCATGTTTGCAGTTTTTTGATAGACTCGTATTTAAGTATTAACACAAAGACTTGTATAATTTATTGGAGTGGTTTTCAATTGATGTTGCGTGGATCTTAAATATACCTATGTGAAATACATCTAAATTCTAATAATATAAAACATACAATATTGTCACAAATAAAATTAAACTTGATTATTAACAACATTGAGGTGCCTCGATTTATTGAAATGAGAGCTCGAAGCTCTAAATCGTTTTGTAATAAAACCGGTCTTCAGCTTAATTATCGGTTTTTATACCGTTATTTGCAGCACTACTTCGCGGTGGCGGCGGGTATTGTTGAGGTTAGTGGATTTATTTACAAAAATAATGTTTTTCTACCTAAATAACAATAAATAAATCAGTTTGTTAATAACCTTAGAAACAAACAGATTTAGGTAATTAATTTTGTAAGCTTCAAACCGTACGGTTCATTCAATAAAACGCTAAATGAAAGGACGCGTTAGTTGACACTTTTTAGGGTAAAGTTTGTTTCGCTTCGTAAACTCATCAACTTTGAACTTTCCTGTTAGAATGCTAATTTCTTACTTTCAGTTGTAACTGGATTGTTGTTCTAGAAAATTCACGTTAGAATCTTTGTAAAAACGAGCACATTACTGGTGTCTATTTATAGCCAATTCACATGTAACCTCTTTCATTTAGGCGGGAGAATGGCATTGGCAAAGGGCCTGAGGCCCGTTCAGGTGTTTGGTGTGATACTGTTCGTGAGGATCGCGTCTGTATTCGTGGTGCAGACGTGGTACGTGCCAGACGAGTACTGGCAGACATTGGAGGTGGCGCACAAGCAAGTGTTTGGCTACGGAGCCCTGACTTGGGAGTGGACGAAAGGCATCAGGAGTTACCTGTACCCGAGTGTGGTGGCTGCACTGTACACCATACTGAAGTTTACTGGACTGGACCATCCTCAGGCCTTGGTATGCACTATATCTTATAACAATCTAGATAGCCAAGTCCATAAATCATTCCGTTTAAAGTTTGGTTGTGGGTTTTGTTTATACCTAAATCTTTATTTCTTTATTATGTGACTTGTTCACNTTGTTGTTGTTCACAATGATGAAAAATATTGTTTGGCATTTGTCCTTAAATATTTCCAATTCAAAAACAGATAATTGCCATGAATGTGAAATGAATCATCGCCAGTTTGTTTATTCCATAGATTCTCCTGCCTCGCATACTACAAGCAGTCATTAGTGCTGTAGCCGACTACAGCTTCTACAAATGGACCGGCGGCCGCAAATGGGCACTGTTCTTGGTGCTCACGTCTTGGTTCTGGTTCTACACAGCCAGTAGAACGCTTTTGCAGACGGTTGAGACTGCTCTGGTGGCCATCGCACTTTCTAAATATCCATTCAGGGATGGCAAGACCAGCTATTTTGAGAAAGGTAAGTAAATGAAGTAAAAAATAGACATAGTGTAGGAAATAAGAATTTTCCTACACAAATTCTTAAGTCCTTCTCCAGATTTATTACTAAAACAGTATGTGACCACCAGCATCATTTAATTTGACAAAAAAAAGCACTTTTCCACAGTAATTGATCAATGAGATTTTGATCTTGTCTCTTACAGAAAGTTTTATTTAAGTATCAGAATCCCTTCTTGATTGGGTATTTTTTCAACACCCTGTTTAACACCAATGATAAACCTTTTCCTTTTATAAACCTGTAGGCCTAAGATGCGCGCCGCTATAAGCAGTTATCACACCATTTTATCGATTTTGTCTATACATTTTGACGTCGATAAAAGTTATCATGGCGCGCATCCAAGGCCTACTGGCTTTTGTCTGTTTACCTCTTGCTTATCACTTATTGTATTTGTTTTCTATTCCTCTGCCACCATTTTATAAAAATACCCACGTCTTTCAGAGAGCACTCTATGGATCTGGCTAGCAGTAGTGAGCGTGTTCGTGCGTCCTACGTCAGCGCCTCTGTGGGTGATTCTAGGGCTGTACAACATAGCCACTACTAAGGAACCACGTCTCAAGCTGGTGGTGCGCACTTACCTGCCTATTGGGTGAGTTAGAAACAATGAAATAATCTTTCTTGACTTTCTTCTAATTTTTATTGTTTTTGGACCTTAATTCAAAATGATATAGGTCAAAATAATGTGGTTAAAAGAATGGCAGTTTCGGGCCTAATATCTGTCAAAAGACCGATTTTTATCTTATAATACCTCAGCAGGAATAGGTCAAAGAAATTAAAGGGAGGTTGATGGGGGAAAGTAATTGGCATGTTGGCATGAATCTGTCACTGCTATATTGAAGGTAACACAAATGTTTATAAGGATTCCAGTGGACTTAAATCCCTTAATACTTAAATATAAATTTTATTTCTCACCAACATAGCATATAAAAATAAAAATATCAAGAAAAATGTGTTGTGNTTGTTCACATTGAGGAAAAATATTGTTTGGCATTTGTCCTTAAATATTTCCAACCAAAAACAGATAATTGCCATGAATGTGAAATGAATCATCACCATTTTGTTCATTCCATAGATTCTCCTGCCTCGCATCCTACAAGCCGTTGTTAGTGCTGTAGCCGACTACAGTTTCTACAAATGGACCGGTGGTCGTAAATGGGCACTGTTCTTGGTGCTCACATCTTGGTTCTGGTTCTACACAGCCAGTAGAACGCTTTTGCAGACAGTTGAGACTGCTCTGGTGGCCATTGCGCTTTCTAAATACCCATTCAGAGATGGCAAAACCAGTTATTTTGAAAAAGGTAAGTAAATGAACTAATGAAGTAAAAAATTGACAGTGTAGGAAATAACAATTTTGCTACACAAATTCTTAAGTCTTTCTCTAGATTTATTACTAAGACCACCACCATCATCTAATTTGACAAAAAACACTTTTAAATTCCACAGTAATTATGAGATTTTGATGTTGTTTCATACAGAAAGTTTTATTTGAATATCAGAATCCCTTTTTGATTGGGCATTTTAACACCCTGTATATCACCATTGATAAACCTTTGTCTACTATCTGCTATCAACCTGCCTTTTGTCAGTCTATCTCTTGCTTATCACTGTATTTGTTTTCTATCCCTCTGCCTCCATTTTATAAAAATACCCATGTCTTTCAGAGAGCACCCTATGGATCTGGCTGGCTGTAGTGAGCGTGTTCGTGCGTCCGACGTCAGCGCCTCTGTGGGTGATTCTAGGGCTGTACAACATTGCCACTACTAAGGAGCCACGTCTCAAGCTGGTGGTGCGCACTTACCTGCCTATTGGGTGAGTTAGAAACAATGAAATAATCTTTCTTGACTTTCTTCTAATTTTTATTGTTTTTGGACCTTAATTCAAAATGATATAGGTCAAAATAATGTGGTTAAAAGAATGGCAGTTTCGGGCCTAATATCTGTCAAAAGACCGATTTTTATCTTATAATACCTCAGCAGGAATAGGTCAAAGAAATTAAAGGGAGGTTGATGGGGGAAAGTAATTGGCATGTTGGCATGAATCTGTCACTGCTATATTGAAGGTAACACAAATGTTTATAAGGATTCCAGTGGACTTAAATCCCTTAATCCTTAAATATAAATTTTATTTCTCACCAACATAGCATATAAAAATAAAAATATCAAGAAAAAAGTGTTGTGAGTTGATATCTGAACTAGGAAGTTTCCTGTGTCTTAGGCCTGGTATACACGAATAGCTTGAAGCAGTTAGTATCGGCAGCTTCAAGCTGCGACTGCATAGCAAACTACGGAAACAGTTGTAATTGCTCGAGCGGTTCCGTGTATGTGTGCACGTAGTGTACTGTAGTTTGCTATGCAGTCGCAGCTTGAAGCTGTCGGATACTAAAGCCTGGTCCGTGAGCACGTAGAATTTTGTCCAATGACCCCAAGCTACCCATCCTTATCGCTCGCGCGTAATTATGTTGCTGTCGCGCTCGCACACTCACTGCAGGCGCCCGTCGCACAATCGCGACAACAATATAATTACGTGCGAGCGATAAGGATGGGTAGCTTGGGGTCATTGGACAAAATTCTACGTGCTCACAGACCGGGCTTTAGCTGCTTCAAGCTGTCGGATACTAGCTGCTTCAAGCTGTCCGTGTATGGCGGGCCCTAGGTTATTATCAGCCCTAAGATAAAGAAATATAAAGCAACTTCTTGAATTGTTCCAGTCTTCTTGTGGGAGGAGCCCTAGTGGCCTTGGACTCGTACCTGCATGGGAGTGTGGTGGTGACGCCGTGGGAGTTCTTCCGCTTCAACGTGCTTCACGACATCGCGTCTTTCTATGGACAGCACCCATGGTAATATTTATCTATACTAATATTATAAATGCGAAAGTAACTCTGTCTGTCTTGCTTTCACGCCTAAAACACTGAAACGATTTTGATGAAATAGTTTGAGTCCCGGGAAAGGACATAGGATAGTTTTTATCCCGGTTTTTGAAACAGGGACGCGCGCGATAAAGTTTTTCTGAGATAGACAAAATTCCACGCGGGCGAAGCCGCGGGCGGAAAGCTAGTATTCTATAGGCCAAGGATGCGTATGGATAAGGAGTGTGACAATACAAATTTGCGAAAAAGAGTTCATTGTACCAATCATTGTACTGGCGACACTCCCTATGTAAATTAGGTGTCAGTCATACTCATCTTCATTGTCTTTCTTTGAACAGACCATAATTTAAAACAATGATTTGTAATTTTATGTGGGGCATAAGAACGGCTGTGTCCAGTTTTGCTAAAACGCGCGATTGCCTGTGGACAGAATCTATGAACCTTTAGTACCTCGCGATCACGCGATTTGAAACGCATTATCTAAACAAGCTATTATAATTTAGCTCATTGGCAAGGGCTGCAGTCACCCAGCCAGCGAATTAGTTGATTTTTATTTCAAAAAAATATGATTGTAATTAACAAAAAAATTCAGTAGTGTGGTAAAAATATTACTAACTAGCGGCCGCCCGCGACTTCGTACGCGTTGATCCCGTTTTACTCCCTTGGGGTATAGTTTCATAAAATCCTTTCTTAGCGGATGCCTACGTCATAACATCTACCTGCATGCCAAATTTCAGCCCGATCCGTCCAGTGGTTTGGGCTGTGAGTTGATAAACACTATGTCAGTCAGTCACCTTTGAGTTAATTTAGGTAACTAAAATCACTTCTTTTCCACAGGCACTGGTACCTCTGGCAAGGCATCCCAGCAGTATTAGGCATCAACTCGCTGCCAGTACTGGCCGCTATTGTGGCCATTCTGCGGCGTCCGCGGGAGAACAAGACCGGATTGCTGTTATTGGCTATTGTCGCGGTACATGTGGCTCTATACAGGTGAGACAAGTGAAATAAGATACTTAAATAGTAGACAAGCTGTTCGTTTTAGCGAAATGACGTCCACTGCTGGACAAAGGCCCAAGGATTCCCACAATAAACGATCCTGCGTTGCCTGTTTCCAAGCAAGACAAGCAGAATAACTTCAAATCTCTAACTAAATGTGCACATAATCATTTACGCCATTTAATTACCCACATGCGGCACATCTGTTTGTCTCCCTCGCTGACACTATTAAATGGGCTTTATTTTATATCGTGACGCAACCGCAATATTTTTATATTGTTTACCGATTTAATTGTCACCAATTTTATTTAAAGGTGTATGCGTAAACGGTGTGTTTGCATAAATAAAATATTTGTATTTGAAGTCCACAGTAACCCTATGCTATGGTGTCCCAATGTGCTTGATCCTGTTTATTGTGGGAGATTGTAGAAATTGATCTAAACATTTACTGCTTCTTTAAAATGACTAGGAAAATGAAAACTAGGACAAATTTTGTACTTACAAAGTTTTAATATGTAATTGTCATGTTGTTCCAGTGCCATATCCCACAAGGAGTTTCGCTTCGTGCTGCCGCTGCTGCCAATATTCCTGTACCTCGCGCAAGACTTCATTGTCCCTTGGAGCAGGAAGGCTAAGAAGTGAGTATTTATTTCCCTTTTTAGTGGAAAAAGTCATACAATGCTTACTACTTTTAATTGCGATTGTAAGACTTTCGATAGTGGTATCTAATTTCATATTTAGTTACGTACCAGGGGTGTATAATCTAATAAATAAGGCATGAAACAAAAAAGTTTCAAGACCTCTGGATTTGAGTACGATCACAATAGCTCATCAAAGAGCTTGGCAATTTATCATACATTTCTCTATCACTCTTCTCTTTAGGAGAATACCCCTCTATTATTTACCAGAGGCAAATGGAAGACTTGGTCTACACTCTCCATTCTGGCCAGAAGGGGTGATTATGGTATCATACACATCCTCTTTCAAATACTCCAAAGATTTAGCAACAATTATTGCAATGGCGAGTATGTTTGGTTCTAAAATATATTAATCTATGTAAATGTTTGGTTTTAAAATATCTACTAGTATCTTAATATGTAAGTCTAGATATTAGCACGTCACTACTTTGTTTAATATACCACGCAATCTTGTATACCCATTCTTATAAGATACACCATACAAGAATGCATGGTAAATTCAGTGAACTGCTCCTGAATCGAATGTACCTACTACTACTATTTCTATTTATTTATATTAACCGGCAGACAGTGGTGACTGAGTTTGTTGCGGCGCTTCTTCTCAGCACTTGCCAAATGTTGGTCTCGAAGCGCTGGTAGGGTAAAAAGATTATGAGACATGTAGAGNATGCATGGTAAATTCAGTGAACTGCTCCTGAATCGAATGTACCTACTACTACTATTTCTATTTATTTATATTAACCGGCAGACAGTGGTGACTGAGTTTGTTGCGGCGCTTCTTCTCAGCACTTGCCAAATGTTGGTCTCGAAGCGCTGGTAGGGTAAAAAGATTGTGAGACATGTAGAGGCTCCTTAAGAGCAAAATGACGATTTGTAAGAACTATTTATTAGTCTAAACAAATAAAGAAATTTTGACTTTGACTTTGAATCATCTTTAATTTATTATCATCTTAGGTGGCAGCTGTACGTGCTAACTGGAGCCATATTGATCGGGAATGTGGTCCCGGCATTATACTTCGGCGTGGTGCACCAAGCCGGCACGCTCAAGGTCATGCCGCTGCTGCGAGAAGCTATTCCCAACAACAAGAGTTCCGTCCTGTTCCTGATGCCTTGCCACTCCACGCCTCTGTACAGGTAAGGATCAAGTTTCTTTACTTCCACTATTTAACTGGCTATATGCGCTGATTGGAACCATCCTGCAGGGCTACTCTGAAAAACGTTATCCGAAGTTTCGAGTGTCGCTATTCCTCTTACACAAAGCGAGATGCCAGCATGAGCGACGGTGACCGATAGACCCGAAACTACGTAAACAGCGTTTCGTAGTAGCCCCCCTGATCGGGAATGTGGTCCCGGCGCTATACTTCGGCGTGGTGCACCAAGCGGGCACGCTTACGGTCATGCCGCTGCTGCGAGAAGCCATCCCCAATAACAAGAGTTCCGTCCTGTTCCTCATGCCTTGCCACTCCACGCCTCTGTACAGGTGAGGATCAAGTTTCTTTACTTCCACTATTTAATTGGCTATATGTGCTGATTGGAGCCATCCTGATCGGGAATGTGGTCCCGGCACTATACTTCGGCGTGGTGCACCAAGCCGGCACGCTCAAGGTCATGCCGCTGTTGCGAGAAGCCATCCCCAGCAACAAGAGTTCCGTCCTGTTCCTGATGCCTTGCCACTCCACGCCTCTGTACAGGTGAGGATCAAGTTTGTTTACTTCCACTATTTAATTGGATATATGCGCTGATTGGAACCATCCTGCAGGGCTACTCTGAAAAACGTTATCCGAAGTTTCGAATGTCGCTATTCCTCTTACACAAAGCGAGTGCCAGCATGAGCGACGGTGACAGATGGACCCGAAACTACGTAAATAGCGTTTCGTAGTAGCCCCCCTGATCGGGAATGTGGTCCCGGCGCTATACTTCGGCGTGGTGCACCAAGCCGGCACGCTCAAGGTCATGCCGCTGCTGCGAGAAGCTATTCCCAATAACAAGAGTTCCGTCCTGTTCCTCATGCCTTGCCACTCCACGCCTCTGTACAGGTGAGGATCAAGTTTCTTTACTTCCACTATTTAACTGGCTATATGCGCTGATTGGAGCCATCTTGATCGGGAATGTGGTTCCGTCCTGTTCCTCATGCCTTGCCACTCCACGCCTCTGTACAGGTAAGGATCAAGTTTCTTTACTTCCACTATTTAACTGGCTATATGCGCTGATTGGAACCATCCTTCAGGGCTACTCTGAAAAACGTTATCCGAAGTTTCGAATGTCGCTATCCCTCTTACACAAAGCGAGATGCCAGCATGAGCAACGGTGACAGATAGACTCGAAACTACGTAAACAGCGTTTCGTAGTAGCCACCTTGATCGGAAATGTGGTCCCGGCATTATACTTCGGCGTGGTGCACCAAGCAGGCACGCTTAAGGTCATGCCGCTGCTGCGAGAAGCCATCCCCAATAACAAGAGTTCCGTCCTGTTCCTCATGCCTTGCCACTCCACGCCTCTGTACAGGTGAGGATCAAGTTTCTTTACTTCTATTTAGATGGCTATATGTGCTGATTGGAACCATCCTGCAGGGCTACTCTGAAAAACGTTATCCAAAGTTTCGAATGTCGCTATCTTTCTTACACAAAGCGAGATGCCAGCATGAGCGACGGTGACAGATAGACCCGAAACTACGTAAACAGCGTTTCGTAGTAGCCACCTTGATCGGGAACGTGGTCCCGGCGCTATACTTCGGCGTGGTGCACCAAGCCGGCACGCTCAAGGTCATGCCGCTGCTGCGAGAAGCCATCCCTAGCAACAAGAGTTCGGTCTTGTTCCTGATGCCTTGCCACTCCACGCCTCTGTATAGGTGAGGATCAAGATTTTAACATGAAACCAGTGTCTAAATACGATTTAAGTTGCGATGTAATGAATGATTAAAATCTCTACGCACTATTTTACTAATACCTTACACGAACATCTTTACGAGAATCAGAAGTTACACTGTTTTGTTTCATTTACCTACACTCATTATGTGTTGGACGGACCAGTGGCGTTGGGATCAACGCTAGAACCAACACCTCTCGTCCAAAGTCTGGGTCTAGAAAATAGGATTGGTACCAACATTGGGGGAAGCCTGAAGTCCCCTAGTCGAATATGACGAAATCAGCAGTCAATGTTTCCCTGTAGACACTTTAATTAATATTATTTATTTCCCTTTTCCAGCCACCTGCACCAGAACGTAACCACCCGCTACCTAAACTGTGACCCGCCGTTCAACAAGGTCGGCGAGACGTACGAGGCAGAATACTTCTTCAACAACCCGCAGCGCTGGTGGCGGTCGGAATACGCTGCCAAGGCCACGCCGCAGTTTGTGGTGCTGTTCGACACGCTCAAGGGACGTGTTGAGAACGCTCTCCAAGGATACAAGCAGCTGTATGAGATACCGCATACACAGGTAAGTTAATAACGTCGATGAGACGTATCAAGAAAAGTACTTCTTCAACAACCCGCAGCGCTGGTGGCGGTCGGAATACGCTGCTAAGGCCACGCCGCAGTTTGTGGTGCTGTTCGACACGCTCAAGGGAAGAGTAGAGAACGCTCTGCAAGGATACAAGCAGCTGTACGAGATACCGCATACACAGGTAAGTTAATAACGTCGGTGAGACGTATGAGAGAGTGAGTACTTCTTCAACAACCCGCAACGCTGGTGGCGGTCGGAATACGCTGCTAAAGCCACGCCGCAGTTTGTGGTGCTGTTCGACACGTTCAAGGGACGTGTCGAGAACGCTCTGCAAGGATACAAGAAGCTGTACGAGATACCGCATACACAGGTGAGGTTAATTACCTCGGTGAGACGTATGAGACAGAGTATAGTTGTTGCAATTCACCAAGGCGAGTGAGCTTTACATGTGTGGTGCATCGCTACTGTTCGTTTTTCAAAAGTTTTGACAGACATTACACTATCGTTATGTGCATCTACACGTACACTCTAAGTAATAGTAAAAGTAAAGCTTACTCGCCTTCGTGAGTTGCAAGAACTATACTCAACTACCCGCAGCGCTGGTAGCGGTTCGAGTACGCTGCTCCGAGTCATAGCAAATAACACAATATCACATAGACCTTGTACAAAGTAGGTCATTAATATAAATAAGAAATAGCCAAGTTCCTAATATTGATCCCTGCGGCACACCCATAATTAGAGGTGCTCTAGAAGACTCGGTTCCGTTAATACAAACTTTTTGCTTTCGGCCTGTGAGATATGAGTTCTACAGATAAACATAATATCGTAATTTTTTAGTAAGATCACAAAAAACA